CCGCCAGCACCCTCTCCCAAGCTTCCCAACTCGACAATCTTCTTTTGCTCGCTGGCCGCATGCCAACCTTCATCATCTAGATCCTCCACATCAAGAGGCCGGCCCTTCTCTAGGCTCAACTTATCCAAATCCACAGCTAACCCGTTCACATTGTTCGTACCATCTTGGATGGATCCATCACCGATTGCCGACGACGGATCCGAGCTGCCATCTGTTTGGCGGAGTTCCATGGCAAAGGATAGCGCCGAAAATGAGGAGTTTGCAGACGCAGGGCCGCTGCCTTTGTTTTCCAGATTGCCTCCTCCATTTGCATCTAGCCTGTTGGTGGACAGCGGTGGCGGGGTTGGTTTGCCATTGGGCATGAGGGTTTGTTCTTGCGGGACATTCTGACTGCCCGTGGAGGGCAGGCGCAGTTGTGGGAGTGCTGGCCGTGACGACTGGCGCGGGAGTTGAGGGCCTTCGGGAACTGCAGGAACACCGTCCCCATTGACGGGTTTGGCGTTGGGCGAGGGAGGGATGCCGAGCGTGAGTTTCGGAGCGCGGGGACTGCTGCTGTTACTGTTGTTGCGGCTGCCTGGCACCGGTGGGCGCAGAAGTGGGACGGAGGATGACATGGCTGAATTGTTCTGCCGTTCGCCAGGCAAGAACAACTCGTTGGGATCAGCCAGGGTAGCCAGAATGCCTATCTGAGACTCGTCCAGGTGAGGAGTCGAGCCTAGCGAGTGGGGAAGCGAGTGCGGGCGGTCGGGAGGGGGGAAATAAAGAGAGGGTTGTAGTGGCACACCGACAACAGTATAGGTAGATATAGGGCAAAGATACAAACGAATGGACGGTGGGTTGGGATGAGGAGGGCGGTGGGGGGTTGAAAAGTAGTGTGTTGAGTTGAGGAAGTCAGGGAAGGGGAAGAGAAAGAGGTGGCCAGGTGACCGGGTTGAGGTGGTCCCCTACAATCAACACTAGTGGAAGTAACTAACTACAGCGACTGCATGTTCATCCTTCACCACTACTTAGCCTCCTTCTCTTCTCTTCCCATCCAATCTGCTCAGACACATGAGTATTAGGCTGCCATATACGGCGCGACAAGAGGTTTACGGGTATGGTGGGGCTGATTGTTTCAGAAGGCGCCGAAGCTGAAACAGGGCGATCGTAGGGCATCAACGCTGCCAGAGGGCTGAAGATCGTCGACTCAAGGTGCTGACATGTCTTCCAACATGAGTGGTAACTGGAACCATATACATTATTGATATTATTGTTCTTTTTCCGGTGCAGACCACTTGTTTGGTGCCGTTGAGGGACGGTGACTCCTTTCAGTCAATCATCCGCGGCACTCGACATTTGCATGCCTCATTGACCCCGGGGCGTATTGCAGATTCCGTCTTGTCACCACATTAGACAACTACTACGACTGAGGTGCAACCGGGCGTGCCCAGAGGCTGATACGTAACTATGCAACTGCCTCGACTTAGGGCCGCAAAATGCTACACCGGAGCAACCCGTGTTATTTGTGCAACGATTCTTCTTCCACCAACCACCATTCTCTACCTAATTAATAATTAGTGGCGCCGGGCGATACCATCACTACTTGTTTCCCAGATTATTTCTTCGTGCGGGATTCACCGGACCGCTAACTATCAATTTCCCGTCGGAGTGAGGTGTACGATGCCCACCGTAGGTCTAGATGACTACTACCATGTAGTCTTCCAGGCAGCTAGGTAATCGTGTTGCAGTGCAAACCATGCATCACATGCTCTGCTATTGATGTACGATGTCTCATCCACCCGAGGGCACGCAGTGGTACATCCTACAGCCAAGGTCATCATTGCAGCGCAGCACCAGGTGGCTTTGTTTCAATGAAAACCCTTTGAATAAACTTAAACTTCGGTTGTTAAATACTCAAATAAAGTCTATTTATTAGAGAGAGAACCACGTGAAATTACAGTAGGACACTTACCAAGGCAGAAATATTCTCTAGGGATCTGTCCTACAAATCCTAACGAAAGATGCCAGTACACCTACATTCATGTCGAGCAGGTCGAAACTGAGCAACCCATGCATGTAGACAACGCCTTGGCCACGGTGAAGAATGTGCCTTTCTAACGGTTCTGGGCTCGGTCAGAGCGGCTTCCAATCAAGGTCATGAGGTTTTGTAATAATGCACGAGACAGACTCGATCCAGTATCAAGGTCCAGGTTATTGACACAACTCGAAGAAATGCAATTCTCGGAAAGCGACAATAACAAGCGGGCATGGAAGAGACACACTGGTTGTGCTGTATCCATTTCATCTACCATCGTGCTTCTGCGCCAAATTATTCCATACTTCGAGTCCATGTGGAATGAAATCCCACTGGGGCTTTCTCCTTTGCATCTTCACAATCCTCGGACTTGCTTTTGACAGATAATTGATGATATCAGAGCTGACGCGCAAGGGAACGACTTCGATGAGGCTCACGATAGCCGAATTGAAATTGTCGATTGATTCCAAGAGCCCACGAACACTTGACTATTTGTCGAGCCCTATCCAAGTTATTCAAACCGACGGAGGGACCATTGTATGAACCTTTACGCCCCGACACGGCTTGCGTGCGTGAAACAAATGATCATAATCCCTCGCTCGGTGCAAATTGATTGGGCACAGCTCGAGAAATAGCAAGTGTTTGCTAAGCATCTCTGGCTCCTATTCATGGGACCCGTTCGTCCAAGGTCGCAGTGTATTCGACAAGCATGACGATCAATAAGATTAACTCGCCATATCCTTGAAGAAAATCCTTTGTGACTCGGTAGGGCTGATCTACCGGAATCGTTCGGCTATCCTCTCGAGGAATCACGGTTGTTTGTCATGCAGAAGACGATTCGAACTGGTCTGCGTGATGGTCATTTCTGCTTTGAAATTTGCGTTCAATAGGTATAGGAGAGGACACTACTGGAATGAAGAAGTCAATATCAGTCAGGGGTCATTTCTCTATACTTGCCCCTGAAAGACAACAATAGCGATCGGAGCTTCCCGTCGGAGTGGGCAGTTTTGAGTGGGCCATGCGCCTTTTCAACCGTTTCGCCTTCCTCGAGCGGTAGGAATCGACGATCCCATGTCTTAGAGCCAAGATCGCTCCACCGAGAAGATACGTCGGCCCGATATTGCAGTTCCCAAATTTCAACAGACACCCCACGCGATAACACCATAATAGACCCAATGAGCCAAACAATGAGCAAAGCCGGACTATGAATGTTGCTTAGGAAGCACACACCCCCAATAGTAACCAATAATGCCAGGAGCAAGGATGGCCATCTTCTGAATCTGGCCCACTTGCCAAGCACTATCATTGTCCAAATACCCCTTTCCCTCGGGACCGCGGCCCACCGACTATTAATATTGTTCCCAGAGTCTAAACATAGCACAGGGAGAGACTCTTGTTCGCGATAAGAATCGAATGTACGCCTCCCACTGGCGCAAAAAGGGGCAAGTCCGGAAAAACAGGGTGAGTCGTCCATTAGTAGTGTGGAGTCTGGGGCACCACGAGACCATCGTGCGTCTACAACCGAGATTCCCCTTTCATGGAGTCGGATAGGGGGACCGCCACATGCAACGCGGGCCCATTGGCTGTCGGGGGGCGAGCGGTTCACCCACTTCGAGCAAGTCTCCGTGCTCGAAGTGGTCGAGACCTCCGGACACACCCAAGCCCCCAGCCCATAGATGGGGATCGGCGAGCCTTGACGCTCTGTTACAGGCCTGTTACAGGACCGCCCTCTCCTGAACGTTGTGACCCGGGCAACAAACCAATGCTACTGCACGATCCAAGCGCGTCTGTCAGGGACTCCCGTCGGCCGGCCAGACCCTGCATTTTTATTTTATTTTTTAAATTGATTTCCCACGCTGCCAGGATATTCGGCTGATTGACTGCACGATGGGACCAACGCTCTGGGCCCGTTAGTTCCGTGGCTAGTCAGGGGCTACAGAATTATGGCGGCCACTTAGGCAAGCTTGGTTAATTAAGCAACGCGGTCAGAGAGCGCTTCCCGGTCGGCTGTTGAGGGGGTTCGCGTCGAACGGAAGACTGCCCGCTGCGGAGCCATAGTTGGAGGCGTAGCTTTGTCGCTTGCACAGGAACAAACCGGATATCGTCCGTAACCCGCAGTGCATTATTCTCTGGGTCGAACTGTGTTCGCACAACACACCCCGCGGACCCAAAGGTCGTCGAACAGACGAGCACTGGAGCACGGAAGGCTGTGGGTTGTGAGACTCCACCGCGTGGAACGAGGTCCGGCGCGGCCAGATCTGACAGGACAGCGAGTCGCCGTGCCAAGATCCAGCAGGCGAATGATGGAGCAAATGAGCGGGCACTGGGGCCGTGAGACGAAGGACTCAAGCCTCCATTTCGTGTATGATACCGGTGTTACGCTCAGGGGTAAGTGGGTCAGGGCGGGCTTTGGGGGTCCACCTCGTGGTGGACGGTGGCCAGGAACGGGCAGTGGATCAGCCGGAGAGGTAGGTCCATGATATTTTGGAGTAGTGTAGGATACTTCTTGATGTTCGGAAAGGGCAGTTGGAGAGATGCTGCAGGGACTGGCCTAGTTAGGGCTTGAATTGGACGAAGCCGCCATCACCACGACAACATTTACAAGCACCAGCCCGAAGCAAGGTACAATCGCAACGGAGCGATCGGCATCATCAACAACGCTAGTTCTCTTAGCGGCAGGAAAAATTACCGCCAGCGTTCAACACCGGATGACGAGTGCCCACGAATAGCCCCTTTTTTCGGGGCGAGTGCGCAGTCTGATCTCCGGTCCAATCTCCCTGTCCATACAAAGACGCCGTTCCCCCCATTCAGCCGGCTTTCTTTTCTTTCTTCCCCAAGTACAATCTTCGCATCTTAGCATTCACTCACTCGACTTCGGTCATCCACTCTTTCAAACCAACTACTACACTCTTTACAAAAGCCTACGCTTTTTATCTTCTCAAATTACCTCGACGGTTTTTTCATAATCACAAACAAACCATTCAAAATGCGTTTCACTGCTGCCGCTGTTGCCCTCTTCGCTGGCCTTGCTGCCGCCCTTCCCCAGGACGTCGAGACCGTCACCTCCACTGACGAGGTCACCGTCATCTCGTGCGCTCCCACCGTCACCAACTGCCCCGGCAACTCTGGTGCTGGTGCCACCACCCCGGCCACCATCCCGGCCTACACCTCCGTCCCTGCCGTGACCCCGGTCCCGGTTGTGACCCCCAGCCCTCCGCCCCGGCTCCTGAGGTCACCACCATCTGGTCCACCGTCAGCTACTGCACCTACAGCGTCACCCCTGTGGTCAGCACTGTCGTGCCCAGCGCTCCCCCGGCTCCCTCCAACGGCGGTGGTGTTCCCCACAAGCCCTCGCCCAAGCCTTCCGGGTAAGTTTATCCTCTTTAACGATATCTGATCAATATACTAATGATATCTTCAGTGTCGCCCCCAGCGCCTCCCCCAGCCCGGCTCCCACTTACAACGCTGCCGGCGCTGTCACTGGCTCTATCAGCTTCGCTGGTCTGGCCGCCGCCGCTGCCTTCTTCATGGCATAAGCGATTCCTCCTGTAATCGGGATGGGGTTCTGCAATCCCTGACCCCGGTCACTCTCGGGTGGCTTGGGCCAGCTACTGTAGGATTATTATCTCACTGAGGATGGAAATGGGGCACGAAGAGCGGAGATATCTAAGCACTGTGTTAGTTTAAACCGGTTTCTTGGTGATTTACTCTACCAACCCAACACTTGTTATATTTTTGCTTTCTGATTCGGATCTCGCTATCCTCTTCTGCTTTTTGTGGATTTTTTGATATACATATTTCTTCTTGGGCTTACTGGATAGCTTCGGAGTTGTGTGAGAAGCGCTCTTGGTGGCTTGAGCACGACCTTAATGTAAACCATGACAGCTTTCACCCACCTTCTTGTCTCTCCAGTGATTCCCAGTAACCCCTTTTTTCAATGTACCCATATACCTGACAGCAGTTTCCTTTTGCTTATTCTAATTGCATTGCACGAGCTAGATTTGATGTTGCTTGTTTGTTTTGTCCCTGTGTAAAAGCAATACCCTTCTATGTGACTTGGCCCCTGGTACGGTCTGGTTCCACAGTGGCCAGGCTAGCTCGCACAGTGTTTCCCCCCCAGGGGGCTGTGTTACTGCCCGTTGACCAATTGTGACCCGGTAAATTAGCCCAAAACGCAAATGCTACTTTGTATCCCTGGATTCTATGATTCCAATCTCGGGTTATTTGGTGGTGAAACTCGGTAATCTCCCGTAAAATGAAAGTCATCGATGATGCCGTTGGCACTTTAATCAGGTGCTCTCGCACCCAACATTCCAACGACTTTTGTTTCAGGTTTAAGCATGGGCCACGTGCTCTGCTGGAATGAATGCCTGTCACCCCGGATCGACCGGCATATCGACATCATCAAGAGATGATGTTACTATTCACACCGGCTCCGTCGGTAACTTGGTTATGGAAACAAACCAGGCTCTCTACCTTGGACCTTTCCCTGTACCATAACTACCTTGATAACCGTGGCTATTATTCTAAAATCGACCTCAGGACCATCCCTCTCTCTGTGGTAATAGGATAGAGCAAGGCTCAGTCACGCTCGTATCTCCTCTCCCTTCGCCTGACATCATTCTACCGGGCTCGCTCCCGGTTAGACTGCCTCGTTTCCGGCCCCTTTTGGGTCCTGCTTGTTCGTTGGGCCGCCAAAAATAGTGTGACCCACATTGCGTGGCTTGGATCTCGAAGGACCATTTCACTTCGTCGATTTGGAAGAGAAGAGAAGAACGTGTGGACGAGGAATGACGGGCATACATTCAGATTACACATTTTCCCTCCCCCCCTCTCTCTCTCTCTTTTAGGAACGATCCGTGATTAGCCCTCCTGTCTACATCTAGGAGGTTGCTCTTCCACCTTCAACATCGGGCACCATCCGCGGTTCCTTCTTCCTGAGTTGCTCCTTGGACTTATCCAACATTCCTGGAAATGATTCCCTCCCTAGACTTGGCACCATCTCGCTTACCATGCTAGCCAACTCTCGGATCAATAATTAAAGACCTCTAGTTACCAACGTTCTATGCTGTGCAGGATGTTGGTAAGCGCGAGGAAGCTACTAGCCCTAACTTGTCCTTCGACTGGGCAGCCAGCCTTAGAAAACGTATCCACATCGATCGTTCTTCCTGGACCGCAATTTATGTGTGTAACTAATAATACTACGGCCCCTTTTGGGACGCCCGACTTTCTATACAATAAAAATGCAACATATAACAGTCCTGGAGGCCTCGCAACAAGTGCGCGAAAGCTTATTGTACCATTTACTTTCTCCGGCTGGGTAGCATTTCTCGAGATCTACCTGCCCCCATTCCCGCCACAAACCTATTTGGGCACTGGATACGAGACCATACCCAAATGATCGACTGGAGAATGCCTTGCGGGTCCCAAGCATAGTATATACTTCCTGCCATGAAGTTCTTCTGCACACTCTTCCACAAAACCAACTCTCTCCCTCCATCTTCCCCGGTGCTCGTCAAGTTGTCTCTATCTGCGCTCCCCATGGATCTGTCTTCTCTAGAAGGCCCCCCACTGCCAGAACCGCAGGAGGAGGAATTTCTTCCTCCTTACCCGCCTGAGCTGCGCGCCCTCGAACTCAGCCCGCCGTCACCATCCACACGCCATTTAGTCCCGTCGCCGCTCCACCCACGACGAACGGAAACAGAAACGACAGAAGGCCCCATATCACCACTGCAGGATCCCACATCACCACTACAAGAGCCCATATCACCCCTGCAAGAGCGATCACCCCTGCAAGAGCGACGCAGACAAAGGAACCATCCTGAAGGGAATCTGGGGGAGGGGAATAATCTGAGACGGGCCCTAGCCAAACGAGGACGAAGAAGTCCCGATCAACTGCAACTGCATATCACTCCGGCAGAGGAGCAGGAACCACAACCACAACCACAACCGCAACCGCAACCGCAACCACAACCGCAACCACAACTGCAACCGCAACTGCAACATCAAAATCCAGGACCATCTCCATGCCACGCCACCAGCACTTTCCGTCCAGACCGCCGCCGACCAAGTCCCAGTCATCGCCTCATCTGGCTGGAGGAGGAACAGCTATGGGTCGTGGCAGCTCCGTTGCCGGACGTCCAAACCGACCGGCGAGTCTCTCACGCGTCGAGTTCGCCTAGTCCATTGGCCTCGCTATTCCCGTCATTTTCTCGGAGTCCAGTGAGCCCGGTGACTCCTCAATTCCCCCAGCACCAACAGAACCGCAGTGTCAGCGACAACCGGGTGCTCGGCGAGATGCCTCCCCCCTATGAGAGCCATAGGTTCAGTCCAACAACACATCCTACTTCGAGATGGGCCGCTGTCACACGGCGGATTCCGGGCATGTCGGTTGGGTGACTGAGACTGTCATAAAATCATGTCTCCCAGTGTACATAGAGCAGAATAATAGACGAGTTTATGATCAATCCGGCTGTTTGTCTCATCCCCGTCCCAATTCTTAGCAAACTGCATATCGGATCCACTGCTCCACCAGGTCGAGTTTGGCATCCCTCACAGCCACTGTCAACCGAAGCGAACCACCACCGAAGCAGCGCTGTAGTGGTCAGTCTCTCTGGATCTCTGTCCGCATTATCGTAGAGGTGCTTGGTAGACCTCTCCAGCCTTGCTCCTCCCCTAAAGGAAGCGTCACCGGAGGAATTAGTGACTCCATCACAGCTCCAGTTCTTCTGCACGCTAACACAGACCAGTAGCTCACCAGCCTCGCTCTTATTACGATAGACTGTTCCTATTGGACTTGGTCCGAGGGTTTTCCAACTGCTGTTGTGGCTCCTTCGCTTTTTTTCCTTTCCTGTTCAGCGATCACCAACGAACATCTTCACCTTCCCCCTAATTCGATTCTGCTCTCATTTTCTTCTTCTTCTTTCTTTTTTTTCTCCTGCTGTTATCTTCACCAGATCATGGATGTTGGGTTGACCTAAAAAATCCCATCTTCTTCACTTCCCCCGATCCGGTGCTTCTACCGCCTTCGTCGTCCTTCGATCGAAGAAAAAAAAAACGGGCCCGCCACACCCCCAATGGTCCAACTCGCCCACATCTTCAAAAAGGATAAGGCGAAGACCAAGGAGAAAGACCACACAACCGTAACCCCCGAGTCCGACTCACCTGCACCGGCTTCCTCGTCGCCAACCTTCTCCACCACCCGCAAATCTCCCACCAAGTCGTCACCTTCCAAGTCCTCTCGCTTCCACCACTCCCGCTCCTCCTCCGCCACCTCCACCAACTCTGCCTTTCGATTCGGCCGAGCCTCGCGTGATCAGGACCTTCACCCACTCAACCTTCCGCCCGACGAGCTGCGTCGGAGACTCTCCGCCATGGCGGCATCCCGAGACGACCAACGGAGCTCCATGGACATCGACCCCCAGGAGACCCAGAAGAAGATGAATGGTGTCAACGGCGACCAGCAGGAGCGCAGTCCGACCCCGCCACCACACAAGTCCACCGCTGCATCCACCGACGAGGCCGACTCGTTCAAGTTGGCCGGGAACAAGTTTTTCAAGGATGGCGACTATGCGCGCGCAATCCAGGAATACAACAAGGGTATGTCTATGTCACCAGAACCATGCAGTCTGAGCGGAAACTAAGATTCTCGCTCGTTTAGCCATCGAGATTAACCCCAACTCGTCGGCCTACCTGTCCAACCGAGCCGCCGCCCACTTGTCCGCGAAGCAGTTCCTCAATGCCCTCGAAGACATCGAGCAGGCCAACGAACTCGACCCCAATAACCCCAAGATCCTGCACCGGTGGGCGAAGATTCTGACGAATCTGGGGCGGCCCGCCGAGGCTCTGGATGTGCTGTCGCGTGTGCAGCCTCCCGCGACGGCGACCGACCGGGCGGCCGCGGAGAAGATGCTGCGGTTCATCACACAAGCCGAGGAGACGCTGACAGAGGACCGCGGGGTGTCGATGGTGATTTTCTGTATAGACCAGGCGCGCCAAGGGCTGGGCGCAGGTGTCAAGGAGCCGCGCAAGTGGACACTGCTGGCGGCCGAGGCGCAGCTGAAGATGAACAACAGCAACTCACTGGGCAAGGCGCAGGACATTGCCATCGGGCTGCTGCGCGAGAACAGCCAGGACCCGGATGCGATGATGATCCGCGCGCGGGCCTTTTATGCGTCCGGTGAGACCGAGCAGGCCGGGAAGCTGCTGAAGATGTGTCTCGGGCTGGACCCGGACATGAAGCAGGCGGTTAAGCTGCTGCGCATTGTGCAGAAGCTCAGTCGTACCAAGGAGGAAGGAAACGCTGCATTCAAGGCTAAGGATTACCGCCGTGCCATTGAGTTGTATAGCCAGGCACTGGAGGTTGACCCGGCCAATAAGGACATGAACGCCAAGATCCTGCAGAACCGCGCTCAGGCATACATCAACCTGAAGGAGTATGATTCAGCGGTGCAGGACTGCAGTGAGGCCTTGCGCCTTGACCCGGGATACGTCAAGGCCATGAAGATGCGCGCCAAGGCCCATGGCGCTGCTGGAAACTGGGAGGAGGCTGTTCGCGACTATAAGGGCGTGGCCGAGAACAACCCAGGCGAGAAGGGCATTCAAGAAGAAATCCGCCGCGCCGAGTTTGAGCTGAAGAAGGCTCAACGCAAGGACTACTATAAGATCCTGGGCGTCAGCAAGGATGCCTCGGACCACGAGATCAAGAAGGCATACCGCAAGATGGCCATCGTATACCACCCAGACAAGAACCGAGATGACCCGCAGGGCGATGAGAAGTTCAAGGAGATTGGCGAGGCATACGAGACGCTGATTGATTCTCAGTAAGCTTTTTTTTCTTACCCTTCAATCTTGTCTGTTTCGTTCTAACTGTTCTACAGGAAACGTGCTGCATATGACAATGGCGACGACCTCATCGACCCGGCCGACATGTTTGGCGGCGGTGGCTTCGGCGGGATGGGAGGAATGGGCGGCATGGGCGGAATGGGAGGCATGGGTGGTATGGGCGGTATGGGAGGTATGAACGGCACGCACATCAACATCGACCCCAATATCCTCTTCAACATGATGAACGGCGGCGGTGGAGGTGGCGGCTTCGCCTCGGCTGGCGGCCATCCATTCGGAGGTGGTCAACAACAGCGGGGCGGGTACCCAGGCGGCTTTCCCTTCTAGATGATCTGATTCATCGGCCCCAATTCAACCGCCTCAGAGGCAACTTATCTTGTTCCTTTGTGGTCTCGGCAACTCCGGATGAACGCCGTTGGCTCTGCTTTGTTCGAGTCGCATCAGAGGGCTCTCAACCTATGATCCCTATTTCCTTTGATTTATATCTTCAGCCACGCTTCATGCTTCCACGGAAACGGAAGTACCATGATTCCCGACATGATAGACCGGCCATTCGACTGTTTGTTTTACTTGGTTTCTTTTTTCCTCTTTTGATATGATCTCATTTTGCTACGGCTGTGGGATATTCTTTTGTTCTGTATATGAAGTTTGAATTTGGCATGGTTCGAGGGAAAAGAATTCAGTGTGCACTTAATATGCATGATGTGAGATTTGTTCGTTGGGTACCCCAGACAGATCATTGACGGCGTTATCCTTCCTTCACCCGGACTCCTTTCTCTTGTCAATAGGATATATGATATTGCGATGTTCGTTTCGTTACCAAGTAGGCTGGGCTTATATAAAGGAGAAGTAGGTTAATGGTGTATCCCAGCTCATCTGAAAGTAGCATTAACGTTGTGGAAGTTAATTTTAAGAAGAGTTTGTAGACAACAAATATGGTCTATTTTGGTTTTTTCTATATTCTATATACGGACAATCCATAACCAAGTGAAAAGGATTGTGTTCTATCAAAACACTCAGGAAACAATGAGTCAAAAGATCGCCACATGAGAGGAAGATCCACCACCTAATCTAGCCCAGGGTGAGGGTAAAGCCCGAATCGAGCGAGCAGCTGTTGGTATCAACATCATCGGGATGCTGATAGGTCTCAGCGCAGGAGGAGTCACCCGGCGAGCAAGTAGCAGACTTGCAGCTGGAGTCGCTGGGGGTCGCTTGGAAGCCCTGGGAAACGAAATCCGAGGTGGAATCGAGGTTGATCGACGACAGATCCCAGAAGAGGGTGTCTCCGTTCTGGGTGTACTCGAACTGGAGAACGGAGTCCTCGCTCTCCGAGGTCGACATCTTGATGGAGATGCCACCGCCGTTAGAGTTGGTCTGCCAGTCCTCGCTGTAGGTACCGCCGCCGGAGGCGAGGGTCTGCATGGCCCCGCCGGTGTTGGATGTGCTCCAGAGGTAGACGGTGGAGTCCATGTTGTTCACGATTTGGATGCCGCTGCCGCTGCCACCGGATGCGGAGGAGGATGAGCTCGGGGCACTGGCTGTGGTGGTGGCATCGCGCTGGACGAAGCCCTGGGGCAGGGCGGAGGCCGTAGCGGCGATGGTGGCGAGGATGCCGAAGGTCTTGATGAAACCCATTGTGAATGGAGTGTGTAAAAAAAGTGAAAGTTCTTTAAAAAAAAAAGAAGGTGGTGAAAGAGTCTGGTCAACAGACGTCAAGTCAAAAGACAGAAGTGAATGAATGGGATAAGGCGGTGCCTCAAGAGAATGAAAGTGGTTTCAAACGAAAGTGAATGAATGGAATGAATGGAAGGAAAGAGAGAGCAGAGGAGAAGAGCGAATTGCTCCGTTATTTATCCTCCATGGTGGAGTTCCAGTTCCTGGCGGTCGAAGCCTCTGGAAACAGGGGAATCGCGTGAGATTGCCACAGCGTTAGACTTTGATCCCCTGGAGAGCCGGGCGAATAACCAGGAGTCGGACGAGATTGCGCCACATTGTTAGACTTTATGCCCTTGCGAACCAGTTCAAGACCACCCCCGGGCGCGAAGTATTCTAGAACGTATCCCGCGAAAGAGGTGAGGTCAGATGTGGGTCGATAGGGTTGAGACAAGCACGATCTCTCGATGAACCAGCAACAGACGCACGTCGTCTCCACAAAACCTTTTTTGGTGGTCGTCCAGTCAGAGGGATTACTTCCATTTCCGGCGGGATCCACTTCACCCGCGCGAGTCTGGCCCACGGCTTCATCGTGGCGAGATCGAGACTTTTTCCTCTTTTTCCGCACGAGAGAGCGGTGTCCTCGGGGCTGAATCACAGTACGCGTGCGCTTACATACTCCCTAGCCAAATGCCATTGTTTTGAAGCCGTGTACCCGTCCAAACACATGGGCAGCATCATCCCGTCGCCACCACATGGAAGGTGGTTCTTGATCAATCAGCAAAAAAAATATCTCCCCTTCCACGGACTGTGCCGATACCCGCATGTCGCCGTTGGCTCCCCACCATGTGCTCTCGTCTTCCCCCGGTTCCGACTCCCAAACCCGACGGCCCTTGACACCCCCGGCCACACGCTCAAGCACATCCAGCCCTTTGCCTCCCAGCGAGATCTCCTGATTATTCATCCGGCCCGTCCGCGCATGAACTGTGCCCGTCCAGGATGGAGGATAGCCTAGTTGCAAACTGCCCTTGCCACTGAGATGTGAGGCGACTGCCGGCCCAGCAGATATCCGCCCATGGTGAGATCGACCACCGAGCACCACTGGCTCCGTGATCCGAATACTCTGGTTCCCAGCCCCAGTGCGCGTGAAAATCGAGACCTTGTCGCGTCTCGCCGTCGAGTGCGCTTTGTCATCGTCAAGGACGAGCGGTATAAGCAGCGCACGGATGGACCCACGCTCATCGGCTGTAGCACCGGCCACCAAGCGCAGAGAAGTAGAAAACAAGAACCGACCCGCAATAGACCCACTGCGCGACTCGACGTCAATCTCATACTTTCTTGGCGGAGGCAATGCAGAAACTGTCTCTGCATGTCCACCATGGTTGTGAATGTGGTCCTTGGAAGAATGTGCATGTACAGGTTGCCTCATCTCCGGTTCAAACTCTGGGATTGAGGCTGCGGCTGGTGCAGCGAAGGAGACAACCACATTCCCGGAGTCTGAGCGGATCCGCAGTCTCGCGGGGGTGTTCTGGGCGCCGCTGTGAGAAGACCCACTCTGGGGCACGATGGTGACACTGATGTCTCCCGTTGAGGTGGATAATGATAATGAATCGAAGAGCGGGAAGACTCCGTTAATGGCATCGGGTCCGCGAGAGATGCTTAGGTCTCGAAGGGCCGTGTCGTCTAGGATCGGAACCGAGGGTGGTGGTGGGTTGTGACCTGAAATCTGTCGTGGTTTTTTTGGTTAGTAGATACACCGTGTAGCGGTCTTCGGCGGCTACACTACTTACCCAGTACGCTAGTGGAGATCGACATAGTAGACACAGTAGCGCGAATGATATACCCACGAGTAGGACAGTTCTGAGCCCGGCAACTACGTTGGGCTCGTTGCGCGAAGGAGGACTCTTGTCGTCTTCGCCTGTGTCCTTGTCATCGGTGTGTGGTGTTTGCTCGCCCGGCTTGAAATCTGACTCTCTATCCCGGACCTGGATGCTGGTGTTGTCCATTGTTGGGTCTCTCGAGAGGGGATCGGGCTGAAGGGCAATGGCAGGCATCGTCTGGAAAACTATGGAGAGCCGTATGTCTAATAATAAGCAGAGGTGGGGGGCTCCTTTGGTAGTGGTTCTCGTTGCTTTTTCCTGTGTTCAATATAATGAATGACCTGCCGGAACAGACTGTCGCTGCATGGTAACAAATGCTGTATTCAGCCACTAAGTAACGTGGCGATGGACGTAAGGAGCTGTCAAGGAAGATGGAGATAACAGAGAAAGTGAGCGCGAAGATGATGTTAGCGCTCTGGAATGCCGCATAGTCGACGTCATCCGGCATTCATTCACAACAATTACTAAAGTACTGGGCAAGGTAAACACGTTAGATCAATACAGTTATATATCCCTAATAGGTAGCTAGAAATACTCGGACTCTCTCGCTCATACCCTGCGCTATGCACTCCTTCAACTGTCTCTGCCACCGCACATGAACACACAGCTCAACTGTACTGATCCAAAAAAAAAAAGCAACAACACCAACAACAAAACCAGGGGAATCTCAAGCCTTCGAGCAGAACATAAATGAATGAATATACTGGAGAGAAGGTGCACGAGCACGCAGAAAACTCCGCCGCTAATGAAAGATGAAGAGAGAAGGTGCAAGGAACAAAACGCTAAACAAGGTCGAGGCTCAAAGATAGCCAAGTCCGCTGAGGACGCTCTTGCACTCGGGCAATGGTAAAGCGGACACTCCTAGCGCGCGGACTTGACTACCGCTGCGCAGACGCTGCAGGCCAATGGCGATTTTCCAGGCCTCAGTATCAGAGACCACGAAGACGTATCGCTTGCCCTCTTGATCGCGGAGACTGGCGCGGAGGACATGCAGGCCGCGGAATTCAGATTGCGGAGGGTGGACGGGCCCGCCTTCGTTGACTCCACTGGCCGTGGCGCTACGGGCGAAGGATGCGCTGGGAGAAGCTAGACGACAGGTGTTTTTACACATCTTGAGCAACCCTGCCAGGTACGCATCGGATTCCTCGCTCGTGGGTACGGAGTGTGCGTTGCCCTTGCGGCTAAAGGAGAAGGGGTTGCTGGACCCAGATTTGGCGTTGGCTGAGGTGGTCGCATTCGTCTGCGCACACCAGACCTCGGCCAGCTTCAGAGTCCATGCCTTGACATCCCATTCGCGCTGGCCGACCCCACGCAGGTCGTCATCGATAAAAAGCCCCTCTGTCGTGATGCGCAGCACCAGCCCGTCGGTCACCATGCCCTGCCCAGACACCAGCTGCGCAACTGGGGTCTTCATGAAGGCATTGTTGAATTGATACACTCCCTGAATGACGATCTTGTCAGGGTCCTTGGTCGTATACGGCCCGCGGTGAGATGGCGGCGGCGTTGTGCGTGCGGTCGACTGGGATGGCGAGTACGATGACTCGGAGTACACCGAGGAAGCAGCCGCATACGGCCGGCGTGGGCGGTCATATGGCCGGAAGGAGTATGCATCGTCTTCCTCCGTTGCCGTGCGCGCTGTCGGGAACGGTGGTTTCTTGGGTGAGGGTGTCCGAGGTGCGCTGCCCGGTTGACTGGACGCCTTTCCATCTTGCGCTTTTTTCTCGGCATACTTCTTGGTTGCCGCCTCCTTCAGAGCTGCAAACCGGGCCATGGCCTCCTTCTGGGCCTGGATTTTTGCTGCAGCTGCTTTCTCGGCCGCTTGCTTTTCGGCCTTTTCCTTTGCCTCCGCTTCGGTCTTGGCTTGCTTCTCGCGTGTCTCGGCCGCTTCCTTTTCCAACTTCTCGCGCGCTTCCTTCTCTGCTTTCTCCTTGGCGGCGGCCACCTCTTTCTCCAGCTGTTCGCGACGCTCCTTTAATTCCTTCTCCATCGCCTCACGCTCTTTCTGCTTCTCTCTCTCCTTGGCATCTGCCTCGCGTTTTTTCTTGAATTCCTCCATCTTTCGCCGCAGCTCCTCTTTCCGCTTCGTCTCATCCCGTGCCCGCTCCCATTCGGTGTTATTAGCTCCATGCTGGTTGCCAGCATAGTGATGATTGCCACGGGTTGAACCCCCACCAAACCCTCCTCCCTGTTGCTGCTGTCCTGCCCCATTGCCAAATTTGCCTTTGAAGAAATTGGCGCCAGAGCGGTTATTTTGTGCATTCGGCCCTCCAGCGCCACCCGAGTGTCCATTACCGTCGTTGCCATTAAAGCTGTCGGATTGCGATGCGCCAACAGCCCATCCGGCCACGCCGACTCCGAGTGCCAGCAGAACCACGCCCATGCCGCCACCGGTGGTGACAGTGGCCGTGTACCAGGCCCTGAAAATAGGTGCAAGGGTGGTCCACAGCAGGACGACGAAAAGTGTGCTTGCGGCGCCGGCAAGGAAGCTGTTGCGGTGGCACTGTAGGGACGGAAGGTAGAGGAAACCGGAACCGGAGGAGTGAGGTGGCACGATGAAGATGTCGTAGTTGCCGGGAGGTAGGTCTGATGATTTGCGGTACTCGCCTTCAGTGGTGTTTGGCTTGTCGCCATGAGGCGGCGGGGGCGGCGGGCCCTCCATCGCGGCGCAAAGGATGCGAGAGTATATATAAAGGAATCAAAGACGTTCGGATGGGTGGCTTGCTTTTTCAAGACTGGCCACCTCTAGTTGGATGGGGGTTTCGCAGGCTTCCAAAAGGTCATGGTCTCCGCGACGTCCGATCGGCACTGAGGCCTCGGCGCTCAGTGCTAGAGGTGGTTGCGCGTCCGTTGGATGCTAGTGAGAGATCCAGGCAGCCAGTGTCCAGAAAGTCGTCCAAAAGCGAAAACATCAAAGGGTGGTGGGAAGAGGGTGACGGTTGAGGGAGTTTGTTTAGGCGGGAGTGGGAACAGCCGGGCGATCGGCACCCACGCTCTCGTTGCTCACAAACAACACATCGTGCATTGATCGGATAGGACTATTCTACACGCAACTACAATAATCATGTATATCTCACATTCTATCAATCGAGGAGATCTTGCATTTCTGTCCCACGCGACTCCAACCCTCCGATCGGAATGTGCGACGAGCCTAGGCATTCAGGGAGGCGGCTCAACTGTCATGTTCCCATAGTGTCTGGTAGTTTTTCACTAGAAAAAATAAACAAGACCACTAGCACGTTTCGTTGTCAAGCTCTACACTTGTAATATGATGGCCTGCATGCATCGTGTGTCAACTGTTAGTGTTTTGTTTACATATTACCCTTTTTGGCAAGGGCGGTGCCGCTTACATCATCGCCCGACCCCGTGACCTGTCTGGCAATTTGGGGTTTTCAGGGCCAGTTGATCGCTTCGACATGGCGAGATTGTGGTAGTTAGCAGCTCAACTCCTACGTAACTGGGCAGCTATAATTATCGCTAGGGCCCCATTCCCGCGTGGGGGCCATTTTGGAACTAGCGAGGCTATGCGTCAAGAGATGAGGCTGATCAGGTGGAATTCCCATGAGGCCAAGCTGGCACAACGTGCAGAGTCATCCAGGACTAGTTAGTCAGTAGATAGTTCACTAGTTAGTTAGCTATAAGTAGAGAGGAAATAGTAACTGACCTAGTCTACTACTTCCTCTGGGCTATTCTGCGGCAGAACGTGACCCGCACCTCGTGATTGGACCCTTCGGCCTTGAACTCACTCTGCGTTCGCCCTGCCGTTGAACCCCAACTTCTTCCACTGACTGATTGCCTGGGTCAACTCAACTTCCTTTCAACTCTTCTATTGCTTCTTTCCGGTGGTAGTAGTCTGGCACTGCCCACCTTTCTCCGCCTCTCCCCGCCAACTGTCCTCTGGGCCTCCTTCCTCCAGGCTTCCCATCTCCGCCCCTCACCAGTTCACCCTCTCTATGCCGTACCGGTAGCCTTCGAACTCCCCCGACACTCCTTCCTGGCAAGGGCAGCTCCTGCAGCATGTCCTCCTTCCCATCCTCTACCCGGGCCTCCCATGGCCACTCCAACTCGTCGCACCGTCAATTCCCCGCCTACAACCCGGTCGCCGCCGTGACCGCTCCCGCGGGCACATTCTTGCCCGGGACCAAGGTCCAGGTGGGCAGTCACCGCGTCGTGGTAGAGAAGTATCTTTCGGAGGGCGGGTTTGCTCATGTCTACGTGGTGCGGTTGCCCAAGGGGGCCAAGGGCTCGGAAACGGCCGTGCTGAAGCGAGTTGCTGTCCCCGACAAGGCGGCGCTCGCCAACATGCGCACCGAGGTCGAGACGATGAAGAAGCTCAAGGGCCACCGGCACATTGTCACCTACATCGATTCGCATGCCTCCCAGCTTAGTGGAGGCGGTTTCGAGGTCTTCCTGCTCATGGAATACTGCGCGGGTGGCGGTCTGATCGATTTCATGAATACCAGGCTCCAGAATCGCTTGACAGAACCTGAAATCATCAAGATCTTCTCGGATGTTGCCGAGGGTGTGGCCACTATGCATTACCTGAAGCCGCCTCTGCTCCATCGGGATCTCAAGGTTGAGAACGTCCTGATCTCGCGTTCCGGGGGTTCGTCTTGTTACAAGCTGTGTGATTTTGGATCCTCTGCACAGCCGCGTCCAGCGGCCAAGACGGCCGCCGAGGGTCGATTGATTGAGGACGATGTGCAGCGACACACGACGATGCAGTATCGCAGCCCGGAGATGATTGACGTTTACCGGAAGCAGCCGATTGATGAAAAGAGTGATATCTGGGCGCTTGGTGTGTTCCTGTACAAGTTGTGCTACTATACCACTCCATTCGAAGAGGTTGGGCAGATGGCCATCCTCAACGCCACCTACAAATTCCCCTCTTATCCTTCCTTCTCGGAACGGCTGAAGACATTTATCGGTGAGTTTTTTTTGGCGTCTGATAACTCTGCATTCATTGTCTGACGATCAAATAGCATCAATGCTCAAAGAAGATCCGCGGAAGCGCCCAAACATCTACGAGGTGGTGCGCGAGGTGTGCAGCATGCAGAAGAAGGATGTTCCCATTCGCGATGTTCGTAGTGTTGAATTCTTAGTTCCTATAATGTGCTGACCTGGGCTCCAGATCTACTCTAATCGCACCGCCTCCGAGGCGCGTCGAAACCAAGAACTGCCACCCACACCCACAGAGGCTCCTGCAGTGGGTGCAAAATTCTCACCACATATTCAGGAGACCAAAATCATTCCTGAAATTGCACCTATGCGCCGAGGACGACCTAGCAAGCCCCAATCATCTCAACCTAACTCCGCTAAACCAAGCCCATCTCCTTATCGGGGCCGGGGCGACTCAACAAGTTCACCCACTGATCCCTTTGAAGCTTTGGACGGTGGCGTTGCCAGGAGGAAGAAAGTCGCAGACGAGCTGTCCAATCGATTCCCGACTTTGGATCAGTTTAATATTTTACACGAGAAAGCGGACAGGTTCAATTTCGAGCCGACAGCGGAGCCCTCCAAGTCGGACGAGGACGTCTCCCAGAGACTCACCAATGCCTTGGCCGACGAAGCCTTTGCTCCGCGCCCGTCGCAGGAGCAAGAAACTCGGCGATCGCAGGTCTCACCCGTGCGGTCTCCGCCTGCGCGTAACGCTCCTCAGCAATCCGCGCCGCTGTATCAGCCTACTCCTCAGCGGCCCTCAATGGTTTCAACCGGGACAATGACTTCTCCTGCACAGACACCTCGTATATCAGAGCCGAAGATATCCAGTCGACCGATTTACCGGTTCCCGACATCGGACGAACGGCGGCCTTCCAGTCAGCCATGGGCTGACGAGGAGCGGACAACGCACAAGGTACCTTCGCCGAGTTTGAGGCCGGGCACAAGTCCGCGGTTGTCGTCTGACCGGTTATCGATACAGTCGAACTCCGCACGGCCGTCGATGGAAAGGTTGCGACGGCCGACTGGGTTGGGCTTGGAGCTTGATGATCCCGTCGGACGATCCAAATCCGCTGTGGCAAGGGCTCGCCCGGTTTCCGGGGGGAGATCGATCTCCCGCGCGAATCCGAAACAAGTCGGTCCTCTGTGGATCTGTCTCGCATGCAATACGAGGAAGGAGCACCGCCGCGATCAGTTCGTATGGATGTCGAGGACCGGGCCAACATTTCGTCAGATGTCGCCTATTTGCGCGCAATGGAAGAAGAAGAGAGTAATCGGAAACGCGAGAAACGATCCAGCAGTGGTTCGAAGCACATAAAGCGCAGCAGTCTGTCCAGTCTGTCCCTCTCGGGGACCAAGTCCTTGTTTGGTGGCCGCTTTGGTGATGCATTCCGTCGTTTCGAAAGCAGCAACCAGGATGCGCCGCCCACACCGTCGGTGGAGCAGCAAGCTGTGCTTGAACCCGCCGATGATAGTCCCCCGCCGGACGAGGATGTCATTCTGGATGACCTCGATCGCGATGACATCTCCCCGGAAATGCGCCGCGAGTTGGAGCGTCGCCGTCTGTCCCAGGAGGAGAAGAGGGTCGCCAACGCCGCGGCTGAGTACCGGCGCCGGGTCGCTGAAGGGGAAGGTGGAAGAACGGGTGGCGATGGGCCCCGCGCCCGTGCAATCCAGAACAAGGTGCAATCCTTGTTTGGCGAGTCTAACAAGCCCGCGCCGCCGCCCAAGACCGCGACCGGGTACGGCCACTACACGGAGTCAACCCCCGCTTTGCAGGCAAAGCACGAGGTGCAGTCATCCCGCTCTGAGGCGCCACGAAGCATTTCCCAAACTCCAGGCTCCGTTTACGGTGGTCGCGAAGGGCCTACGTCTCCCCCAGACCGTGAAGGAGGTGCCAGTGCGCCTCTCCCGCAGTCTTCGACGGGTTACTCCTCGGGCGCGCGGCCTGGATCGCGTCCGGCGGCACCCCCGAAACCCAAAAATCTCCGGGTTGGCGGTGGGCAAGGGACCTCCCAGCCCAGTACAGGACAGGATGCCAGTCACGCGACTCCCACTAGCCCGGGTGATGACTGGGAAGCCCAGTTCAGCCGCCGATTCCCTAGCCTTTCGGGACTGGAGATGGAGACGGAGATCAAATCGCCCAAGTATCACAGCCTGCGGACACGGAAAGTGTAGATTTTGTGGCCTAATACTGTTGCATATATAGAGACACATAGCCTTTTGGATATGAAGCGATGCATTGACTGGATGTTTTTCTATAGATCGTAAATACCAAGTCTTGGTAGTTAGGGCTGGATATATATTTCGGCAGAGGCGTGAGCTCCCACACCGCCTTTCACCTCACCTTTCAACATCGTCTGTTCGAGGCTCGCACCGGCACCATTTATGCGACATCATGGCTCCGGTGACTCTCCAGACGGTTGATGGTGAGTGCAGTAGATTTAACACCAGCTTCTTCAGCTACTGATCCCTGCGCAGACGATCTCAAGGAGGTGATCCAGCACCTCTTCGAGATCCAATCCGCCGTCCACGGCTACTTGGGCCCAGAGACTCAGCAAGAGCTGGTCCGAAAGATGTACGAAAGCCCTCGTTTTTGGTCGTCCCTTGGCAGAATTGACAACGATTTAGCAAAAACCTCACCCTAACCCTCTCTACCCTATCCTCGCACACGCAACTCCCCGACACTGCAGCGGACCAACAGGCCGACTTGTCCTCGACCGACCCCTCCAACCCCCCGCTCGCTAGCATCCAGCTGCCCCCGAAATAATCGACTACGTCGATTCCGCGCGCAACCCGGACATCTACACGCGCGAGTTCGTGGAGCTGGTGCAGCGCGGCAACCAAGATCTACGAGGCAAGCGCGAAGCCTTTGCAGGATTCCGGGACGTGCTGGCCCGCGAGATGCGCAGCGCTATGCCCGAATGTCGCGACGAAGTGGACCGCGTGGTGCGTGCGACCGGGGGCGGCGAGCCCGACGTCACGGCGACTGATGGTTCTGACGGAATGGAAGGAATGGCCAGAGGGTCAGCTGCTGGTCCAGGCGCAGCGTCATGATGATTATTATCGGCTCTGGTGCCTCTCAATGGCCATTATCTACAGTAGAAGGAGGTGTGGTGGGACTACGGGAGGATGAAACGGGGCGCTGGATTCTCAGGATTCAGAGGGTAGGAGGGCGGGTGGTGTTCCGGACCCTCGCGACCCTATCCTATCCCAACGGACCTCTTCCCCAGGTCGCGTCCCTCTCCCCGGATTTGAATTGGAATTTAGGATGGGGTGCACGATTTGAGATTAATATTTGGAAGCAAAAGCCACAGCGACGGCGCTTGGGGAGTTTGTGTTTTTAGTTCATTCTTTTTCAGACGGGCGGGATCAATTTACTTTTTTGCCACCTCCAGGCATTGACCCCGTCCTCCGAGACCGGTCTGTTTCAGGATCAACTGCCATTTGACCATTTCGCGCCCGCGCCAGGACAATTCATTGTTGTGCTAGCTGTCGAACTGACCCATTTAGGGCTGTGGGTATAGACATAGCTCGTGGCGGATCCGCCATGAGAACGAGGAGGAACATGAAGGCGCACGAGGACCGGGGGACTGGAATTGATAGTTCGTAGTCGTTGTCTAGTGACTAACGGGATTAGTCGGGTAGTTACTGCACCAGTACAGAGTCTCCCACTACTGTACTCCTCACCGCAAAAATACAAGATCTAACCGCCAGCGAGAGGGGGCAGAGCCGCGTGGTTGCCTCGAACCGCCGGTCACGGTGTATTACCGTACCGCGGTGTATGGCCTCGGGCCCGGCCGACCGGACAGGGGCTGATCATTGCTGAGTGAGAATAAAGTGGATGTAGGTACGTCAGAGGTAGGATGAGGATTATTCGGTCTGCCCTAGTAGGAAGGTAGTCATTCTTATATGCTGAGAATAGTACAGAGTAGGCAGTTCTCACTCAATCGTGATCACAGTCCTCTCCTTGGTCTGTGTCCACGTCCACACACAAGGGGGAAGCTGCGCCAGGGCCAGGGATCGCATCCTTCGTGGCGCCCTCCATCCCGCCCCCTCTGTGTATTTTCGATACATACATAGTACAACTAACTAGTCCAGGTGTATGGACTAGAGTAAACCCCAGACTGTGGCCCCCCCCGCTGAGGCCGGGGAATAGAATATAGGAGGAGTACGCCTGGTCCACTGCTTCCTCATCTGCCTCTCTCTCCGAACACAGCACATCACCCACCATCACCACCTCTTAGAACCACTTCTTCTACTATGCTCCTCCTCCCCTGACCCCCCTGTTACCCGCCATGGCCTCCCTCGACACCCCCGGTGATGGCATCACTGGGGGATACACCGGTACCTCGCTGGGCATGCGCATCACCATCGCGACCCTGGCCGGCGTCACCTGGTACAACGCCCTCGAGCTGATCATCCTGGTCTTCGTCACCTTCGCCCAGTACCGCGGCCTGTACTTCTGGAGTTTACTGCTCTCCTCCTCCCTCGGCCTGATCCCTTACTCGCTGGGCTTCCTGCTCAAGTTCTTCCAGATTACCAGTGCGACATGGCTCCCCTGCACGCTGCTGACCATCGGCTGGTACTTCATGGTCACCGGCCAGTCAGTCGTCCTCTACTCCCGGCTCCATCTGGTTCTGGCCAACCAGCGCGTCCTGCACCGCGTGCTCGTCATGATCGTGATCAACGCCTTCATCCTGCACCTCCCCACCACCGTCCTGACCTACGGCACCAACCTCGCCGCCGGCTCCGAGGAGAAGGTCTACAAGAACGGCTATAATATCATGGAGAAGATCCAGATGACAGGTTTCTGCCTGCAAGAGTTCATCCTCTCGGGCCTGTACATCTGGGAGACGGTGCGCATGTTGCGCCTCGACCCAGACCGCACCAAGCGCAAGATCATGTACCAGCTGCTGATCATCAACTTGATTATCATTGTCATGGACCTGGGCCTGCTGATCGCCGAGTACATGAACTTCTACATCATGGAGACCATGCTCAAGGGCGCCGTGTACAGCGTCAAGCTCAAGCTCGAATTCGCCGTGCTGGGCAAGCTGATCCACCTGGTTCACAACCATGTGTGGAAGCCCGAGTCCTTCTCCGGCCCGAGCGAGTTACCCGACTTTGTCGACGCAACCCGCGTCACCTCCGACCTCACGCACGCCGCCCCGCCCAAGGCGGCTCGCGGCGGCCCGCACTGGATGGACGCAGACGACATCTCCATCGCCATGTTCGAACACTCCCCGAACCACCACACCGGAAACTCGGACCTGAGCGGGGAGACTACCACCGCCACCTTCCAACAATACCAGCGCGACCACAGCCCGACCGACTTCACCGGCTCGGTCCATCGATATTCATACCAGAGTGGGCTCTCAAAGCCCAGCAAGCCAGGATGAAAAACAGAGATCTTGTGTGCTTTTTTTGTTCTTGACGAGCCATGTCTAACGAGATAACGCCCGTGATATTCACATACCTTGGATACCCTGGCAGCGCCGCACCCACCCACTTGGAACCGGGGAGACGCTAGCCTGAGCCGTCGCGTCCGGCTCTCTGTTGCATATATAATCAGAGATGATCCCACCCAGGGGGTTGTGAAGATGCATTGATACCCCCACGCCCCACCACCTGCATTAGTCCACTGTACATGGCAGCTTGGAGATTTTGGTGTATATACAGTGAAAGTGAGAGAGAACAATCAATCAGGGATAATCAGTATTTGACTCGGAGATTTGTCGGAGTCATTCTCAATTCTATATAATTCACCGATTCCCCGTGGGGACTTAGACTTAGGGTTTTTGTCTGTTTCAGGAAGGTCGACATTCTAGCTTTCAGCATGCCAGTTATAAAGACCGGGGAACCGCACCAGCCAGCCACGGTCGGTCTGTCTAACAAGCCCTCACCATGAAACACTCCAGTTTGCTCACTCTCTTCGCGGGCATCAGCGCCACCAACGCGGGGAAGAGTGATGCAGTAAGTGGCGCCCTCCCCGACCTATCCGACATCCCTTATTCAAATTCTAAAACATCCTCATAGTATCTCTTGGCGCGCTCCTCCGGCCCGGCATGCAGCAATGCACCCTCGACGCTCTCCCTCCCCGACGCGCCGTACGACAACTTCTTCTACTCTGACTGCAACGTCGCCGCCCAAGCGGTGGTGACCACCCCGCTACCAGATAGCGACCTCACCCAGATCGGACCGCGTCTGATCGTCGCCTGGCCTGCGGGCAATAGCGGCGCGTGCTCGTACTTTGCGCCGCAGAATGGCATCAACGGGTCCCTGTCCATTGCGCTGGTCAATTCCACTGTTGGGAATCCCCTGGGACCGGTGTATTCTAGCGCCAATAATGGGAGTGCAAACAACCCCAGCGTTGGCGTGAAGAGTGTCCTGCGCTTCAATTCCTCTGCTGTTCTCACGATTCCCGTCCTGGGTAGTATCCGCACGATTCGTGATTTCACTGAGGGACCCAGTATCCTCTACCCGGAGATCCAGGATGCCATCACCTTCACGACCAATGGCAACGGCGTCCAATTGAACCGACTGTGGCTGGACAATGTCACCTCCACGACGCTCACCTTTCAGCCCTGGGGCAGCAACAGCACCGGAAAGGCAACGGTAGTCAACCGCACCGTCCACTTCGAGCAGGGCGACTACCTCTTCTCCGCGGCGATGAGCTATCCCCAAATGACTCAGCTCGAGCCCGCCTCGGTGCTGAACTCCGAATCCGCTGATCTGATCACCCAAATGCCCGACCAGACGGCCGCGCTGTCGTTCCTGTCGTACTCGGACAAACTTCTCGCGGGGGCGTGGCGCTTCCTGACGTATTTCGGCCGCGACTCGATGATCTCGGCGCTGCTTTTGGAGCCGGTCCTCAGCAGTGGACAGGGTAGTGCTATGGAGGCGGTTATTGGCGCTGTCCTGGAGAGGGTGAATCGGACGGATGGCAGTGTTTGCCATGAGGAGACTATTGGGTGAGCTTTTTTTGCTCCTCGGGCAAAAGAATTGGTGGAAAGCTGACGTCTCTGCATAGGGACTATGCTACCTGGACCAATGAGCAGGAGGGCATTTACAGCAATGCCATGAGCTGCGACTACAAAATGGTACGAATGAAGAAGTGCAACGCACTGGTTGTTTCCATCTGAAACTAACAAACCGCCCAGATCGACTCGGACTACTACCTCCCCGTGTTGATGCAGAAGTACTTCCTGCAGAACCCCATCGGAAAGAGCAGAGCCACCGCGTTCTTCAAGTATGTCATCCCTAACCTAGGCCAAAAGGGCATCTTTTGACAGACCCTCCCTCTCCTCCAGCACCCAGGCCGGCTCCGTCAACGCAGCCAACCGCAACCTAACATGGGGTGAGCTGGCCCTCATCAACGCCGAGCGCATCATGCGCTTGACTGGCCCGTTTGCCAAAGAGCAGACCAAGGATAACCTGATTCATCTGAAGGAGGGTCAGATTGTTGGCCAGTGGCGGGATAGCACATACGGTGTGTCTATCTTTATATATTACTTTTGTGTGCAGGTACTAACAGACAATCTCGTAGGTATTGGAGGTGGACGGATCCCCTACGACGTCAATACAGCTCTTGCGCCCGCGGCCCTGCGCTCTGTCGCTGCTCTCGCTCGCGCCGGAGTGTATCCGCACGAGAAACAGTGGGCCACGGAAGCAGACAAGAATGCCCAAGTGTGGGAGGACTCGACACTGCAATTCTTCGAGGTACACCCACCCACCCTGCCCAATCTCCTAACTACTTTCCTTCATGAATCCCTTATACTAATCAATTGATATGAACAGGTCACAATCCCCCAAAAAGAAGCCCAATCCCGCATCGACACCTACCAAACGCGGGCCCCCTTCACCGTCCCAACCAACACATCCCAAACCATCGACTCGGACGTCACCTTCCACGCCCTCTCCCTGGACGGCTACGACTCCCTCGCCCAAGTCCAAGTGATGAACACCGACGACTGCTTCCGCCACTTCCTACTCAACACCACCAACGAAGCCCAGCTGACCTCCTTCCTCAACCAAACCGCCTCTAACATCCGCCGCACTTTCCCTGCAGGCCTGATGACTAGCGCCGGCATGGTGGTCGCCAACCCAGCCTTCGGGAGCGAGGATGTCTACGCCCAGAACTGGACCACGGGCGCGTATCATGGGACGGTTGTTTGGTCGTGGCCGCTCGCTATGATGGGGAAGGGCCTGGAGATGCAGATGGCGAGATGTGATCAGACGACGAAGCCATCCATCCCGCAGTTCTGTCATGATGCCTCGGTTCTTGATAATGTCAAGACCGCGTATAATACCCTCTGGGACTCGATCGAGGCCAATTCCCAGCAGCTCTCGACGGAGGTGTGGTCGTGGGTTTATCGCAATGGCGAGTTCGACGTTACGCCCCTTGGGGTTATGCCGCCGCCTCCTGGCGCAGGTACTCAAACTGGTATGTTCTTATTTCCTTTTCTCTCTACCTGTCTTGTTCTCCTATAAGCAATGGCTTGTTATATCCGCGCTCTCTGATTTGGGTTGGGTTGGGTTGGACATGTTTTCGCTGACTCTATCCCCAGAATCCGACATCAGACAGCTATGGTCTCTTTCCTTCTTGGCTGTCACTCGGAACGAGAAGTATAAATCATGAGCAATGTCTACATTGTACGTACTTGTGAAAATTCTAGATACAAACTGTGATAATATCATGGAAGAGGGCACACAGTGGTAGACGTTTATGGCACCGCTGACCTGTGCGTTGAGTATCTAGCTGCCCGGGTGGCCTCGAATTGAAACTATGTACTCTTTGTTTGTCTGGTCTGAAGGATGCTTCTCTCGTACTCGGTCTTGTTCATTACTAGATACGGGGTTCGCCATAAGAAACGCCTCATAATCAACGAAATACGGCATAGATGGCATGCATAGCAGGTAGGTAAAGGGTATGATCATTAAACAGATAAGAAAACATATAACAAGACCCTCATTACTCCAGAACAGTGAAATGAACATAAAAGAGACCTCTTCAGCTATCACTCGCCCCCAATCTCAAACGCACGATATCCCTCCACCAACCCGTCGGACAACTTCGACACCGCCACCCACGCAGGACTATACTGCCTAACCTCATCGAGCGCCGGGATCGTGCCGATGCGATTAGTATCGCTCCAAAGACAAGACACCTTTCCGGACAGTTTTTGTTTTTTCTCCCCACCATCAAACTGGACATCCACCGTCCAGGTATGATCCCACTCGCGACTCCACAGGCGGATTTCACTCAGCCCGTCCTCAGAAGGGGAGAGGAAGCGGTCGTCTGGCTCTGAGGAGCCGGCGACGCTGAAGTTGGAGATGGAGGGCTCGTCCATTGTTATCCTGCACGCGCGTGTGTTCTGGCCCGTTATGCTGAAGCGGACGTGGGTCGGGTTTGTAGCGGAGTCTGGGGTGGTGATGTTGAAAGAGACCCAGTCTTCTTCGGGATTTGGGACGACGTTGGGTGGGAGCCCGTGCCAGAAACACTGCATGCGGTCTATGACCCAGTCGCAGGATTCGAGGTGGCCATTTGCACTGGGGAGAGTGCTGACGACGTCCTCGACGAAGGGGGTGACTCCTTTCAGGGAGACGAGGGATGCGGAGGTATTGGCGAGGTTGACTTCTTGCGCGAAGTAGAGTTTCACGCGGTTGGAGTCGGAGAAGGGGAAGGCGACGAGGTTGTAGACTAGCGTGCCGGCAAAGACGAGCAGGAGCACGATCGGGATGTGGTATGTGTAGCGATGGATAAACGGCAGTAGTGGTGAGAAGAGGAGCGCCGTAAACGCTGCGATGGCAACATACACGAAAAGAGGCGCGCTGCCATCCTGGGTGGTTTGATGTAGGGCGCTGGTCAAGAGGAGAGCCAGTGGCCCGGCCAGGATGAGAGTTACCGGAACAGTAAGGAGGAGCTGCACAAGCCAGGTCCATCGCGGCATGGAGGCACTCCATGCTTGTTCCTGTCCGTACACATTCGGGTTCTTCTCTTCTTCCTCGTCTGTTTCAGTGGGTTCTCCCGAGACGTTGACATAGTTGGCAAACGTGGTGCGATGCCGACCACGCAGCAGCGAGGTGGATTCAGTGGGGTCTTCCTCGTCATTCTCCTCGTGATCGTCATTCGACGTCGTAGTGCCCAGTCGACTGCCATGGCTGCTGGGGCGTCGTGAGGACGGGGCAGTGAACTGATCCGCATACGCAGACTTGGGCGGCAGAGAAAAGAGCTCTAGATACGACACCCATGTAGCCAAGAAGGTTCCCGCAAAGCAGAAGAACACAAAATAGCCACCGGCCAGCCCGTCTTCATTCGCAAAAACGGTGGCAGCAACCAGCATTACCCACGAAAGGACAAACATCCATGTCCAGGTGTAGACCCGATGGAAGGCTGAGGGCCGAGCAAAATCGGCCACCCGTGAGACAAACCAGGCCGAGAAGATCCACGCAGAAACCATCATGCTCCACACGGCATACTGACTGCTATGCACGATGTGTGGGTTGACTTTGGTGACCAGGTAGGCCAGTCCGACGGTCACAGCCGTGGGGATGGCAAACAGGAACGGGAACCGGAAGAATCCCCGCAGTCCTCGTAGCGAGACGTACTCATCACGGGTTTCTTGGTAAACCGATGAGCGGAACAGGTACATCTTATCTGCGCGGACAAGCTCGATGCTGGTGACCAGCAAGGCCAGCGGCGCAACGACAAGTAGGGTGACCGACAATGCAAATAGAGTATGCAGACGAAAGACAGCGAAGCCGCTTCCAAACACATCGAACCACACGGCCGGAGTACCGGAGCCACTGGGCACTCTTCCATTATCCCGACGACGGCCATCAAAACGATCCGTCGAGTCAGACACAAGGTCGTTGGTGGACGCCACCGCGGCAGAGAGCATATGCCAGAGTGAATTCTTGCTCGCATGTCTTGCATCATCCTGATCGGTATGATACCTCGCTCTGGGCTCCATAAAAGCAACATCCAGACCACGAAGACCCAAAATCCCTTCGAGAACCACGTAGTCCGTCTGACTGCGCACAAGGCCTGTGTCAAACCCGTTGGCGCTCAACACCGACCCGAACGGGTATTTCGACTTCGCATATGACTGAGCGACTTCTGTGTCCGAAGCACGGAAAAGAGTGGCTCTCCCGCCTGCTCCCGCGCCCTCCAGGTTGAGGAATGTGTGCGCAAAGTTGGCCATCGGGTGCTGGCTGTACACCCTCGCGCCATTCAGATAGTCTTCCTCTCCATTGTTGAAGAGGACTACCAGCCCGCGCCGCGGTGCATGGCCCGGTGTGGTGAAGTACTTGATCAACTGTAGACAGGTCACAACGCCCATACCGTCATCGGTTGCACCGAACCCGGTCGATACGCTGTCATAGTGTGCGTTGACCAGCACGCCGCCCTTACCAGCAGGCACTCGGCCAGGAACCTCCCACCAGTTTTCCTTTCTGTCCTCCCAGCCCCGAATATAGACCAGGATATTAGTGCCTTCAAAGTAAACACCCGTCTCGCGGTCGGCGGAAGTCAGGTTGGAGATCAGATCATCAAAGACAAACACATCCGGCTTGTCGTCATTCTCCCGAGCCAGCGAGGACTGCTTGATCTCGTCGATGCGCTGTAATAACCATGCGTGCACCTCGTCATTTCGGTGCGAGTTGTACGGGTGATACCCTCCCGTCAGAGTCTGGAGGTCGCTCCATGCTTCGGTGAGGTTCAGACCGTTCGGGGACGTGTTGGGACTGGCGGGGACTTGGTGGTGGATCACCAGCAACGGGATGACCAGGGCAAGGTACACGGCCGTGACAATTATGGTGACGGGCCACGGCGTAAAAGCCAAAGGGTTGGCCCGCGAATACGCCATCGTGTGCAGCGAAGATGGGTTGAACGGAGTCGTTGGAGAGAGCGGGATGCCGTGCGGGGGAAGCTGTTCTTGCTTACATGATCGCGTTCTACTTCAAGTGTTCTACTATACTTGAGACAACTACAGACTCCGGACTGTACGTTGGTAAACAATAAATAAGTCGTTGCATGCTTGTTCGAGTAAATGCCACGTACTTCCCATCACTCGCCAACACGGCGTAACCAAAAAACACACAAAAAAGTCCGTAAACCGCTAGCGCACAATCAATGCAGTTCCCAGAATAACTAACACAGGACACCGAAGGACGGGGAAGGGGATGTAAATCTTCGCTGATACGGGGGGTGGAACAAAATATGACATAGGCTGCGCGGTGATGCAAGAAGCGCAGCAGGCGAATCGAATGATCATAAAGGGTATCTATCAGTCTTGGGATGGAGGCGCGACATCAATATATCCGTCGTCATCGTTGATGACCGTCGCGTGCATCAGGCCCGTCATCTGGCCTTCGTCTTCGTCCAGCTCTTCATCGTCGTCGTACATAGTTGCTTCGCTAGTTTCTTGTTGTCGCATGTGACTGAGGTGGTTGAGATGGTTGCGAAGCCGGCTGACGCCCTCGCCGCTGAAAACGCAGAATACATCGCGTTGTTGCTGCGTGAACTCGGGTGGGGCATCTCGACAGAACGCCGTGAGATCTGGTCGCAGGAAGGCATTTATCCCTGTCAGACTGAGGTGGGTGAGTCGTGGGCAGTGGTTGAGTAAGGTGAAGATGCCCTGATCAAGAGTCAGTAGTGGAATGGACACGCGAGAAAAAAAGACTTACCTCCTCGTTCAATTGTGTGCAGTAGCTGAGATGCACACGCTCCAGACTGCTGGTTACTGGGTAGTTTGACTTGGGTCGTGCCAGAGCGACGATACTTTTATTGGTGATGGACTGGCATTTGACGAGACCAATCCGTCTTAATTTGGGCAAGGTCGCCAGTTGCTGGATGCTGTGATCGGTCAGGCGGTTGCAGCAGGCCAAGTCGATGTATCGAATGCGATTGCACGACTTGATCAGATGCATAACCGCCTGGTCAGTAATGTTGGAACAGTGGCCCAGGTGCACATAATGCAGGTTCTTGCCCAGCTTGCAAATGGCCAGCACCGAGCGGTCCGTGATGAATCGACACTTGGCCAACACCAGATTTCGTAAGCGTGGAGCGGCACCGACGATTCTTTCTACCGCGTCGTCCTTGACATTCTCGCACGCGGTCAGGTCGAGGATGCGCAGACTGTCGAATATCAGATGTCGCGGGAGATTCAAAAATGCCGAGTCGTTGATCTCCGAGCAATGCGCCAATCGAAGTTCTCGTAGGTTCCGGAGCGTCGTCATGAGAAGCGTGATGGATGGGCCAGTCACCAGCCTGCATTCGTGCAAGTCAATCTCGAGAAGAGCCGGGCAGTTCTCCGCAAAGGACATGATCGACCGATCAGTGACATGGGAAATCCCGTTGAGTTTCAACTGCAAACATTAGCATCGATTCTCTTTTTCGTGGATCTGTCGACTTACCCGTTTAATCTGGCGACAGTTTTGCGAAACGACAAGCAACGAGTCGTCCGTGACATGGGCACAGCCGGTGATATTCAGTCCCTGTAGACGAGGACAGTTCCTTGACACCGCATACATGGTGTGATCCGTCAGAGACCGCAAATCCGAAACATCCAAAGCCTGTAGATGTCGATTCCCGTCCAACAGATCCGACACGCCCTTGTCCGTGAGTTTGGAACAGTTTGTGAGGGTCAAGCGCTCGATGCGCTTGCACTGGGTGAAGGGGACGACGGTGCCGTCGCTGACATCCTCCATCAAGGCCGAGAGATTCAGCCGCTTGATGAGGTCCGCGTAGAAGAAAAGACTATCGGGCTTGGCTACCGAAGAAGCCACGCTTTTCAGATTATCCCAGTTGTTGCACGACGGCCGGTGCCACAGGATGCCGACACAGTTCGCCGCCCAGCTACGGCAGACGAGCATGCACCTTAGCATATCGGAAGGCGACGTCAGCTTCGAGAAGACGCCGATGAGTAGCTCGGGCGGGAGGCGGCCGATGGGGGGCAGGGCAACGGTCCGCTCGGGGAGTACGTGGAGGTCGCGGAAATTGGCCACACCGACCGACGACTGCGAGTCGTTGGCCTGGGCCATGAAGAAGTCGGTGTCATCGTCGGCGGCGCGCTCGGGCGAAGTCGAGGATGAGGTTTCGGAGGGTGCTTCGCTCGAGAACCGAGCGGAGGATCGTGGGCGGGGCATCACGACCGCCGCTGATGTGCTCTTCGAGGTCCAATCCTAGCACCTTTTGGAAGAGTCGAGTCTCATATATCAATAGGGGATATTATTCGGCATGGGCGATGAGGCGCATGTGAGGGTGGTCTCGATCGGGTAGGCGGCCGTGTGGCTGGTTGGTTGGAGGGGCGATCGCTGGAGGCTGACCGACTCTGACAGGTGGTATTTTGGGGGGAATCTCTTGAATTTTCAAACTGAGAGTTCGTTGCTGGGAAGTCTCAGGCCTGATATGAAGGACTTAGGGATGGCTGGGGTTCCGGTGGAAAACAGGGGTGTCCTCGGAGGGGATGGGGACAATATGACGAAGGAAGGGCGCGAGGGCGAGAACGTGATGGCGGGCGCGTGAAGAGACCGGGGTTGGATGGGAATGGTGGTGGACTGGAGAATATCAACTGACAGATGGAGGTCGATCTCGCACGAGGGCAAGGTAGGAGAAGGGACTAAATTCGGGCGAGGAAAGGCAAGACCGAGTGAATGGTCAAGATCACTAATGTAATGGAATGAATGGATGGGGCCGGTTTCACGGCGGAGTTGGGCGCCAAGACTGCTTATCGATATCGATCTATATTTACTCCTTCACTATGCTCGAAGCTACTACTTCTTCACCCACTCGCGCAGAATATTCTTGCGGATCTTGCCCGTGCTCGTCTTGGGCAACTCCGCCACCACATCCACTTCGCGCGGGATCATGAACTTGCTGATGCCACTGTTGTTCCGCGCCCACTCAATCACCTCCGGGCCCTGCAACTGCTTGCCCGGCTTGACCGTCACAAAGGCCTTGGGCCGCTCGCCCCAGTGGGAGTCGGGGACAGCGACGACACCTGCTTCCAGAATATCGGGGTGCGTGACCAGCATGGACTCGAGGGCGACCGACGAGATATTCTCGCCACCTGCCATCCATTTGTCAGCCAGTGCTTTGAAATAGGGGCTCAAAAAACATACCGCTGATGATGATATCCTTGGCTCGATCGAGGATCTGGATTGCGCCGTCGGCATGCCAGATGGCCAGGTCGCCCGAGTGTAGGACTCCGCCCGCGAACAACTTGCGAGTCGCCTCCGGGTCTTTGTAGTATCCCCGAGCACAGATATTGCCCAAGAAAACAATCTCGCCAATCTCCTGGCCATCCTTGCGAACCTCTGTGATGGTTCCTTCGGGGACATCGGCCTTGATCACTCGGCAGGGAAGACTAGTGATGAAGCCATGACCCTGCCGCGCCATCTTTTGATACTTCTCCTTGAGCGAGATCTGATCCCATTCCGGCAGGTAGTATCCCTTGGTGATAGGGCCGTAGGTTTCAGTCATGCCGTAGACATGCACCGGGTGCAGGTTGAGGTCTGTCATCTGCTCAAACAGATGCGCCGTGGGTGGACTAGCAGCCACCGTGACACGCACGGGATCGGGCAGTCGCTCCGCTTCTTTGGCATTGCAGAGCAGCGTATTGACTGTGGGAGCTGCATTGAAATGGGTGATATGCTCCTCTTTCAGGAGTCTCCAGATCTCCGGATAGTCAATCTTCCGGAGACAGTAATGCGTGCCGCGCACTGCGGTTACCGACCAGGGGAATGTCCATCCTAAACCAGTGTTAGTCTAGCTGTCGCGGACAAAGAATAAGAGCACGAACCCATGGCATGGAACATAGGGAGAGTCCATAGATAATGGGCTCGCCCACGGTGATAGTTCAGGCCAGACTCGACGACGTTAGCTAGGGCGGCCAAGTAGCATCCACGATGGGTATATTCAACACCCTTGGGCCGGGCCGTAGTGCCACTGGTGTATGCCAGCGCAATCGTGGAATCCTCGTCAGCCGCCTGGCTTTCCAGGGCGCTCCAGCCTTTTGCCCCGGTCTCAGAGTCATACCGCAGTCCCTCGAGAACCGCGTCATCAAAAGGGCCTTTCAATTCTCCCTCCGTTGCATCGGTGTCGGTATCCACAAGAATAGGCACTTTGGGATGCGCCGATCGATATGTTTCGAGTAGAGGGACAAATTCTTCGTCCACGATGATTAGGTCGGCATCTCCGTGGTCGAAGATGTAAGCGATATCTTCGGGCTTGAGGCGATAGTTGACCGCTACACAGAAGCCACTTTAGTTTGGTATTCTCGTAGATGTCAACGACTATTATCTTACCAACATTTACCGAACCCGCCGCCGCAATGCCAAATATCGATTCCAGGAATGCCGGGGTATTGGGGCATAGGATTCCTACTCTCTTGAAGCTACGCTTCTTGAGGTAGTACGCCAGACCCCTAGCACGGTCGGCGGTCTCCTGGTATGTCCGACGCAGCACCTTGTTGTTGGCTGTCACATGGTAGATTGCCTCGGCCTGCAAGTTGTGTCTCTGTTAAGATTGCGATTAATCGCTCTCGAATCTTCACGTACATTGGGTTCAATTTCCGCCGCGCGAGGGAGGAAGAAGGTTGGTGATAGGGTATGGTGATTGTAGCGATGCTCAAAGGGGACAGGGCCCGAGGAGAAGTGGCCCAGGAGGCCCGACAAACGCGACTTGACGCCTGACATGATCGACTAGTACACAGGAATGCAAAGGAGTGCAGAAGGGAATATTATTACATAGGGTGAGTTGGAGAATCCTCCAGTAGTTATGCGGGGAAGTTAGTCATAACCTAGGTTCGGCCGGCCGGGTGGAACAGGGTCGGATAACTGTAGTAGCGTATCTAGGGGCTAGGTAGACCTACGGCGACCTACGCAGACTAAAACTACACCCCAAATGAACGGTCATAACGTTATGATCATTGGAACTCTTGAATGTTTTGGATTCAACCGCCACGGCGCGAGTCAACCGGCCAGCTATTTGGAACAACCCTTTCTTCCCATGCAACTCCGTTTTTTCTGCTGTTGGAAAACCCCGAAGAGCCCCAGTCCCCTCTATTCCAGGAGGAACCGGGGGATAGATCAAAAAAGGTCGATCTCGGCTTGCCGTTCAAGATTCGCGGAAACAAAAATAAACCGTTTGCGATCCCATTCCATCAGACAACACACAACCACCCGGCTCCGCGCTAATAAGGTATCTAGTAGCCGTACTGAGCAAGCTGGGTCTTGGTCTTGCTGTTCACGTTCGCCTTCTGCTCTGCCTGAGCAAGGTTGCGACGAGCGGCCTTCTTGCGCTCGTAGTATGCCTTGCTCTTGACCTTCCGCCGCTCCTCGAGTCTATGAGTGTCATATTAGCATTTTTTCTTCATCAGTATTGGGTGTAGGATTACCCACCTAGAAACAACATCCTGGTACTTCCAGCCAACCTCGTGGCTGAGACGACCGACGGTGCAGTACTTGCGACCGGGGCGCAGACGCAGGATACGCAGAGCCTGGGGAACGACGACACGCTTCTTCTTGTCGTAGGGGGGAGGGACACCCTCGAAGACCTTCAGGCGCTCCATGGCGGCGGCACCGCGGGCGGTCTTGTGCGGGATCATGCCGCGGACAGCCTTGTAGAGGATGCGCGAGGGAGCGCGGAAGTGGAAGGGACCGCCACGAGTGGGGTTGAAGCGAGTCATCTTGCGAAGGTAGGCGTGGTACTTCACTGTGTGCGAATTCGAATTAGCATGGACGATTCATCCCAGTATTTCATATGCCCCGATTTTGTTTCTCTTCCTGGTTCTCCAACTGCTGATCATAGTGTCCTCCTCTTGTGCGAACATGAAATAGAAAAAAAAAACTCGAGAGGCGAGGGGGGCAAACGTACGCTTCGCGCGGAAGAACTCGCCGGAGATGTTGAGGGCTTCACATCTCACGACGACGATCTTCTGGCCGTTGAGCAGCTGCTTGGCAACAGTGCTGGCCAGGCGACCCAGGAGGTGTCCCTTGCCGTCGATAACGACCTGGATTGAAGATTGGAGTCAGCGACGTCTGCCGTGTGCAAAGCGTTCGACCAGGAACAGGGGAGGCAGGAATAGAACGCACCACTGGTTCGAAGGAGGACATCCTGCTCTGTCACCGTATGAAAAGGAAATGTCCCTTGGGGTGGATGGTTGTCGGCGGTGGTTGTCGTTGGTGTCGAAATCCACACACGGATCGAAGTGAAAGAGACTAAGCGAATTGTGTTGTGCGGGACCATGTGACCAGAAAGCCCTGAAGGGTTGTGTGGGTCACGTGGTCCGCGGCGAGTGTGTATTAGATAAACATTGATGCCTGAACACTGAGGTGGATAGGGAAAAAGCACATGTCCTTCCTTCACTTCACAAAGTCTTTTCTCGTTACTACGCTTGCATTCAGTCAAAGCAGCATTGCCCTACTTTAAAGCCCTCCTGTACAGCGAGCATAGAGGAAAGAATATCAAATAAAGTGAAATAACAGGCATTTGAAACCTTCGCCCTACCTAGCGCCGGCACTGATTGCCTGATACTGTTGAACCGAAAGCTTCGCAAGAACCGAACCAATGCCCACTTGTTTAGGTGGGATGGCTTGCAGAGCACACTGGCACCACAATGACCGCTGACGGTCTTTCTTGTTGATGAAATATTGCTGCACATTCCACAGCGGACATATGACGGTCAGCTTCATCGCAGAAGCATAACTATACTTGTCCGAGTAGACTATTGCCTGGCATATCCGCCCTGCAAAGACATCGGTGCACTCCTCAACCCTGGAAAGTTCCGTATCCAGCCCCTGGCCCAAAGAACCGAACCACTCGGTAAGCATAGACTCGCGATCAAGGCATGGACATTTATGTTGGGCGGGCAATGATGGACGTGAATCTTGTGTGTATACGATCGTGGTCTTGTAGGTTCTCATGAACTTGGAAGCCTCGTAGTTCAACACAAAGAAGCCTGTCCAGCAAAGAAGAAGAAGCTGACAGATATATCGGTCTGAAAATATAATGACTTCTGGAAATGTATCGATCAGCTCGGGATAGTCTTCGACAAAGGATAGTTCGCCAGGTTCCGCCGCTCTGATCTTGAAAGCGCAAGATTCTTGACGATACAAAAGTTCAAGATACCACAGCCGAAGTTTGGAATATGTGGCCCTGAACTGGTCAAGGAACAGATGTTTTGCAGAGGCTGTCTGCTCGACTTCGCCATAAAGCTCCTCAAGCCGAGGTATGGCTTCGTGAATAGTTCATCGAAAGGATGCGTGGTCCCATGGTAAAAGAGTCTCGCCCATTTTCTTTAACCATTTTCTTTAACTCGTCCCTAGGGATTCGACCGATGATACTGCCGTAATTGGTCTCGATCATGAAGACAAAGTTCCTATCCCAGTTGTATTCGCTCAGCGCTATATTGGTAGGGCATCCAGTCCACTGAGCGACGTGCACCCGATTCGTATCTTCTGCACTCGAGGGATCCAATAGGAGGCGCTGGTACAAGACGGATCTTCCTCGATGCATGACAGGCACATAGGTGTTTCCATCTCGTGTGATATCACTTTTTTGAAAACAAAGTCATATAGTTCTCCTTTCGGATCTGGGGATTGCCCACGTGCCGCCGGTGGCTTGGGATTGGCAATGCCTTGCGGTTTGGTAACAGGTCCGGCAGAGGTAGAAGGCGAAAGTAGCAGATGAAACCCCAGATGTAAGAATAAAAGTGCAGACCAAATCATCGTGAAAGTTGGGAACGGTAGACAGGAGCCAGGTACTTCACGCGGGCCATGCTCCTACTTATGACTCAAAGAATAGGGGGCAAGTGATTTATTATGAAAGCCCAGGGCAGGATCGGGATTGTCTGTCTGAGGCTAGGGCTTGGACATCCCGCCCTTCTTTATCTACCGCCTTCCTATGATTCCGGGCACACAGCGCCCCATAAGGAGTGCTATGGCTCCTGGGAGGTGGGCGATAGATACTGGTTCGAGCGATAGATAGTCGAAAGGAAACTACGACTCAGTATGATTCCAAAACTGATCACAGGCTCTATACTTCATCTGGAGCGTGTGGAGACCGTCGCTCTATGGAAATTTACCCTTGACGTCGCTGCTCCAGAACTTAATTCAAGCCGGGACATCAACCAGATGAAATTGGAACGACAAATTGATGATTGAAGAAAAGAGGATCCTCCGGAGGTTGACGATGGGGTAGCGGCAGGCGTTGGCGGTGTGGTCGCTTTCCCCACACAGGCAGAGTATAGTTCTCTGTTCACTACCGTGTACAACAACACAAGATGCACCGCAAGACTCGCTTCGTCTGCGTCTCCGACACCCACGGCTACACGCCTTCCGAGGCGGGCTTCAAGATGCCCTCAGGCGATGTCCTGATCCACGCTGGCGATCTGACGAATAATGGCAGCATGGCGGAGCTGCGGGAGACGATGGCGTGGATTTCCCAAGCCGACTTTGAGATCAAAATCGTTGTGGGAGGTCAGTTCTGTCCCTGACGCCCGAAAATACGTCTGCCGCTCTACTTCTCATCGGCTGAGTTTCTGAACGAATAGGCAACCACGATGTCACTCTCGATCCGGCATTCTATGCCCAGCATGGACGAAGTTTCCATGGCTCCAACGCTGAAGATCCACAGCGATGCATCGAGCTCATCACGGGCTCTTCGGTCATCTTTCTTCAGCATCAATCGGCCATTATTCGGCTGACTCGACCGGACGGACCACATACGGTCTTCAAAGTATTTGGATCGCCTCATTCCCAGTTCGAAGGAAATTGGGCCTTCGGGTATGAATCGAGTGAAGCCAGCGCGCTCTGGGACCAGATCCCACGCGACACGGATATCGTGGTGACGCACACGCCGCCCCGGTCTCACTGCGATGCGAAACTGACTGGGCGACACGTTGGGTGCGATGCTCTTCGCCAGCGCTTGAGTTGCATCAGGCCGCCGTTAGTCATTTGCGGCCATGTGCATGAGGGGAGAGGGTACGAGCGAGTGCGATGGGGAGCAGCAGATGCGGTCGAGCGTGTGATTCGGGGCACCTTGCCGCCGCGAGAAAGTAAAAAGCAGAGTCTGGTGGATTTGACGGGGAAACGGGACGAGCCTCTCGACAGCGACGGGTTTTGGGTCGAGAGTACGAATCAGGGAAGCTCGGTCGCTGGCAGGTCATCTGCAGGGATGGAGCTTGAACGACAGCCACGCCGCAGGGAGACCTGCATTGTCAACGCGGCCATCATGGCAACCAGCTGGCCGCATCGAGCCGGGAAACAGTTCAACGCCCCCATCGTGGTCGACCTGGAGCTTCCGGTGTGGCACGACGCAAATCCCCCGGGTGTCTGATCTCGGCGAACGTTCTGCTTGCTTCGGATCGACACGCCGTGAGGGAGTGACATGCAATGCTATTGCATGCTCTGCAGCGTGGCTGGGCCCTGAGGGAGGGAGCTTTGGCCAGTCGAGGGTGTTTCTGGTTGGCCGCTTTGATATCACCAGCCAGTGGGCGGCCTGTCAGATCGAAGCGTTGGCTGGACTCCCGCCTGGAAAGTTCTAGCGCTGCTTAAAGCGGCAGCAAAAAATCCTCCCATCACATCATTATCGTCCCCGTCATCTGGTGTTCCCCTCAGACGTCGCAGCCAGCGCCTAACCGCCGGCGCTGACTGGATGGCGGAGCATCCGGGCTTTTGGGGTATCCCTTACATGAAAGCCATGCGAGGGTGATCATCTTCAGGTCTGGCTCGATCTGGGGTTCTCGTGCGGTACCGACCGACCGAGCAGGCGAGTGGCACCCGACACAACATCTACAGCATTCCGAAACCGACCCTGGTCACGGTGTTCGGCGGCGGCGGGGCGGCCGCAGATCATGTTGAAGTGTGTTGGCTATGGAACTCCGGACGGTGTGACGAATGTGCGACCGGCTCGAGTGGACACGGAGGTCTTGGTTTGCCGCTCAGAGGTGGGGATCGCAAGCCTAATTCACGACTAGCTCGCTGATGCATCTCCCATCACACTCGGTCAACTGATGGGGGGAGCCCCAGCTGATGTGAGTTGCCCCTCGATGGCATTAGTGTAGCAAGTTACAGGACCGAGGCGGGGCGACAATTCAGTGGTGGAGAGTTAATAATAGTGGTTAGGCAATTCATTACATAGTTCTGCAATCATCCGTCCATGGTACCGGTCGGGAGGGGCCGTAGGAATGACAAGTGAGGCGAGGCCTTGAAGCCCAACAGGGCATGATGCGATGGGGGCCAGGGCCACCAGTGGGCGTCATCCATCATTCCGGTCAGGGCGATGGAATGAGGATTCCATTTTACCGGTTCGGATGATTATTTATGAGCCCTAGTCTTCATTGATCTCTCATTCTCATTCATCCTCAGTATCTGTAATACTGACTCAACGCCACCTTGGCCCTCGGTGTGGCTGAGTCCCTGTTTTTTTCCCCCTGACAAGTTCTTTCATGTTCTTCGCCTCTTCATTCTTCTGATTCGCTTCGATCCTAGTCCGTTCGGCTATTCGGATTCCTCTCCTTCATAATCTCTTCTCTCGCCCTCCAGAACAGTCTGGATGCATCATCGGTCTTCGTGCGCCCTGTGGCTTCGTCACATAGAATACGCCGACCAAGCCCCCTCCACCGCCTCTCTCTCTACTCCACTTCCCCATCACCGCTTCTTCCCCCTCAACCTGTGAGTCTCTCCTGAGACACCACGGTGATGTCCTCTCCCCCCGATATAGACCCCTATGCGACCCTGGGCGTGCCCAAGGACGCCACCGTCTCCGAGGTCCGGGCTGCTCATCGCAAACGAGTCCTCAAATGCCACCCCGACAAGATTCAGGATGAGTCGCAACGGAATGCCGCCCAGGATGAGTTCCAGCGCGTTCAGCAGGCCTACGAGTTGTTGTCTGATGAAACGCGACGAGCTCGCTACGACCACCGAGCCAAATTGGCCGACCTGCGTCGGGAGCTCCTGGAACGCAGGCGGACGACCGACTCGACGAACTATTCCTCGCCACGCGCCACTGGGTCGATGGGGACCTCGCGCGAGTATCGTGATGGACGCATATACGAGGAACGCGTGCCCCAGGAAGCGTTTTTGGACGACGAATTGCGCTTTACAGATGAACCAAGGCCCATGTCGCGCAAGTACGATGATTTTGGTATGAGGTCAAAGCCCAAGTTTGGCGAGGACAAGAGGAAGTCCCGGACCGTGCCGGTCAGTAGCTACCGTGCGGCAAAGGAACAGGCCCGTGATACGGCCAAGGCCACGCATTCCGAGCGAGCCAAGTATCGCGATAAGGAGCGGCGACGGCAGGTTTGGGAAAAGTTTGATCATGCGGCAGCGCATGGTGAGTCGGACGACAATGCATCGGATTCCAGCGTTGCTGCCGGTGCGACATTTGTTCGCCTGCCCCGGCTCAATCGCCGCTCTCGTACGACGGATTCTCAAACGGCGGAGTCCTCGCGTCGACGCGAGCGATACTACGACGATGACAATGAATATTCCGACAAGCACCGCAGCTTGCATACGCAGGCAGAGGACTACATTGAGCGATCCAAGGTCCCCAGCAGTAGTAGTCGTCGGCCGCGGGTGTCGCGGTCCCCACAGCGCTACCGTGGCTACGAGTCGGCGGAACCAGAGTCGTCCGCTTCGCGGCGCGCGGCTCGGTCCACCCCCAGACGCGGCTCCTCGTCGCGCAACCCGTCTTATGACGATCTGGACTCCTCTCCGCGGCCCAAGTTTCCCGCCAAGATGCCCACAGCCTCAACATCTCCGACCGTGAAGAGTCCGCGCCCTTCATTGTTTTCGAGTCGGTCCGCCACGGCGACTGCTTTCACCCGATCCAAGTCCAGTCGTCCGGAGTCTTCAAACCTATACAACATGGCCCATGAAACCATCCCTTCGCGCTCCTCCAAGCTGCACCGGTATGACTCCGGATACTCCAGCCCCAGCACGCCCGAGATGCCCGCAAGGTCGAATTCGCCAGCCAAGTCCTCAACCCGCTACAAGATCGTGACAGAGCCCGAGGACCTTCCGCCTTCCAAGCCCAAATACCATCGAACAATCTCGCCCGAGCGCACAGAGCGTCCGACACCCCGACCTCCTCCCAAGCGCAGCACCACAACTTACTCCTACACCCCGGAGTCCTCGCCTCGCATTGAAACGCTCAAACCGCGCGCTGAGCGCGGGTCTTCGGGACGACCTGCTTTCCGTGATGTGGAATACACGACTCGTGTGAACGATCGTGACGTCAAATACGCTCGCGAGATTAGGCCCGACGATGTCCTCTACTCCAATCGCAGAGCCTACTATGACACCCATCGTGCTCCTCCACCGGGGAGACGGCAATCTGCCACCGCATGATTTCCTCACTTACGACAGCTCTCTCTTTGTTTTTGGTGGTTTTTTATTTTTGCAGTTTTTCATTCCTTCTTGTCAATACATACCTTGTGTGGCTTGTCCTTTGACAATCGCCATGCCTGCCATAGAAACCCTCTGGTTTTATCAAACCATGATTTCTCATTACTATCAGATTCGCCCCCCAGCAAAGCAGAGTGCTGGAAATGGTTGCAGAGGGTATCTCTCCGTGAGAGCTCGACTGCTCGCAACCGGGGCGGTTTCTTGTTCTTCTTTGGTGTTTAGGAGCTAGCTGGTGTTCTTTGTTCTTTCCCCCTATCATTATCCCAATGAAATTCACACCCGCACTTGGCATTGGGATATCTTTCCTTTGTCCTTGGTTACTGTCTTGTCTGTCTTTACCTGGGAATCACCATCACTATCAACATCACCCGCATACTCATTATCGTCATGCCCATGCTCTAGACTCTCGCCGGGAGACCCATTTAACGAATTACGTTCCTTGATACGACTGATAACGCTTTTGATTCCATTATTTGTATGTAATTTGAACAGAATGAAGAGGATTGGTAGTGGGTACCACATATTCTTGGATATTGAGAGTAGAGTAAAGCAGAGTAGAGAATGTATTTACTTGAACCATTGCTGGCTATGTACATGGACAGGAAAACATCCATAACAAACTCAGACAAAATCAAATCGCTAGATACATTAGAACACAGCGCATGGTGGGTATTGTGTGAACATTTCCCAGGTCTATATCTTCTTTTCCCTTCCATTCTTCTTTTCATAGAGATTGTAGTTACTGTAAGTCACACCCATGAAACAAACATATACACAGTATATCTCACGCTAAAAGGGATCAAAGAGGCAATCGGCCACGAGTACTTAGATCAGAACATAGAAAGCACACATCTAAAACACAAGTCAGCATTTCATCGAGGATGATCGAGCGTCAAAGCGTAGAAACATACCATAGACAGACCCAGAATCATGGAGCACCAGAAAAAGACATTCTGTATCAGGAATATCAGCAATGTGTACAAGACGAAATAAAAAAAGAATACTCACGTTGAGAGTCGTCCGACCCCGGAAGAACCGGGACTTCTGGACAGCAACGATAGGCAGCTGCAGCATCATAGCCCCGAAGCCATAGCCGCGCAGCTTTTTCGTGATGCAGCTCATGACCAGCTCATGGGCCAGAGCGCTGACCAGGAACGTGATGAGCATGGCGACGGGCTGGGAGAAGTGGGAGCGCGCAGGGAAGTAGACGTGCCGGAAGAGGAAGTGGTGCACGGGGACGTTCCATTCTCGCGAGAATTCGAGCCTGATAGGTAGGGAGGTACTTGGTTAGGGAATACCGACAAGCATAGGAGGATAAATATGGGGAAGAAAAGACGCACCAGTCACACGAGTTCCACCAGTCTGAGTAGAAATGTCGGTCCGCGAACCGGGTCATTTCCGCGAATGCACCGAGGACATACTCGAAAATGACCAGGAACACCAGCAGGAAAGTCAGCAAAAACGGAAACAGGAGCATGCTGACGGACTCTGCGAGGATGAGTGCTTTGTCTGCCACGCTGTCGTAAAGGTCCAGCTGATGGTGGGCCTCGTTCAGGACGGGGAGAATGAATTCTTCGCTTGTCATGGTCAACAGGAAGATACATCCGAACACAGCTAGAGCCTTGTATCCGATTTCTCGCCAGCGCCGCTCAGGATTACGCGGGTACTCGAGCTCATAGCACAGCGTCGGACAGAAGAGGAAGTCGATATAGTTTCCTACATGGAGGTTCTGTGGGTAGGAGATGTTGCCCAGTGGGGAAGTTAGCTCTGTGGCTAGATCCTCGCGCAACTTGTCGAGGGGTTCGGTCGGGTGGCCTTCTTCATGTTCTTGTTGCAATTTCATGGATGGCCGACGTCGTGGTGTCTCCGGGTACCGGACTGCAGCGGTGGATTCGGCCTTGATCTCGCCTGATTTGTCTAGAGCTGCCAAGCGGCGCTGGGTTTCGCTCAGGTGCCCATTGTAGAACGCGTAGGAGTGCAGCTTCATTAGGATGGTCAGGAGGTGCAGCGTGAAGAAGACCTGAGCCGTCCAGGTCCAATGGCGCATGAATGGCCAGCTAATACCCAAGTCAGTCAGTTGAGAAAGTGAACAAAGACAGAGAGAGAAGGGACTCACTCACTTGAGCCATAGAAACATCCACAGTGCCTCGCCCACACTCTGAATCACCACCCCAGCGCGAGACCACCGCAACCACTGCGGTCCACACTGATACAGCTTGTGAAGTGGTAACACTAGACCCGAACTCACCACCATGGCCAGGTCGCTAAGAGCCATCTCATACACGTTGGCCGTCAACAAGCTCCACACCCGCACGCGTAAAGGGTATCCAGTATCCTTGATATTGCGCAGCATCGTCGTCCCGACCATAATGGCCAGTCCAATCCAGAAGAGGGTAAAGAAGCCCCTGAAATTGTGGTAGTCGCTCTCCGGATCAAAGTGGGACACGCGTGGCACGTAGTCGATGGTGTAGAACAGGCGGTTGCGCGCCCGCACCTGCTTCCTGGCCGTAGAGATGGACCTCGCTGAGGGCGGCGCATCGTCAGGGACAGGGGTGGACCAGCCACTGCATGAATGATGAGCCATTGCGCTGCATGAGCGGTCCATGTTCGAACGTACCTGTTGTCTAGGGAGAGCTTCGAGGCGGCAGGAGAAAGCGTCGACTCAGACTTCAGATCAGATTGCAGAGGAACAGCTCGTGGCCGTAGGTTCGAGGCATCGTGAGAGATGGCAGTGGACATCCTGGGTGAATTGGATATCCCACATGGACCAGAGGTCAAGAATGAGTTGAGTGGTTTATTTGGGGTCGAATCCGATGCCGAGGAGGAACGAGGCCACTACGTCATTCAGCCTTACCGGTAGTGTCCTGCTTGCACCTAGCCTAGACCTCCGATGTATTCTACACACCTAAAACATGGATGTATCTTCTATCCTCCTGCACTGAATTCATTTCCGTGCATTGACACAGCTTCCTTCACATTTCCACCAAAACATGCATTTCTGCCTCAGGCACCAATAACTGGTCACATGACTATTACCGAATCCAGCCTAGCCCCACGGCCTCAATCAAGCCAGGTCGAAACAAACCCAAAAGCACAAAGTCCAGACCGTTGATCCGCTGCCACTCTTCTATCCTCTTCTCTGCTCAGGAACCTCTGCCGTGGACTCCTCCTGACGGTCCATCCTCCTGTCTCTTTCCTTTCCTCACCCCGCCGGCGGGGGTCCTCGTGGCCGTCATGTCTTCCCGTAAGTTGTTGCCCGCCGCCCCTCCATCCCCTGATCCCCCAGGCCCCTCCCCCGTTGAGGTCGCATTGCTGACCCCGGTTGGACGATCTTAGTCAAGCAATTCATTCGGAATGTCCGTTCAGCAAAGACCATCGCCGACGAGCGAGCCGTCATCCAAAAAGAGAGCGCCGCCATTCGTGCGTCGTTTCGAGAAGAGAGCCACGACTCCGGTGTCCGGTAGGTGGCAGCGAGTACTTCCCAATGGATACAACCCCCTAATAATCTTACAGGAGGAACAATGTCGCTAAACTGCTGTACCTGTTCACTCTCGGAGAGCGCACCCACTTCGGCCAAATCGAATGTCTGAAACTCCTCGCCTCACACCGGTTCGCCGACAAGCGGCTGGGATATCTGGGGACCATGCTGCTACTGGATGAGAACCAGGAGGTCTTGACTCTAGTGACCAATTCTCTTGGAAAGTATGTGCTGCATTCGAACCCCCTCGTTTCTCATTTCTGACCAAAGGCAGTGACCTCAACCACTCTAATCAGTATATCGTCGGCCTGGCGCTCTGTGCCCTCGGTAACATTGCTTCGATCGAGATGTCCCGCGACCTGTTCCCCCAAGTTGAGACCCTCATGTCAACAGCCAACCCTTACATTCGCCGGAAAGCCGCCATTTGTGCAATGCGGATATGTCGCAAGGTCCCGGATCTGTACGAGCATTTCCTGGAGAAGGCCAAGACATTGCTGGGAGACCGAAACCATGGCGTCTTGCTTTGCGGGTTGACCTTCGCGATCGACTTGTGCGAGGCAGAAGAAGAGGAAGAAGGCCCGGAAGGCGTGATTGAGATGTTCCGTCCACTCGCTGGAAACCTGGTGCGCGTCTTAAAGGGACTCACAACGTCCGGGTATGCACCCGAGCACGATGTCTCCGGAATCACAGACCCTTTCCTGCAAGTGAAGATTCTGGGGTTTTTGCGTGCCTTGGGCCGGGGCGACGTAGCAACCAGCGAGTTGATCAACGACATTCTGGCTCAGGTGGCCACCAACACCGACTCGTCAAAGAACGTGGGAAATGCCATTCTCTACGAGGCAGTGCTCACCATTTTGGATATCGAGGCCGATTCAGGACTGCGGGTGCTGGGTGTCAACATCCTCGGAAAGTTCTTGTCTAACAAGGATAACAACATCCGCTATGTGGCACTGAACACCCTGAACAAGGTTGTGGCCATTGAACCTAATGCGGTGCAAAGACATCGGAACACAATCCTAGAATGTCTTCGGGATCCTGATATCAGTATCCGCCGGCGCGCGCTCGATCTCAGCTTCTTGCTGATCAACGAGGGTAACGTGCGGGTGCTGGTGCGGGAACTGTTGGCCTTCTTGGAGGTGGCCGACAACGAATTCAAGCCGGTGATGACTACACAGATTGGAATTGCCGCCGACCGGTACGCGCCAAACAAGCGTTGGCACCTGGACACGATCCTGCGGGTTCTCAAGCTGGCTGGGAACTACGTGAAGGAACAGATTTTGTCGTCGTTCGTCCGCCTCATTGCGACCACCCCTGAACTGCAGACCTACGCCGTTCAGAAGCTTTACTCATCTCTGAAGGAGGATATCTCGCAAGACGGTCTTACTCTGGCGGCTGCGTGGACGATTGGTGAATACGCCGACAGTCTGCTGCAGGGCGGCCAGTACGAGGAGGAGGAACTAGTGAAAGAAGTCAGGGAGAGTGACATTGTCGACCTTTTCCACAACATCCTTAACAGCACCTATGCAACCCAGGTTGTCATCGAGTACATCACCACCGCATCGATGAAACTCACCGTGCGCATGTCAGATCCCTCTCAGATTGAACGCCTCCGCCGTTTCCTGTCTAGCCGGACCTCCGACTTGAGCATTGAGATCCAGCAGCGTGCCGTCGAATACTCCAATCTGTTCGGGTATGACCAGATCCGCCGCGGCGTGCTTGAGCGGATGCCTCCGCCTGAGATTCGCGAGGAACAGCGGGTTTTGGGTGCACCCACCAAGAAACGTCAGAGCAAAATTCTCCGTGACAAGTCGAAGAAGGTCTCTCGGCCCGCTGAGCACGACCTGCTCCTTGATCTGGTCGGTGGCGCCGAAGCCCCCGTCACCAGCCCGACCTCGAACGGATCCAACACCGCAGATTTGCTAGCCGATATTCTCGGCGGCGATTCCGGTATGTCCTCGCCGCCTCCGACTGGCCAGCAAAAGACTAGCACCAGTGCCATCATGGACATGTTCGGCAATGGCCCGACATCCCCCCCGCCCTCCCAGCCGGCCTCCTCTGGACTGGATTTGTTGGGAGGTGGTGGTGGCATGGGCGCATCTGCACCTTCTCCGGATGTCCCCGTTAGCGCCTCCGCGCCCGCAAACACTGCCTTCAACAAAGAAGGCCTCGTGCTCACCTTGCAGGTGCAACGGAGCGCCGGCGGCAATGCCCAGATCCTAGCTCGCTTCCGCAACGAATCCAACTTTAACAGCTTCTCCAGCGTCGGTCTGCAAGCTGCCGTGCCGAAGAGCCAGAAACTGCAGCTGAGCGGTATCAGCAAGGCTGAGCTTGAAGCTGGCGATGAGGGCACGCAGTCTTTGCGAGTTAACGCTCTGAACGGAGTGAGTTATATCTTTCAATCTAAATACGGGTTTCTTTTTGTTGCTAACGTGTGTGCGTCCAGTCCCTCCCACCCAAGCTCCGTCTCCGTCTCCGCGTCACCTATGCCCAGGACGGTGGCAATCCCGTCACTGATCAAGTGGATTGGACGGAGCCTTGAGAAATCAGCCACCTATCGACATACTCACTTCGAGAATAGGAGGAGAGAAAAATGACGAGGTCAAATTGTGTTCTCCTCGGCCTGTTTTAATTTATCCCAAACCCTCTTTCTATACCTTCAGTCCGCAATCCCACATACACATTCCACCGACTCTAGATCTTTTCATCGTTTGGTCTGTTTTTCGTTTCTTCTTTCTTGGCTCAAAAAGGAAAGGGAAGGGTTCATCTTTTTTGTACATGCTTCGGTAGCAAGATGAGAGAGCTTTAGCGCAGGCAAGTGTGCCTTCTTTTTTTGCTGCATGGGGCGAGTTGAACCCAGGTCATTGAAGAGGTCACTTCACATTCTTGTGCTCTTTTTCATTGACAGTATATGTGATTAGTAGAGTAAAAGCGATGGACGGAAAGGTTAGACTCCATCGCGATGACGCGCCTCGGAGCGAGCATTCACGAAAAGGCTCCACTGCTGATGGCCCGTAGTTTCGAGGAGGCCGATCTGGATAATGTCTCGGGATTGATAGGAGATATGCCGGGGGTTGAGAAGATTGGATGCATTGGGCTAGACGGGCTTACACCTTTGCGGCGAAACCGAACATACCAGGCATATTTTCAGTCAAAAAAAAAAAAAAAAAAAAAAAAGGAAAGGGATGCACAAGAGGCCCGGGATTTAGATTGGTATATACAAGAGCTGAGGCGGCTGAGACGGAACTGACATGGTCCTATCCAAAGTGAGGAGTGATTCCGACACTCGTCATGGATCGATGGGCATGAAAGAACGATATTTTAATAAAATATCCTTCTTTTCATTGGCTTGACTTTTTTAATTGGTATAATCGTCACTGTGGTAGATACTGCTGTTGGGCAAGGTTTCCAAGCTGCATTGACTGCAGGAAGCTACGCTTTTGGTGTGGTGACGGTTCGGATGCTATACTTACTCTCTTTAATGCCCTTCTCTGAAAGTGTTCTGTAGCTTGCAATTGGTCTCCATGTCTATCAGGTAGGGATGAAACATGACTGCCCAATAGCCCTCAATGAGAGCCAAAAGCGAAAGAAAAAAGAAACCAATGAAATGCATTATATAAACTCCAGACCTAGATCACGCAGCGATCAATCCGTCCGCACCTCGGTGTAATAAGACGGCGGCGGCTCAAGATGATCAAACCTCTCATCAGCAGGAAGGATGACCTCGCCCTCCCTGGCACGGGGCAAACATGCCCTGAGCGGTGGGCGCACGATGTCATTGAACAAGAAGGTGCCGTAAACGAGCAGCGCGAAGCCGACGACCTGCAGCCACTTGAAGGACTCCCAGCCCAGACCTAGCGATACGAGCCAGATGAAGAGCGTGCGACAGGTGTCGATTGTGCTGCGTGATGTGGCGCTCACGGTGCGGGTTACGGAGAGCCCGAAGAAGTTGAAGCCGCTGCGATTGATCAGTATGCCGTGTGCAAGGAAAGGAGGGAAGGAGCGGGAAGGAACATACCCAATGCTGATCATGATAAGAAGGCTGGACACTGCAATGGCACGATTGTAGAAGATTTCACGCCAGCCCTCTCGCATATCGAAGTAGCCGTATTGTCCGGCCTCTGTCCGTCCCACGACCAGGTACAGGATAATCATCGCGATGACAGTAACCGTGAAACCGAAGATACCTTCCCAACCAACGACCTGAATGGGATCCATAGCATATTTCTCTAGGATCCACTCCTCCAGCACGAACTGCGACGCCGTGAAGATCTGCGCCGCGGCGATGAGGAGCACCCCGGCGATAGTCTGGACGGCCAATTGGGCGTCGACAGCGTCGCGGGCATACATCAGCACCCGCGAGGCGGTTGCAGCGACAACTCTGTCGTCATCCTGCTGGATATCGTGACCGGACTGGCCAGCGAAGAGAGCGCCTGATAGTCCGACGACCGCGACGCCCAGAACCACGATGAAGAGCGCGCTCCATTGATAGAAGAAAAGTCTGCGGCGGAGGAAGAGCACGCTGAACAGTCCCACGAAGAGAACTAGTGCACCGCGCGTCATTTGGTAGATACTAGCGGCCACGAAGAGGAGGCCCACGTTCATAAGCGTCGTGCCGGTGATATCGCAGCAGGCTGGCGCGGCGAGGAGGAAGATTTTCGATCCGCGCAGGGGGATGCGAGTGTCATCTTCGGCGGCGGGTTTGTTGATGGGACTCCTCCGAGCTCCGGGCCCTTCGAGGGTCTGGTCCTCCTCGTCGTCTTCTTCGAGGTGTTCGTCATCGCCGTTGACGGGTTGGTATCCGCCCGCGAGGAGCGGGGAAGATTCGCGAGAGAAGCGCGGCGAGATGTACCGTTTGTAGAGGATGGATAGACCGAGGACGAGCCAGCAGCCCATTTCTCCAATGAACATTTGTACTCTATATTATTTTCTTGTTGTCAGGAAAATCCGATGTGGAGATGGCGGTGGATCACCTACGTCTGGATCACTGGCTGCTCGAACAGCTTCCACTCCTTAGGGTCTGGCGAGTCGCAGTTCCGGACACATTGCATATCCTAGACCAACCGTTCCGTCAGAACCGATCAGCTAAGAGAGGATCAGGACTACATACCTGGTATTTGTTCAGAATGGTGTTGCAGACGCCGGTCACGAGCATCATCGTGACCAGGAAGGGGATGACGGCGCCGTTCGCCATGGTTACAGATAAACCCCGGCGGATGGGCTGAAAAGTAAGAGATAGATGAGTACAGCTCCTAGGGGAAGGGGGGAAATGTGGAGGGAGAGAGGAAGGGAGGAAGGAAGGCCAGCTATTGAGCGCCTGTTCGGGAGGCGGACAAAGCGAGTAGCTTATCGGCATGATAACATCATCTGACCCATCTATCTATCTGGCCCGCATTCCAGCCGGCCGAGCTATGGAGGCATCTACAGTACTACCAAGTCTGTCTGTCCTACATGATGGGACAAGAATAACAACAAATCAAACATATGGCAATAAATTGGTCGGACACGTCCAGGCGGTCGAAAACGAAATCGCTGTCCGCGTATTTTTTCCTTCCAGAACGCCATCGCTCGTCCTCGATCCGCAGAGTAACAACGGACACAAACAGCTAGTAGACTGACCATAATCAAAAACAGCAGTCCCGTGGGACATGTACACGCATCGCTCCTGAAAAACATCCGTCCGTATGTATGCCGGGATCAAATCAAACAAAAAGCCCGCTGAACAGAAAGCAAAGCCAAAAAAAAAGGGTATTAATCGGACACCGACCATGTTCATCATGTAGGAGGATCACCATCATATGGCGGGGATGGTGATACCGCTGTTGTCAAGATTCATCATCTCTTTCTTCTGCCGTTCCAGAAGATCCCAATCAATCCGCACGCCCTTGATCCCATCATCATCATTATTCTGGATCTCTTCCGGGATATCCATCCACGCTGCGGTCGCCTCGATAGCCGCGTCGTCCCATGTTCCATCGAAACCACTCAAAATCACCGGCTCTTTGGGTTCGCCGCCTTCCGGAGGAGTCAGCGTCGCCAGGTTGATATCCCAGGAGTCTGGGGTATCTTCTTCCTGGCCCTTCGAGAACATGTCTGCATTCAGGAACTCCTCAAACGGATCGTAGCCCAGGCTAGGCAGCGTCGTACTCTGGAAATTGGAGAAGGTATCGTGGAGCGTTTCCAGGGAAATGGCAGAATCCGCCCAGAGATCTTTCGCTTCGGCCTCGGGCTCTTTCTTCTCATCCTTGCTAGGCGACGATTTCGCAGGTGAAGGACCAAGAGTCTTGCCAGGCGGCTGCCGCGGAGTGAGCTGCTGGGCAGAGACCGCCGGAGAGGGCTTTGCGCCGATTTGGCTCGTGACACGGGCAAGTGGTGTAGTGTTGGCAGTCACAGGAGTAGCGATCCCCTGCTTCGCCGGAGAAGCCATAGCCTTACTGGTGGCTACCGCAGGGACAACGGTAGTCCCGGGCTGGACTTCGTCTGTCTTAGTCTCGAGGCCAATTGCGAAGCTGTCGAGCGCAAACTGAAGAGGGTCGTCAATATTCTCGACCTCCGGCAAGTGGATCTCCTCAATATGCTTGTCCAGAGCAGCTTGAGTGGCGAAGCCCTGGAAGTGGTGTTGACACTCGGGCACGCTGCACTTGAAAGCACCCGCGAGGGCTGCGGCTGTGGACTTTGCCTCCGCAACCGCCTTTTGGTACTTGGCGGCAGCGGCGGGCGGCGCGCTGACATTTTGAACAGGCGAGGCACTGGGACCGGCCTGTGATTGTTTTCTCTTCTTGGGCGGGGGCAGCTTAAGTTTTTCCTGGGAGAGTCCGCCCGGTCCGTAGGCATGAGGAACTCCCTGGGGAGATGGGGCTCCAAACGGCGCAGGTGCAACAGCACCCGACTGGCTTGAGGCACGTCGAGCGCGCTGGAGAGCCTCTTCCTGTTGCTGCAGTTGTTGCAAGTTACTCGCGTTCAGCGCGGGCATGTTGGCTTGCGCATTCTGCGCAGTGGTGGCGGAAGCCTGGGAAGCGTTTTTCTGCTGCTGGCTGACACGGGCAATCATCGCATGGAACAGCTTCCGGATGAAAAGGACCGCACCAGACACATAATCTGGAGTGACGGTAAACTGATCATTAACCACCCAGTCCTGAGAGGGCTTAAATTGCCGCATGAGTTGGATGCGCTAGATCCAGTTAGTCAAATAAGGGACTATTGAGAAGAACAGAACATACCATGGCAAGCAGATTCCGGACGTTCTTCTCCTGGCCCGGCATCTTTGCAAACCATTGCACCAAAGTATCCAATCTACCCAGCACGTCCAAAGAATCACGCAGCTGCTGGCTCATGGCAGCCTTCTGTTCTGGGGAAACAGCGATAGGCTGCGTAGATGGTGCGTTCTTTGAGATTTCATTGTAGACCTCCATAACCTTCGGAGGCAAGTTGTTGTTCCAGGCCTCTTCCGCAGCCGCCCTGCTGGGAACTGGACCGCGTGCCTGACTCTGCTGTTTCCGCAGATGGGCCTCAATCTGGGCCCGCTGCTGGGGGGGCATCGCCGCAAGCTGTTCACGCGTCAAAGGCATGTTCGGCTTGGGAGGTCCGGTTGGCTGTGCAAGTGGAGCGGCCGCGGGCTGAGGCTGTTGTGGGGTTGTGTCGGGAGTATCATCTGCATGAGCCCTCTTCTTGGCGTTTGTTTTCGCGGCTGTCTTCTTGGTTGTTGCCGCCTGGCCCTTCGCATTTGACACTTGCGGGCCACTAGGAGTCGGTTGAGGCTGCGGCGGAGCACTCGGTGGTTTGGCTTGCGGTGTGGCTTGAGGTGCGGATATCGGGGGCTGCGGAGCACCTTGAGTCTGCGGCATACTCCCATCAAGTTGAGCAGCTCGGGCCTGCGCCGCCTGCATAAGATGCTTTTGGCGATTCCGGTTTAGCAGCTCGCGGATCTGCGCATCGGTAAAGCTGGCGGCTTGCGGTCCCAACTTCGCGCGAGCCATCTGAATTTCCTGGGCGGTAATTGGCCGCATCTGAGGCATATTAACCGGCGGCTGTGGCTGACCAGGTGGGAACCCCGTAGCGTTCGGCATCTGGCCCGGTTGGCCAGGTTGGCCCTGGAAACTGTTGGCTGGTACCTGAGCATTAGGGTCTTTCGCCCGAGCATTGACAATCTGGGCGAGATGAAGTTTCTGAAGCATCATCAGCTTGGGTAGATCCACACCATTGGCCACCTGTGGGTTCGAAGCGACCCATTGCTTCAACTGTCCCCAAGTCTTGATGTGTTTCGGAACTGGTACTTGAGTGTTGTTCAGAATGGATGGCGGGTAATACGTGCGATCCATATCCTTTGCCTGCTCGGGACTCATCTCCCCACCATTGTTGTGTTGACGCAGTAGCTGGTGCTTGTAGAACTCACTCTGGCGTTGCTGCTGCTGTCTCTGTTGTGCTGACAGTTGCTGGCCCTGGGCTGGGTTCATTCCCTGCGCCATATTCATAGATCCTTGCATTCTGAGGTTGTTACCCATCTGACCGTTCATCATTTGGCCCTGGCCTGGCTGTTGACCGATGTTCTGCTGAGCGGCATTCGCTCGGGCCATGTTGTTCGCCATGGCGACACGTCGCTGGTTCATCAAGAAATTGTTCAGTTGCTCATTTGACATCTGAGAAAGCTGTTCCTGAACCTGCGGCGGAAGACCTGGGGGGATTTGCGGCCGATTTTGCATGCCCGGTTGTTGGGGTCGAGAAGGAGGTCGAGCTTGAGAGGGCATCTGACCGGTTGGAGAGATCTGGCCCGGAGCCATAGGTTGATTCAGCATCGGCATGACAGGGCTTTGCTGTGGGAGCTGTGCCTGCGCTTGGGTAGCATTCTGCCCTGACATGGCCATTTTCTGAGCTTGGGCGCGTGCCTGAGCCTGGGCCTGAGCCTGATACTGCGCTCGATCCTGGGGGACATTGGCGCCACCCTGCAGGTGCTGCTGGGCAAGGAACTGGGGGTTGTTCATGTTTTGTTGCTGCTGCTGCTGCTGCTGCTGTTGTTGTTGTTGCTGTTGCTGCTGTGAAAACATGTTTTGATTGTTTGGGAAAGGTGCCTGACTGATCTGAGTCGAACTGGCAGGCACCACGAGCTGACCAGCTTCCTGTGAGCGCAAACCATCTGCCTGCTGCCCCTGGATGTTCTCCACATTGCCAATGAACGATTCGACACCCTGCCCTTGGCCTTGGCCCTGGTTTCCCGGGAACGCCGAGTTGCGCTGAAGATTCATCATGTTCTGGAACATTTGACGCTGCTGAGGATTCATCATCGGATCGTTGGCCATCATTGCAGGGTTATTAGGATTATTGGGGTCTCGGCCCATTTCCATTCGTTGGCGGCGATGTCTTCTCAGTTGATTCAGCGCCTGAGAGCGGAAGAAATAGGTCATTGGGTCCATTTGCTTTCGAGCGAGATACTGCCGCTGGTCCGGAGTCATGTTGGAGAGGTTCAACTTGATCTTCTCCATGTCCTCCGGGGAGGTCTTGGCCAGCATCTGATTTGCCATGCGAGAGACGTGCTCGAATTCTTGGGCCGAGAGCGTGTTGAGGTCATCTGGGAGTGGAACGCCGCCATTTTGGGGGCGCTGCTGCGCCCGCTGTTGCTGCTGCATCATCGCGGACTGTTGTTGCTGGCGCTGTTGCATCGCTGCCTGCTGGCTCATATTGTTCATCCCCATCATCAAGTTCTGTTGACCAGGGATAGGAGACGTTTGGAGGCCCTGGTTCATCTGCTGCTGTTGGAAATTGCCCTGGTTCTGGTTGGGCACATTTCCCCCTTGGGGCATCATCCCACTTTGGTATGCGACCGCGGCTTGCCGTTGTCGGGTGTCTTTGATATGAAGGAGCTTTTCGGTGCATTCGTGATCGTAGTCAACCTAGTACCTCTGGTGTTAGCAAAGCACCAAACAAGGGGATGTCATCATGACTAACCTTCTCAGCGGCTTTCTGGAACGCCTTGTGTTCGAAGCTCAGTGCAGCCTGCGCCGCTGACTGGAGGTCGATACGGGGTTGGATCAGGCGGAGGGAGGTAATCCTAGAAAGAGTCAGAGACAGGCGAAAGCTTTCCTCGAAGCCAAACTCACATCTGGTAGACATTCATCGCGCGGACCTTGATCGGGACTTCGGCCTTCCAACCCGTCCACGTTCCCTGATTGTGCAGCGCCTGGGCGACATGATTCATGATCACCTGCGAGCTCTCCGGCTTCGGCGGCGGCACCTGGCCTGGTTTAACCATGTTAGTCGGCACGCCGCCGCCCGCGTTGAAGTTGGCGGGATTCATGGCAGAAGCCCCATTAACGGGGGGGATCAGGAAGCAATCCGCGAAGAAGTTCGGTGTCGGTCAGCATTCGCCAAGTTGTCCGGACGCGACGATAATGAGAAGAAGAGGAAGTCGCAGATCGGCGTGGAAAGAAAAAGTTGAAAAAAGAAGCGAAGGGCGTATCGGGGTGGACCGCGGTGATTTCGAGTCGATCAGGGAGGGTGGGGATGGATCGCCCTGACCGGAGGACAGGAGAGTGGAGGAGCAACGAGCGACCGCGCGGAAAAGCAAGGCGTTCGGGCAGCGAGAGTCGATTGGCTGCAGGTCGCTGGTCAACGCCTAGGGTGTGGCGTGCGACGAATGAGAAGGCCGCGCGCGCGAGTCCCAGGGTGGATGAGGATCTGTGACAGGGATGCTGCAGCTTTTCAAGTCGCACCTGCTTGCTGCAGAAAGAGAAGCAAGAAGAAAGAGGAAGAGGGGAGATGGCTGGGGGGAAGAGAGAGACACGAGATGCGGGTGTTTCAGTGCGGGTGCACAGATAAGAAGCGGTCTGCGTTGGGGGTTGATGGGGGGTCGACGAATAAAGGAACTGGCCCCGGGGACAATAATCATCAGTTGGGGGACAAAATCATGATGATGATGGTGGTGGTGGGCTTATTGGGGGCAGTAAGTCCGACGAGAGAGAAAACGGGAAAACGAGGATGATGGCAGCAGTCACGAGGCTCTGGCCGTTACACGGCGGAGTCTACATAGGGGGAGAGAGAGACAAAGCGAGACAAGCGTCGTCATACCCCTTGAGAGGTCCAGCTGCGAGGGCTAGAGGGTGGAGGCACTATTATCTATTAGTCTGATTAGTATTATGAGCTACCATCTCATAGTTATGATTATTTTGTAGTCCTACGAAGTACCGGTTGAACTTGTACCTATAGTTGTCGGTAGTCGCTGAATGCGGCGCCTGTCCCCACCCCCCGTCACTAAGCCGGTGTGCCTGGCGTCCATTTCGTAGTCAGCCTTCTTCTTCCCAACTCTCCCTCCTCAACACCCATTCGCCGCTGTCCTTCCCAACATCACCACCCGCCTTGACCACGGTGAATGTGTAGTCGCTCCGCCATGCTGCATTGATTTCTTTCGCCTCGTCACTCTTTTCCCCCCGACTCTCTCTCCCTGACCATGTTCTCCGTCTCGGTCTCGCCCATCTCGGTGGGCTCCAACGTCTTCTTCACCTTCGCCCTCGTCTTCATCTCCGCCCTGGTATTACTTCTGCTGCGACGCTTCTTAACGCTGCGCGCTACTCCCGCCTACCTCATCCTTCCCATCTTTCTCGCCCTCGCCCTCCCTGCCAGCGTCGTGCTCCTCGTCCCCATCGATCTTGCATCAAGTTCGCGCAATGGCTCTGGCCCCAAGGCCATCTGGCTGCCAGATCGCATGGTTCTGGTATGCTGGCGGATTGCCTATTGGCTGATCTTCGTCCTGACCTGGTGAGTGCGCCGCTGTTCTGTGGCGAGATGTCTGGGTCACTAATCATTCGCAGGGTTATCCTTCCGCTCCTCGGCGAGTACGTCGACTCGGGCTATCGCGAACCCAGGGCCCGTATCATCTACTCCCTTCGACAAAATGCCCGATACCAATTGATCGTCCTCTGCTGTGCGACAGTGGGGCTGATTTACATCTCGATCCAAATCAAATTCGATTTTACCTCCATCAAAGGTCTTGTCATGGCGCTGGCATACGTCTGGGGTCTCGTGCTCGCCATCTATCTCATGGGCCACGGTTTGGTGTCTATCCCGCGCAATCTCTTCCGCAACGCCAACGTGAGCGGTCGTTTGCGGAGAATTCAGGCCCACGCGCCCAAGGTGCACGATCGTCTGATGGACGCGGTCAATGAGTTGGAAAGCCTGGAATCGCAAGTCAACCAGTTGCAGCAGCGTAAAACGGGCACCGCTCGTGATTTTCAGGAGTGGATCGAAGAACTCGGCGAAGGCGCTGGTGCAACGGACGTGCGGGCCCCAATCCTCGAGTCCCCGGACACGACCAGCACGGTTCCCTCCGTCATTACCGAGCGCTATCTGGCCGATTTGACTCGCCGTCTACAGCGTGCTCGACACATGAAGGCTCGGTTTGTGGATGAATGGGATCGCCTCGTCCAGACTGCGGCCGACTTGCAGACCATCATCAACTCGGCTGCCTCCAAGAAACTTGATTTCGGTTCCTCGGCCCGTCGGTCGTCTTTCCTCCCCCGAGTCAAGCTTCTGACACCCTACATGCGGTATCAAGTCTACTCGAACGTCATTCCTACGGTCAGATTGATATTCGGTGCGGTCTTCGCTGGTGCATCTGTCTGCATTATCTGGTCTGAACTGATCAAGTCTGTGGCGCCTCAAATATCCATCATCAGCTTGACTATTGTGCCGAACTGGAAGGATCCGAAACCCGTTGGCTTTGGCGGGCAGGTGACTGCATCTGCCTGGCTGTTGTACATGTGCTCCGCGGCCCTGGTGGGTGTCAACGACGCCAAGGTTTGGGGCAACCGGGCTCTTGTTCGCCGCAATACCTACGGCGAGAGTGCATGCTGGTATGCGAGTCTGGTGGCTCGGCTTACCGTGCCGATCGCCTACAACTTTTTAACATTCTTGCCGAAAGACTTCCGCCAAAACACGACCTTTTACGAGTTCCTCGGCAAACTCATCAACCTGACGCGCCTCGGCAAAGGATTCGATTTTATCTTCCCCATGTTCATTCTCTTGCCCGTGTGCGGGACGTTCTTCAACTGGTATGGCCGCATCAAGAACATTTTCGGGTTCGCTCTTGCAGAGGACGAAGAGCTCCACGATGTGGAGAACAACCCGTCCGGGTACGGTCTGGGCGGCTGGCGCGAGGGGCGGGATCTGATCGACCGTGAGCTCAATGGATTCGGCTCTCTAGCCGTCTCCTCCCGCGGCACCCGCTCGACCTGGGCGTCCGACTTAAGCCCTGGAGGCTCTCGCGGCTCATCCTCGTCGCGGCTGCGCGTCCCCCAGTCTGAGTCTTCCGAACCGGCCCGACGAACGGTCGCTGCGCCTACGGTCATTGAGGGTGAAGAAGAGGACGAGAACTTCTTCCAGTCCTTCGCCCACCGTGTGCGCAATACCTTTGAGACTGCCAACCCGCCCCAGTGGCTGCAAAGAGATCAACTCCGGCTCCCGCGCTGGATGTCCGGTGACAATACCACTACCGAAGAAGGTGGTGTCAACAGACTGTTTGGTGGCCGGGCTGTGCCTGGACGCCTGCGATTAGGTTAGGGGGTGGCATGTTTGGTGTCAACTGCTGGCCAGTGTATATTAATAGCGACTATCTTCCTGTACATAGTCCGTTTCTTTTGTTGATTGATTGGCATTGTTGGAGATTGTTGCCACCAATCGTACGATATTGTAGGAATCAATCCTGATGCTGTGCAACTCTATATACACCACCCGCTAACACTATGTGGGAGTCTCTCCTCGACCTCCCTCTAGTGCGGAGACATTATAACTGCATCCCACTCTGGACGTGGGAGATCCACCCCCACGACCCGCCAACCCATGGAATCCGGAACAGTTACATCTACAAGCAGTCTAGGGCACCTGTCGATCTCAACCAAGACCCCCCTTGCGTGTTAAAATATAAGACAAGCCCACATCCCACCCGCCTCTGCGTCTCACGCCAAACCCCCAAGGAAACCAACCCCTCCAAACCACCTCTCCAACACCACCACCACCATCAACAGCCCAAAATGGATCCCCCCAAAGTCGGCGACAGAATCGACACGATCGACACTCCCTCAATGATCGCAGACCTTGACCTCGTCGACGCAAATCTCAAAAAACTAATGGGCAAGCTCCTCCCAACGGGTCTGAACATCCGCCCGCATCTCAAGACAACCAAGAGCGCGATCCTCGCGCGGAAGATGAATGCCGCAGGCGCGAAGGGCGTCTGCGTTGCGAAAGTGAGCGAGGCGGAAGTAATTGCCGCGACGGGGTTTGACGACCTGCTTATTACGTGCGAGATCGTTGGTCCCGCGAAAGTGAGGCGGCTTGTGGAGCTGTTCCGCAAGCATCGCGGTATCAGGACGGTGGTTGATAGTGAGGTTGGGGCGAGCGCGATCAACGATGCACTCGCGCGGGAGGGGATTGAAGAGCCGATTTCTGTGCTGATTGATCTGGATGTTGGACTTCATCGCACGGGCGTTCAGCCTGGTGAGCCGGCTGTTGCACTGGCGAGGCATGTTATGGGGTTGAAGCACCTCAAGCTTATTGGTGTGCAAGGGTACGAGGGCCATCTGCAGCACCTGCACGACTACGAAGACCGCAAGGCGCAGTGTCTGGCGTCGATGAAAATCCTCACTGAGACGGCGGAGGCCCTGCGGAAGGAAGGATGTGATATCCAAGTTGTGACCACCGGAGGGACAGGCACGGCCGAGTTCTGCGCCACCGTGCCTGGAGTGACGGAGTTGCAGCCTGGCTCGTTTATCTTCATGGACACGGACTACCGGAACGCCGTGGGCACGTTCTACTCCAACAGTCTGACCATCTTGTCGACTGTGATCAGCAAGCAGGGCCCGCGGTGCGTGACTATCGACAGCGGACTCAAGTCCTTGACGACGGATAGTGGGTTGGCGGAGTGCAAGGATTCCCGGTATGAGTATGGTGTACTGGGGGATGAGCATGGGTCGCTGAGTTGGGAGGAGGGGACCCCGGATCTGAAGGTTGGGGATCGCGTTGAGATGGTTCCGAGTCATATTGATCCCACGGTCAATCTGCATGACTTCTATTATGCTTACCGTGGCGGTGTCATTGAGGAGATTTGGCCAGTTGATTCGAGGGGGAAAGTTCAATAGTGTAAAAACATGTTCTGGTTCATATAGACGGCGTTGGTTCGGAAAATATCAAATAAGAGCTTCTGGCATGAATTCCATGCACTACCCCTCGCACCTCAATCAACGATCGTAATTGATTGTAGTAATTGCGAAGAAAAAGTCCCTTTACAGGCTTTAGGGGAATGAATAATCCGTTATTCGAGAAATGTGCCGAGCACGTGGGGATATATCTCCCTTGCATCTTCCTCTCCAGCCAATATCAAACCCTTGACTATCGTCACCGAGGGCCGCAGTGACGAAGCATATCCCTTGTCCAGGTGATCCTTCATATCGCACCTTTCAGCCCACCCTGATCTCTCTAATCATTCCCCCAGATCCTATCAGTCATGACACCCATCGGCCCATACTTCCCTGGCTCCAGCAACAGACCGGGATCGACTCGATCAATGGCACTACCCAGTTATACCAATCCCAACCCACATCTGTTCCGCTCGTCTGCACACCCATTGACTCATTCGTCGCCGAGACATTGGACGACAGATTGCCCACGGTGCCAACGCTATCACAAAGGTTTTCAGGAGGATGTTGTTGTTGAGACAGGGCTGTCAGACAGGAAACGAGGGACGTAAATGTCATGCTTTGCGGCTTTGTATGCTCCAAGGTGCAGCGAGAGTTGTTGACGTTGTAAATAGAGAACTAGGTCGAAAGGCAGCTGGGCGTCCACTCTTGTGGTTGAGAGCTCTTCTGGGCTGTTCTGGACGGCATTGGTGGAAGCATGCCTTGCTATATCTCCAGCAGAAAGCCTGCCCGGTAATCTGCCCAAATATACTGACATCCGGTCTGCCAATGACGCTCACCACCTCTTGGGCGCGGAGATCTCGACCCGCGAAAATGAAGCAGATACAGTTTCTTTGCCCCTCCGTTGCTGGATGGCTTTGATTCCGGTGCGGTCAGTGACCGTAGTCGCATTGATGATGTTATCAAAAGCCTCGTCTTCACTGCCTGCAGATCCGGATTCTGCATCTGAATCGACGTACAAGGGTTCAGGTGGCGCAATCTTTTCCGGCTGTTGTTTATCCGACTGGGACGGGTTCTGGAATGCTTTAGAACTGAGGATTTTGCGGCGAATCTCTGCCATCTGCTCTTCGTCCTCGGAATCATCGGAGATTGCAAACGGATCCTTGTCGGCATCCTCCTCTTCCTCGTCCTCGTCCTCCTCTTCATTATCGTCACTGCCTTCATCTTCGCTGCCATCCTCGTCTCCGTCTGAGTCTTTCTCCGCTGGTCTGCGATTGGTATTCCCGACAGTCCACATATCATCGGCCCCCTCTACACGACTTTCTTCATATTCCCGTTCGATCTTGGCGAGCCATTCCTCCTCTGTCCTTTTGACGTCTTCTTCTGTTTCGCAGGCGGCGTAGCGGTTCAGGAGTTCCGAATTGATATCGAGGAAAGCCTCGCCATACCGGAAGTTCTTCAAGACATCCTTGGCCCAGTCTGGGTGACCACAGATGTAGAAACAGGCGGCCAACGCTTCAACACAGTTCAGTCGCCATGGTTTTCCGTAGTTGACCGTATTCGCAGCGATCAGATAGGGCACTGCGGCGAGTCAGCATTGTCGGTGATGTGCAGGCAAGAAGGAACATACACAGTCGTTCACATTTCCCACCAATCCGCGACCATGGCACTTCCTTGACTCGCACCCAGGAGCATTCCACCACTGCGGCACCATGCTGTTCCATGATTTCGCGATCGGCGGGGGATATGACTCTTTTTGCATTCGGGCTGGTAGTCACGAACTTGTTAGAATAATACCTCGACACGGGACACAGTCTGAAATGAACGTACGAGACAACCACGCCCGGGGATCGCTGGCCAATATGAAGTTCCCGCATCAGACCCAGCTTCATCAATTTCTTTCCCGAGCATCGCTTCGGGTCGCAATGGCCCATATCCCAGCAGGCCGCCTTGTACTCTGGGCGCGAGGATTCCCGCTCACCATCGCGGGGAACTTTGGGGCGCGGATTGGAGAATTTCTTGCCTCCTCGGGCAAAGTTGTCTTTCTTGTGTCGGACCATGGCGGGTGACGATGATGATGTGTCGTAGTTATTGGTGTTGAGAAAAGAAAATGCGGCGGGCGCCACACGTGCGAGACTAGTTAGGTCACTCTCCGCCTTCAGCTTCACAGCCTCTCGACACGTTTTGGTTCACTCGACATCTGCTCTTGTACTATCAGCGCCGCTTTTCTTTCCCGTGTCTTTTCTTTTATTTTTCTTTTTGTTTGTCCTTTCCTGTCGCCACCCTGGAGGCTACGTCAGCACGCATGGCGGCAAGGGACCGCTTCGGTCCTTTCGCTGAGCCAGGACTGACCCCGCTGCAGCGCGCAATTCGTGAGTCTACTTGCTGCTCTTCGGAATGGCAAATCTAAGAAGATTCCCTCGTTCCTTCCATAGGCAATGCGTGCGATCCACAGAACTACGAGCCTAATCTGGCCCTGAACCTCGAGGTCGCCGACTTGGTGAACACCAAGAAAGGCAACGCGTGAGCTGCACCTTGTCATACCCGTCCCGCCGGATCGCATATTTACATTTCGATAGGCCCCGAGAATCGGCGTTCGACATTGTCCATCTCATCAACTCCCGAAACCAAAATGTTGCATTGCTGGCGTTGGCGGTACGTTTTCCCGGACAGCAAGCGGGGAGGGGCGAGGCTGACGACTGGCACCTTTAGCTGCTCGACATCTGCGTCAAGAACTGCGGATACCCGTTCCATCTCCAGATTGGCACAAAAGAGTTCCTAAATGAGTTGGTCCGGAGGTTCCCCGAGCGGCCGCCAATGCGCCCCTCGAGGGTGCAACATCGCATCCTGGAGTCGATCGAGGAATGGCGGCAGACCATCTGCCAGACGTCGCGATACAAGGAGGACCTGGGCTTCATCCGGGATATGCACCGGCTTTTGCTGTATAAAGGCTACGCTTTCCCGGAAGTTCGTCGGGAGGATGCTGCCGTACTGAACCCGAGCGATGTATGAACCACTTTGAACCTGCGAGTGCGGGCCCACAACTGACCTGTCTAGAATCTACGATCGGCCGAGGAAATGGAGGAAGAAGAGCGGGAAGCGCAGTCAGCGAAGCTCCAAGAGCTGATCCGGAGAGGCACTCCCGCCGACCTCCAGGAGGCAAACCGTCTGATGAAGGTCATGGCGGGCTTCGACAACCGGCACAAAACCGACTACCGAGCAAAGGCAGCGGAGGAGGTGTCCAAGGTACAACAGAAGGCCAGGATTTTGGAGGAGATGCTGCAGAGCGGAGAGGGAATCCCCGAGGGCGACGTCTTCGAGGTGGGAGCGTTCTATTTACGGTCCTATGTGGCATCGCTGACAGGGTAATAGGAGCTGGCGAATGCCTTGCAAAGTGCCCACCCCAAGATTCAAAAGATGTGCGAGGAAGAATCGGACGACCCGGAGGCCGTTCACAAGCTACTAGAGATCAACGACAGCATACACCGGACTATCGAGCGGTACAAGCTGGTCAAGACGGGCGACTTGGATGCAGCATCAAAAATCCCCAAAGGCACTCTGGGTACCACGACTGGGGTCTCGAAGAATGCGAACAATGAGCTCTCTCTGATTGATTTCGATCCTGAACCCAGCGCGATCGGCAATGCAGCGGAAGCAGCCCAGGGCGGTAGCTCGTTAGAAAACGACCTCCTCGGCCTTTCGATGGACGATCAGGTTCCAGCAGCCGGTGGTGGAATCTCACTAGGACCATCCAGTAAGTTGTCTTGGTCTGCATCGAAGATTGTCACTGACCTTTTCCAAGTGAGCATCCCGTCGATCCAATCCAGCTCGATGACTCCTCCACAGCAGGCTCCGGCGGCGTTCAAGCCCAACTACGATATCCTTGCAGGCATGAGCTCGTCGCGACCAACCTCTCAGTCGTCATCTCCTGCTCCCCGTGCATCTCCCCTCCCTCCATCCCAGGCCACTCCTCCACCACCTGCGGCAGACCCATTTGCATCGTTGGTTTCTGCCAGCCCACGGCCTGGAGCCAGCCCTTTCCCAGCACCGGCCGCCACGGCCCCCGCTGCTTCGGGCTCCTCCGCTCTGCTCGACCTGGTGGGGACCCAGCAACCTGCCAACCAGCCCACGGCAGCGGCCGAAGATGACGAGTGGAACTTTGCGTCCTCCCTGCCGCCAAGCAGTGCGCTCCCCACATCGAACAGGGTCCAGGTTCTCGACTCACAGCTCCGCGTCGATTTTGCGGTACGACGACTGCCTGGACAGCCGCGTCAGATTCAGATCGCGGCTGTCTTTTCCAACACGACCAGTCAACCGATTAGCGAGCTGCATTTCCAAGTTGCAGTAGAGAAGGTGAGTGTTCCATTTTTGTGTCTTCTGATGGAGTTTAACCGCATCTCTAGTCATACACGCTACAGCTTCGGCCGCAGTCTGGCCGAGACATTGCGGCCATGCAGCAGAATGGTGTGCAGCAGGATATGCTCCTGGAGGGTATCGATCCAGGGAAAGGAAACTCGGTGAAGCTTCGGTTCAGGGTGTCCTACAAGGTAGGAGCCTCGGCTCATGAAGAACAGGGAATGGTGCCATCGCTGGGTATTTCGTAGAGGCTTCTCTCCTTGTGACATTTTACTCGCTACGATATGTCTCGGCCGGTTCATAGCAGGACTGTTTTTGGTGGATCCGTCTTTCGCTACCCTCGACGCTCCATTCTCCCCGTCGTTTCCCCCTTGAAAATCTTAGCGTGTGCCCATACTTTGTCTATAAAGATTTCTCATTCTCTCTCCCTCCCATTGCCACCTCAACCACTCACGTATTTTCTTTTTCTTGATTCTGTTCCGTGTACACTTCGTCTCTGGCTTGGACCTTCTTCCGTCCATTCGACTACGTAAGAAAAAAAACATCACCCAACCGCTATCACCCAGGGCACAAAGCACCATGGAAATTCGCCAATTCTCCGAACGAACAAGACAGAATACGAGCCACAGCTCCTCCCCGAGTGCTCAGCCTCCCCCGGAATCGCCGTCAACCATGCCACATTTACCCCAGGGACATCTTCCCGCCATAGTAGAATCCGATGTCGATCACTCCTTGCTCGGCAGCAGATCCAATGGCAATGGCAAGTTAGATCCTGACTAAGTTCCCCTACGCAACAGGCAGGTGACTCGAGTGAAGCCCTTGGCGCCAACTCCTGGTAAATTTCCCCAAGGGGAAATTTTGCCATTGAGGCTGGTCTCGACCCGTGGATCCGGCGGATTTCCTGTTCGGGGTATCGCTGGATGATCCTCGTGCAGTATCGGAGCCAGCCCTCAAGAAAAGCGGAACGTGTTTCCGCTAGGGGGCTAGAATCTCTCTTATAGATGATAAGCTATGCTGTGGTGGAGATGATCTACCGGACGGCATATAGTCCCGACAGTAGCATGTAGCTGTGTACGTATACCCGATGCCATTTTACTACAGTATTTTTCTTCCTTGCTCTCTACCTTGTACAACCACCTACCCAGACAGACAACACCAGCAGAAAAGATCCTCCCCCTCGCAATCGCAAGAACTGGGAAATGCCAAGTCAAGCCATGGGGGTGGCGAGATTGGTGCTCGAACATGCCCTATTGGGTTTAGACCTCGGCCGGGGGTTGATAAGATAAGTCGCGATGGGGCTTCTTAAGACCCGCTCACATTTACCGACATACTTCTAGACCTGCCTGCTTCAACTGCCACGGTCCTCCGTATAGCCGAACACGAGTCTCGGCCTCGATCTCCCACCGATTAGCTTCACATTCGCCAGTAGGAAAGACTTGCGGACAAGATCGCAGTTTTCGTCTTGTTTGGGTCGCAGTCCGGTCGTCCGAACTTTTGCCGTTGTAAATAACCGATTATTCTACGTACCCGATCGCCTTAGCCACCCACCAGGTAGGTTACCCCTGCAGGCGATTTCCTGCAGGAACACACTTAATTTTACACTTAGTTTTGCGTGCAGAAGCGAGTATATTTTTTTGTTCTTTTTTTGGGGAACACGTATTCACTCCCAGTAGATTGTACGCTGGTATTTTCCCGACCTAGGCTGCAGGATCTGGTTCGTTGGAGGCCGGATCTATATCGCGATCCATGCAAATATTAGTTGACGGAACCGCAAAGTCACCGCAGATCATCAAATGAATCTGACGGGCGAATGAATGCCAGCCAGATTCTCCGCTGAAGGCTCTGAAAGTCATCCATTTCCGGCGTGATCAAATTCGTCCACGCCTGCTCTATCCGGGCCGTTCACGTGATTTTACCTACTTCTTCAGGCGAAATGCTTCGAGCGCTAAAATTGCATGGGGCAGAACTGCCCGAAGCCAATACGAGCGAAAAAAAAAATTTCGTTCTTCGTGTGTTTGGCTGCACGTTCAGGGTGCACTACTACATGCACGGTTCAGGAAGAAGATCAGCCATGTTCGATCGGAATCTGGAGTAGCATCGCGATCGATCCCCCCACTCTAGGGAAAGGTGCTTGGTCTAGACCGGCCCGACCAGCCTGACATGGCAGCAGCTGTCTTCACCACCACCACAGCCTAGAGCTGTCCACTGTACACACGCCAACGCTGCTATCAGTGGGAGAATTTTCCGGGCCTAGCCCGACGGCACTGACTGGACTAACTTCATATTGCTGGAGGGCGTGGCGCTATCGACTGGACTGGCCGTGACCCTGATGGACCGGCGGAGCCACTCCCAGACCCATGGCTTACCTCCGAACGAGACTTTTCTTCGGGGCCCAAACTATGATCGCCCGGGTTCCATGGATGCCCTGCAAGCTTTTCTGACGAGGGCTGGGAGGGCCTGACAGCTAGCTAATGCGCCCCCGCCAACATACGTTTGGCTCCCTCTCTCTCACCCCCCACCCACGACTGGATCTATTTAACGTCCCTCGCCCCCCTGCCTCCTCGGAAATATATTGGCCATCCTATTTTGTCTCAAGTCACTCAAACCTGGCCCATTCTTTCATAATCTAATCTGAAAAGATGGCATCGCGGGATCTAGATCAAGATATCGCTCCCATCCCCCGCTCGCGGGAGGAGAACCAGGAGAGGTATGTGATATATCAGATTTCGCAGTCTTTCAGACACTGACCACGCCTGTAGAGCCTTCATTGCTGCTTCGCGGCGAAAAGATCGCAGCCTGGATGCGCGGCTAGAATCCGCTAACCGGGCCTCGATGCTGCATAAGAAGCGCACAGGCAAGGCCTTCCACATCACCAAGGAGATCGTGGAGAAAGAGGCCATGTACGAAGAAGTCGATGAGCGGTATCAAGAGAAGCGCATCCGCATGCTGCAAGCCCAGAATATGCAGATTGAAGAGCAATTCCACCGCCATTTGCTCGCTGCCTTCGCCGCTCGCGCTAATGGATCCGGATCTCAGGGCTCGTCCATCGCCAGCCGGCGAGCCAGCTTGGCCCCGCGAGCATCAACTGACAGCGGCTCCCGCAAGCTGAGCCTGGACCTGTCCAATCTGCCCACTGCCTTCCCGCACAACATGGACTCAGCTCCCTTCTCGGCGGGCGATGGCTACGTGCTGTCGCCCTCCCAAAGCCACTTTGACGAGTCGTCTTACATGACCTGCTCGGAGGCCTCATATCCCAACATGATGCCCGCCAGCAGTGCCGCCGCAACCCCAGCATACATGGGCCAACAGACCCCGTGGAGCAGCCAAGTACCACCGTCGTGGCCGACACTGCAGCAGCAGCAACAACAACAGATCCCCACTCCGGGACAGACCCCAACCGACAACCAAGCAGTGCAGATGTGGCAGCAGCAGATGATGCAACAGGCTCAGATGCCGGCGGACGCGGCCCAGGCGATCCAGATGCGGCAATTCAGAGACCGACTGGCCTCTGCACCGGAACTGCCCATGCAGCAACCCCAGCAGCAACATCCGTCCGCCCCACCCATGGGCTCGACCGGATCGCTCTCTCACGGACATTCGCGTGGGAAGTCCCATCCCAGCAACACCTTCCACAACCTCCACCTCCTGACCCAGGGCACAAATATTGCTGCCGCTCGCTCGAGCGTCAACTCGCCCAAGGTCGAGTCCCTCACGGCAGAGACCAAGTCCACGCCGGATTTCTGTCCCACGCCCAACACGCCGCTGTCTCCCACGGCGGTGGCGGCGCAGGAGCCTGTTAAGCAGGAGGACGAGGGCATCATGGTCTCGCACGAGGAGTTAGATGCAGACTTCAACGAGTTCAGCCAGTTTGCCCTGGGCCTGGGCAATTCGTCCCACCCGCACCTCGGGGAGCGGGAGCCGTTTGGGTTTGACGAATTTGTCGCCCTTGACGACTTTGCTACGGTTTCTTGTTGATTTTTTACGATTCTGTATATTTCTTTTTTTTTTTTTTTTTTTTGGTTTCTGCCGTGTATATTGCTCCCTGTATCATACCTATCTGTCATTCTTTTATTATTCCCTGGTTTCTTTTGGAGTTGCTGTTTTATTCTCTTGTACCTACCACTGCTCTAGGTACTACTTACTTACTGTCTACTACCTATACCATGTTCGTCACGACACGACACGACACGAAATCAAATCAAATCATATCCACGCTTGAATTTTTCATTTCCTGTTGCATTTCCAATCTTGCTTCACTCCTGGTTGAACACCGCAAACAGCAAGCCACTTGAACGTCGCGTTTCCTCATCCTCTCTTTCCTTCCCCCCACCCCCCCTCTGCAAAGGCCATGTCGAGCCGTGGCCCGCCACCCGCGACCCAGAGCTCGTCCAAGCTATAGCTTTCTGCTTTCCATACCTACCTAGGTTATCAGTCTTTCACGCTTGGACTAATCCAGCCTCCAGCCCGTAGCCACACTTACCCCCGACCGCATCCAGCCACTCTTCGTGCTTCCCCCTCCGTGTCTGCTCATGGTTGCGGTGGCCTCGGCATGACAAATGCTGAGGGGTATGGTATGCTATGACGACAGATCGGCTCTTGCGGGTGGTTGGTGGGCCCCTGGTTTGGCGGCTTACTCGCCGCTCAGAAACTCAGATCTGTAGAGGAGCCCTGAATTAAAACCCGATCGTGCGGAAGTACTCCGGAGGGCGTGCACTAAAATCGTGCGACACCGGCGTGAAGTGTATACTGAACTTTCCCATCCTCCCCCGCCAGGTACTAACTACCTAGCTACTGAACCCTAAGTACTCAATAAGTCCGTGTACAGCTCGTGCACAAGAAGATTGCGGGGGTTTAAGGTTGCAGCTTGGTTGATCCGCACGGACCAGCTGGCGCCCTTGCCGGACTAGTGGGGTTGCACTCATTGGATCCCTGGTTCCATGGGCCGAAAGCTTTCAACCCGGAGTTCCAGGGGTGCGCGTGCACTGCTTGCGGCGGAATGATTGGGTATTCTGCAGAGCGTCCGTATTCGCCTCTCGCATCTTTTGGTCCGATGTGGGCATTGGTAATGCGGTGGCTTGTTTGTCAGACATGAGAAACCAGGGCAGGGAGATGGATTGTTATCACAGGTCGGTCTGGATTCGTGGGTTAGATATGATGGTATCTCTTCTTACATAAAGTGGCCCTAACCGAGTTACTCCGAGCTATTCTTACATCCTCCTCCAAGAGACTATGTAACTGGACAGGAACTCCCAAAAGTAAACTATCCACATAACACCCCCACCCCCACCCCTAGACGTAATGTCGATGTCAGTGTCGGCCTAGGCAGGTCCCGAACTGAGGCAGTCTGCTAGACCCGCTGAGCAGTGGAAGTGCTTTACCGCAGTCCAGATGAGGTGCTAGGAGGTAGCTGAATCGGAAATACGAGTCCCCACTTTTTTGGGTCTACATTCCGTGGACAGCATGAAAGGTGTGATAGCTGCGCGTGCACCCAGTGCTGATAAGGGAGTAGGGCAGGAATATATGGTAAAGCGAAGGATTGGATCATAAGAGCCAATGCTGTTACAGTCCAGACTTGTCGCTCAAAGTATGTATAGCTGTCAAGTGACTCGAAACGGCGGAAGTATAGTATAGAGGCAGCGAATGACCAGCATCCCCCAAAAGCTTGGCTACCAGATCGACAGTCCAATCCCCTCCCCCAGCTTCAGCCACTGTCGAAAGAACCAACTTAACCTCGAAGAGGCAAGCCGCCACAGCAGGACAGGAAAAGACGAACGCATTTCCACTTCCGGCGATTCAAAGTGGGCCTCAAGGATGGATCGGAGCGGACCCGATAGCCCAGTCAGTCAGTACCTGCTGTGCGTCCCCACGGGTCGCGGCGGGGTGGTTGATTAGTCAAGAGAATATAGACGAGATGGGCCAGTAACGCGAGACCACTGAATCATGCGGCGTCGATAATGGTGGAGCAGGCCGGGGCCTCCGAGCGGACAAAAGCATGGACATGGGTCAGATGGAGTGGATATCCGCTCGGGAGGACTTCTTTGGGAGCGCACTCGGATAGCTCCCGAGCAGTCGTCAGCGCACATAGAGATCGGCGATTCGAGGAGATCGGGGCAGATATGTGGTTGAGCGGAGGCGGATACGACCGCTGACTGGCTTGGCATCTACAAAGAACAGGAATCAAATCATTCTAGACCATTTTCCGACTGTGTTTTATGGGAAACATATTGGTGGAATCGACGCGAACCGCTGAGAAACTAACAACCCGAATGCGCTGGCAAATGTAATCACAGGACCGATGCAAATAATATAACCGTTTTGACACTCGTAATGATGATGAGAATGACTCCAGAACAAGAACCAAGAGAAATAAAATGAGCGTGGATGATGAATGCGTGGTGGTGTTTACATTCCTCCCCGGCTGAACATCTCCCGACCAACGTCGCCACTACGCTGCATGCTTAGGCTGCTGGCTGAACTGCTGCGCCGGCGGCGGCTTCGAGTCTCTGCGGGGTCCGCGGGGCTGAGACCACTCGCTCGCGCATGCAGATTGAGAATGTCTGTCAGGCTGACCACACCAACCAGCCGTCCAGACAGAGAGGCCCCGGGCAACGCCGAGGCGGGGATGGAGGTCGGGATTGGAGAATGCGAGTTCGTATTCGCAAAGGGCAGCGGGGGTCCTGGCAGGTGAGGGATCGTATGGTTTGGGGGTTGTGTGGTAGGATTCATACTGGGAGGAAGAGGCGATGCTGGAGGGGACAATGTACTGTGAGACTGATTTGTCGAGCCCATGGCCGGAGGCATGTGTGCTGCAGAATGAGAGGGAGTTGGAGGGCCGGAAGAGGATGGTGACAATGGGTCAGTCACCCACAGCCTACAAAAGCAATCAGTATGATTCTTGAACTTGAAAAGAGAAGCCTTACCGATGTGATCGAGTCGCAACAAGTTTCGCGACTGTATGTGCCAGCGTCGAGCCTGGATTTACATGGAAGACGGGGAACGAGTCCTTGCCTTCGACCAATCCCCGTGTAGACAGAATGACTGAAATGAAATGTATGCAAGTGTTGTGAAGCAGTGGCAGTGATGATGAGCGCGTCAGAAGCTGGTTGACGGTCAGTCCGACTTGTCAAAATTTCCATTCCGGGCGGCTTACCTTGACATCCACAGTAGAGATATTTCCAATCACATTGAAGTGGTTATCGACGACCACGATGGATGATACCCCTTCACTGTTCATAGTCTGAAGGGCCTCGCATAACGGTTTATCTCCACTGCAGCAATGGGTCAGCCTGGCTCCTTTTCAGCTTCATTGAAAATGTCACTCACTTGATAGAAATCACATCGTGGGACCCTATGCGCAGATCCCGCAGAGCTTGGGGATATAATTGTTCAATAATCGGAAAGCTGCGACCATTCTCCCACAAAAATTTGACCAGGCGGAATTGACTGAAAATGCCAACCACCTCGTGGTCGTTGGACTCCTTCGTCACCACCACCCGGTGCACACCTCCTCCAAATATCTCGACAGCCTTCAGAACATTCGCTGAGGCCGGGAGGGTAACCAATGGCTCCTTCTCCATGCCCAAGCATTTGACATCCCTGAGAGGGATTTTCACCCCTTCGCGGGCCTTGTTGGCCAATTCTTCGTATGAGGAGCGGTGCATTTCGTCGGGGATTGTCAATCCTGCAGCTAACAGCAGGTACGAGTTGAGGTCCGCATAGTCGAATGTGCCCACGGCAGAGGTATCTTGTGGAGTCTCCCGGATGAGCAACACCGGTGCGCCGGAATCAATCAACGTCTATCAAATCCAAAAAATCAGCTTTTAAGTGGAGATTCATGCTGAGCCAGTGCACATACATTGGTAGCCTCTTCGATCCCTGTATCCAACTCGACGAACTTGAGGTCGTCCGGACTCACAAGTTCGCCGATCGAGATCTCTGCCCAGTCACGGTCAACAAACGCAGGGTCGGTCGTTTTCGGGGGAGGCGGGTTGTCGATCAAGCTTTGAATGGCCGATTGTGTTAGCGAGGGCTGGCGTCGCGCACGCGGAGAGCCCGGCGGGCCGCGCAGCGTCTCGCTCAAGCTCTGGCGGTGCTGGTGGTTTGGCGCAGACATGCGGAGTGGCTGGCTCCTTGTGGAGGCGGAGGGTGAACGGGAGTCAGTGCTGGAACGGGTTGATGTCACACTATTGTTGAGGGAGGTGTCGGAGCCTTCACGGGGATGGTGGCGGTCAGCCATGACGGGAAGGGATGAATGGTGATGAACGAGGAATGAATATGGTTAGTGATTCCTGGGAACTCGCAATCAGGTGATGCTGATCGCGGGGGTTGAGGATGGCCAATCAGGACGAGAGGATTGTCTGACATCATCATTAAATGCCTGAGGTGTCAACACTGCCCTTTTTGTCTTGGACTGGAAGTACTCCTAGATGGAGTTCAGGCACGCCGAGTTCGTTCAATGACTGCCCTAACCCAGGCATGTTGTTTATCTCCACCCGCCCATTCGACACTGGTGATCCATCTCAGGCCCCGGCATGGTTCCATGAGAGTCCGTACTTGCCTTATGGCTGGGAAACCAGCAATGAACGAGGCGCCGGGTCATTAAAGCATGCGGCCATGCGAGCCACGTTACAAGACCAGTCACTCCTGAAACCAGATATGTTCGATCACGTCCCATGGCTGTTGGCCAAGTACTTATGGGATTCGCTTGGTAGATGGTGAGTTTATCCTTCATCCTTACTTTTTATTTGCTTGCTCAGCTCTTTGTTTGCAGTAACAAACGAACATCACATATGTGGAGAATCTTAGCAACCAAATATCCGCAGCACTTCTACCGAGTCTCCTCGGGGTGCCGTCTTCACATACATCGTCCCCTGCAGAGGGTGGCGGACTATACCGACTTGATTAAGAGCAATGCATACTGCTGGAGGGCGATTCTCTCCATCGAAACCAAGTACGCCAGCCAGACATCAGACCTGCTAAACCTTGCATCCATCAAGAACCTGGTCGCCCTGGAGATCAATAATGAAAGAGGATCTCTTTACGATGAAGATGGAAACAGGAGGTTTTTGCCCGAGATAACCGTCGGTCTCGTGCGCGGCTGGATCGAGCTGGCGCAGCCTTCAGGGGCATGGCAGCATCTCCGCTTTTTGCGGATTCGATGTCACCAGGAACTACTGCTGGCTGTGTTGCGCCCTCTACTCGAATTTCCACAGCTACAGACGGTGGTGATTTACGACTGTGAAAATATCTCGAGAGAAATCCACCAACTACGCAAACAAAAGCAGCAAGGGCCTCCGAACATTGAAGGCTGGGAGGTTCAGAGGCTAGACTGGCTGTGGAGAGACCATGGAGAGGACGTGGCTCTGGCTAGCCTGCGCCCTCTGGTAGACATGTATGAAGCCAGCCTGCAGAAAACGGATAACCCTGCTGGTCTGCTGGATGTTCCCATACTGGAATATCAGCTTAGCGAGGACTTTTATAGTGACCCGCATGGGGTGGCGTATCGGGCACGATACAAGGCCAAGCAAATTGCAGTCTTCACGCGGCCTTCTGTGGATTCAAAACGGAAGATGGAAAACAAAAGGGCAGCACCCAGACAGCCTCAGTCTCAGCCACAGGCTAAGCGGGTGGTAATGAAGGATCGGGGAGGAGACCTGGCAGGCATGTTGGCCGAGATGGGTTGAGTTGCGCTGTCCATGCTCTCTCCTTATACCAGCCTGCTCCCTACTTTGTATTTGTTCGTCGGCCTCGGTCTGGATTGTGCCATATTGGCAATAATGGCGTCGGGCATGCGTGTAAATCTCGTCGGGTCCATGCTGAAATGACAGAAGACCGAAGCTGCATGAGCGAGTGCGTTGAGAACTAACAATGGAGATCTACCATGATGTCAGAAAGACCAAACCTGTCGTCAAACAAAACCTCGTACTAAGTAGATAATACCGAGTCAGAATGAATACAAATGCAAGGATAATTCACAATTCATATAAACATAAAACCACCGACTGCCGGGTAATCCATAAGCAAGGCAATGATATGAACAAAACCTTGGAAAACACCCTGGGAAATTACATACACGGTGCAGTGGACAAAAACCAAAAACATTTCTCCAAAACCGCCAGCGAATTTTTACATCACATAAAGAAGGTTGGTATCTGCCGGCGGCGTCAGCATGTCAATCATTCAGTCAGTCCGAGCCGACAAAACTTACCAAGAGGATGGCTACAGCTCAACTGCGGCTTCTGGCTGTACTTTGCAGCGAGTTCGTCACGGATACTGTTGAGCAGCTGCACATAGCTCTGCTGCGGGTTCTTGCGCAGAGCGGCAATAAACGCCCACGACATGGCGCCGGTGGCCTGGCCGGAAATCTGTGCGTCCTGACTGGTCTGGTCGTCTTTGCTGCCGGACCACATGATCACGTCCGCGGGGCTGGTCTTGGTCTGCTTCGTGCGCTCATAGGCCTCGTCGCCCTTGGTAGCCTTCTTGATGAACCCCATAGCGTTGGACATCACGCTTCCCATATCACCGCGCGCATACGCTGAGACCACACCCAGCAAACCCTGACCGGCCTCCTTGGCCAGGTTGGGCTCCTTGAGCACGCCGGAGGTGGAGTAGATATACGGAAGATCCAGCGCAGAGCCGGAATGGCACGAGTCGAAGATCGCCGTCAGTCGCACACCAGGCTGCAGCGACTTGACCATAATCCGGTGCATCTCGTCGTCGACGATGTGGCCGGCCACCCGGAAATCCACGGGGTAGATCACCTCGTCGTATCCGTCGTCTTCGTCGCCATCGAGATCGGGCGTCTGGCCGCCGTGTCCGGAGTAGTGGAAGAAGAGCGAATCATTGGGCCGCGCGTCTTTGACGAGCCAGTGCATGGCCCGCAGAATGTTCGCCTTGGTCGGCTGGCTCATGGGGTTCTGCTGGTCGTCGGTCAGGATGACCATGTCTTCCCGGGCGTAGCCGAAGTTCTGGTTGAGGTAGGCCGACATGTTCTTGACATCGTTGATACACCCGCGCAGCTGACCCTTCTGTCCGAAATAGTTGATGCCAACCAGCAGTGCCTTTCGCTTACCCGTGCAGCGCGAGTACTGGAAGCTGTAGCCCTGCGGAGCACCGTGACCGAAGGAGACAGGTTGGCTCGGCGGGGCCGCGGGACGGCCGCCGTGGCCTTGAGGGGGACCATGGCCTTGAGGGGGATAGGGGCTCGCTATTATACGTCAGCGTTGTCGAAAAGAAAAGAAGAACCGCTGGGACAACAAACATGGGGGTCGTCCCTGTCCCTGATACATGGGCGGGCCACCGGGAGGCGGCTGGGGAGGGTATCCGGAGGGCGGGGGGCCCTGTAGACTGCACATCAGCATCTGTATCTCGTCCCCAAACCCGCGAGCTCACGTACATTGTATCCGTGCGGTGGGGCAGGAGCTCCATAGGGCTGAGGCGGCTGCGGCGAGTGACTGTAGCCGTACGGGTTGGGTGGCGGGGGGCCATGAGGCTGTTGGTGGTAGGATTGGCCCGGATAGCCACCGTAGTTGGGTTGCTGTTGCTGGTGCATCGGTGGTCTGGGGGAAAACGAGATGTGTTAGTGAGAGGCGGAAGCGCGGGCAGCGGACACAACGAGAAAGAAAGCGCGTACGGGTAGGGTTGCGGGGAGCCGCCGTAGTTGGGAGGCGGAGGCTGTTGCGGGGGATAGCCAGAGCCTCCTTGGTAGGGTGGATAGTAGGACATGATGATGGTGGCTCAGGCAGGACAGAGAGGATGAAGAGCAAACAAAACAACAGCGGTAGGGGCGGAGGAAGAAGAGCGAGGTGGAGACGTTATCCGACGCAACAATCGATCGGAAGTACGCGCCAAGGCTGAAGAGGGCGCCTAGGAGGATGTGGGATAAGAATGGATGAACGAATGACTGAATGAATAAATGAAAGGAGAATGAGAATTGGGAGGAAGACGAAAAGGAAAGATGGACAGGAGAAATGCTGTGGTGATGTGGACAGGATGATTCCAAATCGCAACTTACCCAAAAGGGCTCAAGCAGGGATCGTCAATGGGCAGGTACTTACTCGGTAGTCACTGGAAGAGTGTAGGAAAAAGGGAAGAAAAAAGAACAAGAAAAAAGAAACGAAAGACCGGGGTTTTATTGACGATTTGAATCTGACATGCATGACCCCCTCGGAGGAATAGTGATTGATTGGGCTGTAATGTTCGGGGAAGCTGTCCTCGAACGTCGTACAGACCAAGCACGCACTGGTCATAGATCGCCCACTACATTATTCTTGCACTTGCATCGGTTCCTGAAAGCAAAAGGAGCAAATCATACTGCTCTAACAGTACGTATGTAGTGAAATGCAGCGGATAGATCTCCCACAGGAGAGGTTCGAGATCAGGGGAGAATTACACCTTTTTTTTTTTCTTCTATATTCTGGCGGAAACTCGTTTACACACAACGTCAACAACCACAAGAAATCTTTTTAACGTCGGGGCATGCCACGGCCTCGGCCGCGGAGAGCACGCTGGGCGGCGCCGGGGGGCAGACCACGCTGGGGGCCCTGTGCCTGGGCGGACTCCTCGTTCTCTGCAAGAAACCATGCTGTTAGTCACCGGGTCCAGGGTTCACGACGAGTCACTTACTTATTGTCTCGTCCACACTCAGAATCAAGCAGGCCGCCTCCACCGCGGCCTGGATGGCGTTGACCTTGACCAGGCTGGGCTCCCACACAAAGGCCGCCATGTTGTCACGCACGCCCTCATGGTCAAAGTCCACGCCGGCCCAGACATTGCCCTTGCGGTGCTCGACGCGCAGTCGGTTCAGGATGTCCGTCGCATCGAAGCCCGCGTTGTCGCACAGCTGCCGCGGGATGACCTCCAGCGCCTTGGCGAACGCCTTGACCACGGCCTGCTGCTTGTGGGGCACATTGCGGTCCGCGAAGCCATGCATGTAGCTGGACAGCTCCATCTCGCAAGCACCGCCACCGGCGACAATGGTCGTGTTGCGCAGGGCGCGCTTCACGATCATGATGGCGTCGTGCAGACTTCGCTCCACCTCCGCGATGAACTGCTCGGCGCCACCGCGCAGCACGAGAGTGCACGTCTTGGCCTTCGGGCACTCGGAGAAGAGGTTGAAGCGTTCACCACCGATCTGGCGTTCCTCGAACGCGCCGCAGGTGCCCAGATGGCGGTCCTGGATGTCGCTACACGTCGATTGAGTCGCTGCGCCCGTGGCCTGGCACACCCGGTCCATGTCATCCGAGGCAACACGGCCGGCACAGAAGATATCGCGGTCCGCAAAGTACTGCGTGGCAAGGTCACCAATGGGCAGCTTGCTGAGCACCACCTTCGCACCCGTCTTGTAGATCGCCTCGAGCTTGTTGTTGATAATCTGCCACTCCGCGTCGACAATCGCCTGGTACTCGGAGACCTGCTCGACCCGAACTTCGGCGTTGTCCTTCTCACTCTTCAGCTCCAGCTCGACGTTCAAACACACAATCTTCGGGTCCGTAAAGAACTTGGGCTGCTGCTCGAATCCGGCGTAGGAGAAGGTCTTCTTGAAGGCGACACCGTTGACAAAGAGCGAATCCTGGAGTCCTCCACCGGTAATCTTCTTGACTCCGATCAGCTTCTCGTTGAGATCATCCTGGTCCAGCGAGAGCACCGCATCCACGACCACTGTTTTAATATCTTTGTCAGCCATCTGCCCCCTTGTGTGCTTTCCAGATAATTCTTACTCTTGGTGAAAAAGTCCGAATTCCGCTTGATGAGCTTGCTGTTCATCGCCGTGGCGGCTAACCGTCGGAGCGTCTCGAACTTCTTCTCTTCAGTGACCGTCGAGTCCATCGTGTCCACCGCAATCTCCTTGACCCGGTTGACCGCCATAGCGCTAGCTCTCCGCAGACCCTTCATGATCGTCTGCGAGCTGACTCCCTGCTCGACGAGGTCGCGCACCTCCTTCAGAATCTCACCCGCGAGGACCACCACGGAGGTTGTACCGTCACCGACTTCGGCATCTTGGGATCGGGCAATATCAGTGAGGATGCGGGCGGCGGGGTGCACGATATCCAGTAGCTAGCACAGAATATATCAGAATAGACCATTGAGTTGAAAAGGAGTGGATTTCCTTGTGTACCTTCATGACAGTAGCGCCATCGTTGGTGATGGTCTGCCTGCCGTTGGCATCAACCAGCAGCAGGTCACCACCGTATGGGCCGAGTGTGCTCTTGACCGTTGCCTGTACAGCGACACAGGCATTGATATTGGAAATGACCTGGCCCTTGCCTTGAGAAGCATCCGTCCCTGTTGAGCCAAGAAAAAAACACGGTCAGCCAATCCCGCCAAACGGGGAGCCCGCAGTCACGGGGGGGGAGCAGAAAGAACACCAACCCTCCTTCAACACGACGATTGTGGGTGTTTGGCCGGCGAAGGCCATGGTTGTAGTAGAGGTGTGAGCCTGGAAGTTAAAGGACAGACAAGAAACCCAGGAGAAACACCAGGAAGCGAAGGGAGCAAGATGGGTTTGTGGAGGGGCTGATGATCGCGACCACCAAAATTATTTCCCCGAGCTTCTGTCCTGCTCCAGCCCAAGGCGGTCAGCGCAGCCCTAACCAACAACTATACCAGGTACACATTCAGGGGAAGTCCCTAAATGTAGCCAAATACTTCTATTCCTACATGACTTTTATACTATACAGGTTCCTATCAAGGTATGCAGATGCCATGCCCGAAAAAACAGTCCCTGGGCCCAAGATGCATGGTACACAAAATCACAGGTTCACGTAAAGTCGTAATTCCCATCCGACGGGTTCCCATACTCGTACTTGGCCAGCAAGTCGGCCTCCTGCTGCAGGTCATGAGTCGTCGGTGGATTAGCCAGCCCCAGTACCTCTTGCCGAAACGGATCCGACCCGTCGTCCACCATCATTTGGTAGGCATTGTTGGCCGTGTGGAACCGCATGGCCTCGTCAAAATTGGACATTCCGACGTTGTGCGGGCCGTATAGATTCGGTGTCGGGTTTTGGCTTTGGTAGCGTCGCAGTTGCTGGTGCAATTGCATGATTTGCGGGTCGAGGGGCATGGGCGCAGCGTAGCTCGCCATGGGATGCACCGTGCCAGGTGCGGCGGCGGGTGGGTGGGGATTCATGAAAGGGTTATGGCTTGAGGAGTCGTTTGGGGCCTCATCCATGGCCTGGTCTGATGTGTCCCTTGAGGAATCATCCACGGCGCCATCGACCATATCGTCATCGACCGTCTGCTCGTCGTCCTTGGTTCCCGGAATTGGAGTTGTCTTGAGAGTCTCCTTGCACTCCGGACAGTCTCGAATGACCCGGTTGACCGTTTCCTTGATGCGCACCCAATGGTACTTGACAGCGATGGCGGCGGTGGTCTTGTTGATCCCGGCATGCTGCTGCAAATGGACCTCGTTGGCGATTTCATACTGCTGCTGTGGATCTGACACGACTTCTTTATCCTTGAGCATCAGCCGCTCGGGCTCGCCGTCTTCGCCGCCGATCAGCTTGTAATGAGTTGCTGCGCTGCGGAGTCGACTTTTTTCAGCTCGATCAGCGCCGCGAGGGTACTTGGAATGCTTCAAATAGTACCGAATCTTCTCGAAACGGTCTTGGGACACGGAATCCTCGCCATCCAAGCTGAGACCCCGGCCATAGATGATGGCGTCGACGAACTCTCCCGGCTGGGATTTCAGCTGTCCACCTCCGGGGACTCTGCCAATCCGTTTGAAGCCAAGGGAGTCCCACAGGCGACAGGAGGCAACGTTGGTCTCATACACCAGGTTGAAGACAGCATATGTATAGCCCTAAGAGCCAAGTTAGAAACAGTCAACCAAGAGGTCGAGGAGAAATCGTACCAGTTGGGGTGCCCACTGTAGATATGCTTCGCCCATCAGCTTACCCACACCCTTATTTCGGGCAGCGTCTGTGACGATAAAGGTGCCGTTGCAGACATGGCTACTACGGCCCGGGTAATTGGGTCGGATGTGAAAGCCCCCCAAGCAGACCTTGGTCCAATTGGCACCCGCACGGTCCATAGCATGCGTCTGCTCTGCACTCTGGATGTCACCAAGGAGCATGACGACGCCGAAACTGGAGAACCAATAGCGGCCGAACTGGGCCAGTGGAATGGGATCGGTCATGGCATAGGTGTCGCCCTTTTCGATCTCTTTGTTGAACTGATCCGACAGATACTTCATCAAAGGCCGCGGAACAGCGTCGGCCGACGTGAAGGGCACCAAGGTGGCCACAGTGACTCGATCCCGTAGGGTCACCTGTCGCGGTGCCAGCACCGACAGACACTGAGGTTGAGGGCCGGCGGCCCCAGGCTCAGCGTCGGCGCCATGGACCTCGGACATGATGGGTAAAGCACTAGGCCATGTTAGTTTGCGAATCTATACATTTGTCCTGGCGCTGACCTTCTGCGCTGCTTCTAGAAGCACTGGGAACTTCGAGGACCGCGTGAGTATTCTCGAGTCCGGAATGGAAGAAACGCAAAACCGAGAAATCGTGGGACTTGATGATTAATCATTGTGCCTGAGGCAGATATTCCTTTTCTGCCTCAGGCTTCCGGTCTGGCTCCCCGCTGACGTGCATCATACGATGCCTGCTATTTGCATAAGTAGGGAGAATCCCCACAGAGGGGCTGGTGTTGACTCTTTTCCCTTGGTTGACCAGGGCTGAAGAGCACGCCAGACTGGTATTCAAGACTATATATCTCGAGGACCTAACAATCAACATGGCCGATCAGCGTCCGCAGTACTATGACAATACCTTGTCTCCCGTGGACATTAATGCAACCACCCTGGCTGACTGTCTCAAACAATTCCGTGAGGCAGTCCGCAAAGGATCGGAATTGATTCATGAGAACAGCCCAGTGCCGGACAAGTGGGACACGACAGGTTTCTTCAGGGGATTTCCTGGTAAGGGACTGATTGATCAACCTCAACCAACCGATAAGTCTGACAACCCGTTTGCAGGAGTCGCTCTTGGTTTTCTCCGTCTCAATTTCCAGTCTCCCATTTTGGCAGATGAGAATGGCCCTTCCCCGGATTATCGTCAATGGGCACTGCAGAGGATACCCTCAGAGATATCAAATATACATCTCATCCCGTCTCGATTATCTCCCATCGGCTCTTTGTCTCCCCTGACGGCCGTTGTTCTGCACATCTTAGCATCCCTGAGCGACAAGACCAAGGACAAACCAACTATTTCCTCCGAGGATGGCGCCATCCTCGAGGAGGCAGTCAATCTAGCCCTCAAACACGGGCCCCTCGTCCCGCACGGCGACCGAAAGATGGGCGCTGATGAAATGTTGTATGGCCGAGCGGGTCTTCTATGGACTCTTCTCAACATCAGAGCCCATAACTTCGATGTAGAGACCGAGGAGGCTCTTGCCCCTATCTTGGACCAGATCCCCGATCTGATCCATGTGATCATCGATGCCGGACGGCAGGGCTCGAAGGATTATATTAAAAAGCACGGTGAGGCGGATGCCCATCCGTTGATGTATGTCTGGCATGAAGGATTCTACGGGCTTGGAGCGTCAGTTATATCCCCGACAGCCATCTATTGAGAGCCAGCTGACATTCGCCCAGCGTCCACGGAATGAGTGAGTCTTGCACCAGCCCGCAGTCTTTCTAATTACTAACATCTCCCTCAAGCCGGCATCCTGGCAATTCTGCTAGCATGCAAGCCCGAGGAATTGAAACCTTACCTATCTGACCTCGGAGGGACCATCACCACCCTCTGCCAGCTCTGCATAGCGAACAACGGCCACCTCCCCATGTCCATTCCTTCGTTCAAGAAGAAGGACTTGTTTGGTCCCCATCTCCTGCAAATCTGCCACGGCAGCCCCGGCATCCTGACCCTCATGGCCGCCGCCCTGAAGAATCGGCCATTGGCTGAGGCTTTCTGGCACCCTGAATGGGATCAGGCGATCTACATGGCTACTGAACGCACCTGGGAGGAAGGATTATTGTCCAAGGGAGGCAGTCTGTGCCACGGGATTGCCGGCAACGCCTACCCATGGCTGTTGCTGCATGACTGCTATGAAGATTCAGAGTATATTAACAACCCTCGACAAGCGTACCTACGGCGCGAGAAGACATCGACTCTCCCGGATGTCTGTCGGACACTCACTGGGGACTTTTTCCTCTCTCGGGGGCTGGCTTTCTTGCTGCATGCGCGCGACACCAGGCCATACAATACTGCGCCAGGGCCATCCGACCGAGATTATCGTCCGCCTGATGATCCGTGGTCGCTGTTTGAGGGACTTCCGGGTACGGTGTGCGCGTGGGCCGATGCCTGTGCTGTAGTTCAGGCGAGACTGCGCCAGATGGAACTCGGTGTTTCGGCCTATACAGATCCTGCATTCCAGGAAGCCAGGCGTAGTCAACTCGGATTCCCGGGTTTGGGTGGAAATGGGGTCAAGGGTGTGTTCTAAAGCGGTATAGTTAGTTCACCGGCCGGTTGTATGGAAATCCAGTCAGCAGGGCGAGGCGGAGTCGATGGACCGAGCGTCCTTCCATCATCACCTTCCCTTCGTATTCTAGAAGAAGTCTGACACACTATCCTCCAAACTATTTCACTGTTGGTTCTCTCGTAAAATGCAACAGGGATCTGCAAATAATGCAACGCATCATCTGTGACTGTCAACCTAAGGATCCAAGATGATCGACGTTATTCCGCCCTCGTACGAATCCGCCACAGCCAGAGACGCCTGGGCGATTATCGCGGACTATATCCCCTCCAGCGATCTCTGCGCGGCATCGCTAGTCTGTCATAGATGGCACGACCTGTTCATGCCCTTTCTGTGGGGCGATCCGGCCTCCCATTTTGGGACAGACAATGATGCCGTCTACGGTAGGTAATGCCCGTCTCCGTCAACGCAAACACCTCTGACAGCAGAGAGAAAAGTGGCGCTCACGCGTTTCCGGCGCACACTCAAATATGCACGGCCAGAGGTGCGGTCGATGACCCATACGCTTCATCTGCCCCCCGCCCTGTCGGAGATCTATGGCGGCCCGCGACCGGGCTGGCTAAGAGACATTCTGGAGTATCTGCCCTGTCTGCAGTGCCTGATGGTGTCGAGGCTGCCGTTCTTCGATCATAATGCCATGACCGCACTGCAGAAACAGGCGAAGTCCAGCAAGTATAATGTCCGTCTGCTGCTCGCTGAGCGCGAGCCGAATACCACGTCCGGTAGCCTTGCGGAGACGATCCTTCGCTTTCCCCCATTGATCTACCTCGATCTTTCGTATACCACGCCTGCGCGAGATCGCAGTGTTCTTTCGTCTCTGTCGCATCTTGAACATCTGCAGGTGCTCAAGCTGCGCGGGGTCGGGTTGAAAGATCATGACGCTGAGTTCTTGGCCAACGCCATCGGAATCCGTGTCCGCTTTCTGGATGTGCGAAATAATGTGTTGACAGACATGGCGGTTCGATCTCTAATGCAGGCCTCATTTCTATCGCAGAATAGTTCGGGGCTGCACCAGCGGATGAGGCGTACGCCCAACGCCTTCGGCGAGCCATCACAACTCCCCGGCATGGACCTCTTGATGAGCTCCGATCTTGACGAGCAGTTCATGAGAATATTGGCTCAGCCGGCTACAAGAAACTCCTTCTGGCTTGATGATTTGCCGAATTCGGGCATTACTCATCTCTATATTGCCGATAATCAACTCACGGTCGAGGGAGTGGCGGGTCTGTTGGCCTCGGAGAGACTTCACGTCCTTGATGTGGGAACAGTCAACACTGCTGAAATTGTGCACAGCAAATCATCCCGCCAGGCCCCGCTAGGATCAAGATATCCCGGTGCTGAGAAGCTTGTCCCGCTTTTGGGTAAATCTGCCGGAGACAAGTTGACATATCTACGAGCCCATCATGCCATAGTCACCGCTGAGCCCCGGATCAGAGACTTTGTGTCGTTCAGTGATCTGCTTCCAGAACTTCAGGCAATCGAATCTCCTCATGAATTTGAGCTGGACGCTTCCCACGAGATTCATGAATTACCCGCGAAGTACGAGCCCGTTTTTGAGCTGGCCGCCACGTCGACGGGTGAATCTTCGAGGTCTGCATCAACCATCGTCCCAAAGCAACACCTATCGCTGTTATATGAAGATGAGCCTCTATCAGCCGTCAGGCGGGGATCGGCCTTTGCCCCCGAAGTGGTGCAGCCCGGAGGCAGTCTAGTTTTCCCGGAAACAGACGCTCCTATAACACCGTCCGGCTCGGCTCCAGAGGGTGCGCCAATTGATTATTGCGGCTCGCCGATATCAATGGGTGATCCTCGTGCACAGAAGATACAAGAATTACTCGCAAAGCGTCCAAGCAACCAATCCCTCCCACTCCAGCGCGGCAAAGAGAGCCGATTTCCATACCTCCATCCATCCCATGTACCCCATCTGGAAACCTTGGTCTTGACAGACGTGCCCTCGCATATCCAAGGCAACTCGCCCATTCTCTACGCACTCACCCGATTCATCACAGCCTGCTCCAATGAGGCACTGCTCGCTACGCTTCAAGCTGGATCGGATTACTCCCTACCGCCGGGTCAAGCACGGATACGAGCCGAACAGCAACGTGCCCGCTCGCTGTTCGGTCTGCGACGGATCATCCTCGAAATCACTCCCACCACTCCCACGTCGAAGCTCACTTCTTGGAAACCCACAGGATACCGTCACGGCACGGCCAACTCCAGCACAGGAGACCGCGACTCCGAGGCTCTCTGGGACGCAGCCGCGAACGACTTCAGCTTCTTCGGAGAAGAAGAGTGCGGCATCCCTGAGAATGATCCAGGGAAGTACTTCCCCATGGCCATGCTCAATGAGAAAGTCGTCCTCACACCCTCGGACGACGAGTCAATCCACTCGCGCACCGAGTCTCCGCTCGACCGCCAGGCCAGCGTCGCCAGCGTCACGTCCGCAGCAACAGAGAAAGCCAGTCCCGCTCCTGCAACAGACGGTCTGCTCGCAGAAGTTGACGTGGTCAAGGAACTAGCTGCTTTCCGCCGCGCAAAGAAAACCGAGTACGAGCATGCCGTCCGCCGCGAGAGAGGTCGGCGACGCACTACCAATGGCGCTGGTGCCTCGTCAGGTCTGCTCTCGCCTTCCTCGTCCTCGTCCTCGTCCTCGCCTCTGCCATCGTCGATGCCGCAGATCTCCATGGCGCAGTTTGTCGAGGGCCATTGGAAGGGGGAGGTGAAGGTGGTGAGGAATTCGGCGCCCAAGGGTCGCACCGGGATGGTGGATATGTATGGGAATTACTTTGAGAAGGGATACTTGTACCCATAATTTTGATAACTGCATGCATATACCCAGCTTACATACTTCTTTCTCACTACGCAATAAACTTTGCTTTTTGTAAAGTTTTTGGTGATTTTCGAGTCCTCCATTTCACATGTCGTTAAAGAGTGGATGAAAAGAGACACGACAGGATAAGCGTGTGCCTTTCATTCCTCCGATTCCATTCTAACCACTCACTCCCACGCGGACCCTTGTCCTGAGATCAAAACTTCGCCAACACAGCACTCCGAGAGCATTGGAGACGAAGAAAAAGGAAACAAAATAAAAGGTTTCATTCATTTCAGACTAGTTCCATTTTTATCTTGCTCGTTGGATGACGCACAAACCCGATTTCACACCCTTACATAGCCTTAGCGGCCTGAGGGGGGTTCATCTTCTTGCCATCCTTGTTGTAGCGGATCCGTGGGGGAGGGGCACGGTTGCGGCGGCCTTCGCGGGAGCGGACACTAAACACGCGGATCAGTACATCTGCTTTACCAAAAAAAAAAAAAAAGGGATTGGTCTTGACATACCGGACGATCTTGCCGTGAATGGCGCACGAGACGCAGTACTGGAGCTTCAGGTACATCTTGGGCACAGCGTACTCGGCGAAGACGGAGGCATCAGAGATATCACCTGCATTGCCGGGATCAATTAGCATTCGTTGCATTTCATAGCAGTCACGTTGTTTCGATTGAATCCAGGCGAGTGCGTGCTGCGCAGTGGAAAGTTGGGTGGCACGTACGGATGGCAGCAGACTCAACCATGTTGCGGATGGTGAACCGCTTGATGGCCTTGTCCTTGGGAGTGCAGCGGGCGCAGTTGGAGCAGCGCACCGGCTTGACGTGGCCGCGGCCGTTCTTGTTGCGACCGCTATAGAAAGTTAGTGATCATGTTCTTCTTCAACACATCTCCCAGCACTCAGTGAACCCCATTCGTTCGTTCGTCGTCCAGCAAATGCGCGTCCGGTGCCGTCTTCGGAGTTTCGTCCGGGCGTGTACTGCCTTCTTGTGCATCCAGTTGTTTCCCGTCGGCGTCATTGCGGAGAGTTCGAGCGAATGGAGGACTGTTGGCGATGAGGAAGGGTGGTGTGGGCTTACTTGTTCGCCCGCTTCTTGACCATTTTGACGGATTGTTCTGTTGCAAATGGATCAGATGCTGGATTCGAGTGAAAAGGGAGGGAGTTGTAGCGTACGGTTGGAGGGGGTTGTCGGGGAAAGGTGGGTTGTCGAACACTCGCTCACACAACCAAGACTTGATGGGGACGAGGAATTGTGCGTAGCCCTAGGCCCTAAGCGAGCGGGTCACGGGAAAATAAGTGCTGGCCTGACTAAATGGGCATCAAGAGCGGTCCATCACGTGGCGGTCTCTAACCGGTTTAGCTCCAGTCAGTGCCGCAGCGACCAACCCGTGATTAGGTCAGCGTGTTTATCTCCTGGTTGGACAACACGGATGATTCCCTGGTCGGGATCGCCATCCTTGGGCTTGTTTTTTTTTCCTGCCTGTGCCTGAGCTCCCTCGATCTGATTGATTGATTGTTTGCTTGGTCCCCCTCCCTTCCATCTTTCCCTATTATGTCGGCCACAGGCACTTTTAGGGGCACTCCCAATAAAACCATCGGGAGAGGCAGGCTGCCAGACTTCGAGAAGGACTCGGCTACTTCCTCTCATATCCCCCGACCCCGACCTGACTCCTCCTCCGCCCATACTCCCTCCAGCGACGTGGGAAGCGGCACTATGAGCGCCGCCAGCAGCAGACAGCGACAGAACCAGTCGAAGCGGGATGAGGTGCGTAATGATGCCAACCTGCCGGTATGATATGTCTGCTAAACCTAACTGTTTCGTGGTAGGCGATCCGCCGCAAGATGGAGGCCGACCTCAATAAAAAGAGGCATAACCCGACCAAGGCGAGACACGCCCGCAAGGCCCCTCCCGGCACCGTGCTCGCCCTGAAGCCCAGCCATGCGCTCCAGATCAAGCCCTCGCTCAGCATCGCCGAGGCCGCCCAGCTGATGGCTGCCAAGCGGGAGGATTGCGTACTGGTGACCGACGACAATGAGCGGATTGCGGGTATCTTCACAGCCAAGGATCTGGCGTTCCGCGTCATCGGAATGGGCCTGAAGGCGCGCGAGGTCTCCGTCGCCGAGATCATGACCAAGAACCCGCTGTGCGCGCGGACCGACACGAGCGCTACCGACGCCCTCGACCTCATGGTCCGCAAGGGCTTCCGACACCTGCCCGTCATGGACGAGAACCAGGATATCTCGGGTGTGCTCGATATTACCAAGTGCTTTTACGATGCGATGGAGAAGTTGGAACGCGCCTACAGCTCTTCTCGCAAGCTGTATGACGCACTTGAGGGCGTGCAGACCGAATTGGGATCCAGCCAGCCGCAGCAGGTTATCCAATATGTGGAGGCCCTGCGTCAGAAGATGTCCGGCCCGACCCTGGAGAGTGTTCTGGACGGCATGCCCCCAGTGACGGTCTCGGTCCGCACCACGGTCAAAGATGCTGCGTCCCTGATGAAGGAACATCACACCACTGCCTTGCTCGTGCAGGACCAGGGCTCGATCACTGGTATCTTTACCAGCAAGGACATTGTCCTTCGAGTTATTGCCCCCGGTCTCGACCCTGCTACCTGCAGCGTCGTCCGTGTCATGACTCCTCACCCCGACTTTGCTCCAACCGATATGAGCATTCAGGCGGCGCTGCGTAAAATGCATGGTGGGTGGCTCCAGTTATCGTGTTACGATGGTTGCTAACTAATCTATTTTCCAGATGGCCACTATCTCAACCTTCCCGTGATGAACGAGGCGGGCGAGATTGTTGGTATGGTGGATGTTTTGAAACTCACCTACGCCACTCTTGAACAGGTTGGTGCATTTTGATTCTTAGCACAAATCCAAACTTACGAGAGATAGATCAACACGATGCAAACCCACGATGATGAGGGCCCCGCATGGAACAAGTTCTGGCTGTCGATGGACCACGAGACGGACTCGGCGGTCTCGGGCAGCCACAGCCAGCAGCCGCACACGCCAATTCGCTCCGTCATGAGTCCTGACCTTACTCGCTCGGCCTACGATAATAGCGTGAATCCCAACGAGTCTGCGTCCCACCACGGCGGTGATGAGCATTCTGAAGTGGTCTCCCAGCAACACGGCGAGCACCACGACGAACCGGCTCCCTTCCCCTTCAAATTCAAGGCGCCCAGTGGCCGCGTCCACCGAGTGAACGTTCTCACCACTGCGGGCGTTGCAGATCTCGTGTCCCAGGTGACAGCCAAGCTAGGTCCCGAGCTTGAGGCCGTGGGCGGCGAAGCCGTTGTGGAGGAGGGCCGACTCAGCAACACCGGCTATGCGCTCAGCTACATGGATAACGAGGGCGACACCGTTTCCATCACCACGGATCAAGACCTGACTGATGCGGTCAGCTTAGCCCGCCGCACGCGCCGGGACAAGGTCGACCTTTTCGTCCATGACCCTACTCACCCACCCATCCCGACCACCTTGGATCCCCATCCGGCACCCGCCCACCCTTCTCCCATTGTGGAGGAGCACGGCAGCCCCGTCGGGGACCACGCGTCGGAAGAGTCTATTCTGAACAAGACCCGGACACATCAGGCCTTCCCCTCGCATTCGCCCGAGGAACAGCTTATCTCGGGTGTCCCTAATGACCTCCTGCTGCCCGGTGCCATTGTGACTTTGGCCGCCGTCATTGCTGGTGTCTTCATTCTCAGCCGTCCCACCGGCCGGTAAATTATTGTCACATCATATACTCACTTCCGCTTCCTGTTGATTAGAGATTGGTTCCCCTGCTATTGCATAGTTTAATAGTCGAGTCGCGTTCAGATACCGGCTGTGCGTGTGATATTAGTTTGTTAAGTTAGCCTTGAATGCAAATAAATGTTCCGGTTTATTATCTGCATAATATATTTCATGTAGCTAGCCAAATAGTTGACCCAAGTCGATCCTAGGTGTTGTTCTGCCTATAAGCATGACTGCTCGTAACGCGCAAAACTTCCCAGCCCAAATCTTCTGCGCTGAAGTTCTTCCGCCCCACCAAAAACAAAACTCCTCCTTCTTCCCACCCCCACCACCTTGACTTTCTTCCACTCTCTTCAGGGTTGATTCACCACCCCTGGGCTGTTGGATTGCCTCTTCACAATTTTCGGGGACAGCCACCACCACCATGTCCTTGCTTCCTCCCGAGGTCCACACCGCGCTGTCCCAGCTGCTGCGCGCCTTGAGCACTCCCGACAACGCCGTTAGAAGCCAGGCGGAGGACCAGCTGAACAATGACTGGGTACAGAACCGTCCAGACGTCCTCTTGATGGGTCTGGTGGAGCAGATCGAGGGCGCTGAGGACACAATAGTAAGTCACCCTGCGTGTTCCCTTCCCCTTCCCCCTGTGGTGGACAAAATATTTTTTGGGAAGGAGATGAGAAAACGGCCAGGCCAACAAATCATTAACCTGGACAACCTCACAGACGCGTGCTTTCGCCGCCGTGCTTTTCCGTCGAATCGCTACCAAGACGCGCAAGGATCCTCTCACAAACGAGACCAAGGAGGTCTTCTCGTCGCTCACCAACGACCAGCGCGTTGTGATCCGCCAGAAGCTGGTCGACTGCCTGACGAAAGAGACCGTTGCCGATGTGCAGAGGAAGATTGGAGACGCAGTGGCAGAGGTGGCTCGGCAATACACCGACAATGGTATGGGACTTTGCAACCCGTTGAGCACAACAGTTCTGATTTCTCTGGAATAGGCGATTCATGGCCGGACCTCCTTCAGGTTCTATTCACAGCCAGCCAGTCCCCCGAGGCTGGTTTGCGAGAGACTGCATTCCGCATCTTCACGACCACGCCTGGTATTATCGAGAAGCAGCATGAGGATACCGTGTTGGGAGTCTTTAGCAAGGGCTTCAAGGATGACAACATCTCCGTATGTCTTGAAATGTTCGATGGCCCCAACCTTTGTTGACCGCGTTCTAGGTGCGCATTGCTGCCATGGAAGCCTTCGCCGCTTTGTTCCGTTCCATGCCCAAGAAGACTCAGCCCAAGTTCTTCTCGCTCGCCCCGGACCTTCTCAACATCTTGCCCCCGCTCAAGGAGTCCTCTGAAAGTGAGGAGCTGTCCGCAGCCTTCCTCGCACTGATCGAGTTGGCCGAAATCAGCCAGAAGATGTTCAAGGGCATGTTTAGCAACCTGGTCAAGTTCAGCATCAGCGTTATTGCCGATAAGGAACTAAGCGATCAGGTGCGCCAGAATGCGCTTGAACTGATGGCCACCTTCGCCGACTACGCACCGAACATGTGCAAGAAGGAGCCCGATTTTGCGCAGGAAATGGTCACCCAGTGCTTGAGCCTGATGACCGACGTTGGACAAGATGATGATGACGCTGAAGAGTGGAATGCGTCTGAGGATGTACGTGAATTCTTTCTGAACTTTTTTTGAGCTGCTTCTGACTACCTGCAGCTTGAACCCGAGGAGAGCGATCTCAACCATATTGCTGGTGAGCAGTGCATGGACCGTTTGGCCAATAAGTTGGGTGGCCCTGCCATTCTCCAGCCTGCTTTCTCCTGGATCCCTCGCATGATGTCTTCTACCGCTTGGCGCGACCGCCACGCCGCTTTGATGGCCATCTCCGCCATCTCGGAAGGTTGCCGGGATTTGATGGTGGGCGAATTGGACCAGGTTTTGGCTTTGGTTGTTCCGGCACTTAGCGATCCCCACCCCCGAGTTCGGTATGCGGGCTGCAACGCTTTGGGCCAGATGAGTACCGACTTTGCAGGCACGATGCAGGAGAAATATCACGCTATTGTGCTGAACAACATTATCCCCGTGTTGAGCTCTGCCGAACCGCGTGTTCAGTCCCATGCGGCCGCCGCTCTGGTGAACTTTTGCGAAGAGGCTGAACGGAGCATCCTGGAGCCGTATCTTGAGAATTTGTTGTCTCACCTTCTGGAACTTCTGCGCAGCGATAAGCGTTACCTGCAGGAGCAAGCTCTGTCCACGATTGCCACCATCGCTGACTCCGCCGAGATGGCGTTCGGCCAGTACTATCCCACCCTGATGCCGCTCCTGCTGAATGTGCTCAAGGAGGAGCAAGGCAAGGAGTACCGCCTGCTACGTGCGAAAGCCATGGAGTGTGCTACTCTCATCGCATTGGCTGTTGGTAAGGAGAAGATGGGCCAAGATGCCTTGAACCTTGTGCAGCTTCTGGGCAACATCCAGCAGAACATCACCGATGCAGACGACCCGCAGTCGCAGTACCTACTTCACTGCTGGGGCCGTATGTGCCGCGTCCTTGGCCGCGACTTCGTTCCGTATCTGCCGGGCGTCATGCCGCCTCTGTTGACTGTGGCTGCCGCCAAGGCTGACATTCAGCTGCTTGACGATGAAGACCAAATTGAGCAGGTCGAACAGGACGAAGGTTGGGAGCTTGTTCCGCTCAAGGGCAAGATCATTGGTATCAAGACCAGCGCCTTGGAGGACAAGAACACCGCTATTGAGCTGATCACCATCTATGCTCAAATTCTGGAGGAAGCCTTCGAGCCCTACGTTTTGGAAACCATGGAAAAGATTGCTGTTCCTGGTATTGCGTTCTTCTTCCACGACCCCGTCCGTGTGTCGGCAGCCAAGCTGATCCCACAGCTGCTCAACTCCTACAAAAAGGCCCATGGTGACCAATCACCAGGCTTTGGAGAGATGTGGAACAAGGTGGCTGAGAAGATCATCGAGGTGCTGAGCGCGGAGCCGACGGTTGACACCCTGGCCGAGATGTACCAGTGCTTCTACGAGTCGGTCGAGGTTATTGGCAAGAACAGCCTCAGCCCACAGCACATGCAGGCCTTCATCGAGTCCGCCAAGTCGACATTGGAGGACTACCAGATGCGTGTGAAGCAACGACTCGAAGAACAGGCAGAGTTGGAGGAGGGTGATGAGGAGAACCTGGATTACGAGTATGCCGTGGAAGACGACCAGAACCTGTTGAGCGACATGAACAAGGCTTTCCACACCATCTTCAAGAACCAGGGCACTTCCTTCCTGCCGGCCTGGCAGCAGCTTCTCCAGTTCTACGATGCCTTCATCACTAGCCAGGACCCCACACAGCGGCAATGGGCGCTCTGCATCATGGACGACGTGCTGGAGTTCTGCTGCGAAGAGTCGTGGAACTTTAAGGATCATATCATGCAGCCTCTGGCGGCTGGTCTGCAGGACGAAAATGCGGCCAACCGGCAAGCGGCGGCGTACGGCGTTGGTGTTGCCGCCCAAAAAGGCGGTGCTCCCTGGAGTGAATTTGTGGCAGCCAGTATCCCCAGCTTGTTCCAGGTGACGCAGCATGCTCAGGCTCGGTCGGAGGAGCACGTTTTCGCGACAGAGAATGCCTCGGCCAGTATCGCCAAGATCCTGCACTACAACGCGTCTAAGGTGCAGAATGCTCAGGATGTCGTCCCCAACTGGATTGACACTCTGCCGATCACCTACGATGAGGAAGCTGCGCCGTATGCTTATTCATTTGTTGCTCAGCTGATTGACCAGTATGTTTCCCTCCTTCCTTTCCCTCTCAAAATTCCAAGCTAACCAATCCCTCAGGCAAAACCCCGCCGCCTTCAGCAAGGCCGACCGCGTGTTCGGATCCATTGTGCAGGCTCTCGACGCCGGAACGCTACAGGGCCAGACCGCCGCTCGGGTCGCCGAGTCAGCCAAGCGTCTGGTAGGAGCGACGGGCGTGAACGCGGAGCAGATCCTGGCAAGCGTCAGCCCTGCCAGCCAGGAGACGGTGCGCAAGTACTTCCAGTAGAAAGAGAGGGTTTTTCGTTTATTATATCAGCGGCCGGTACTTTATTATTTCCTTTGTTCTTTTTGCCGCCAACCTGTCTATCTCCCTCCCAGAACATTTGGGTCACCCATGTCAATTGGATACTCTTGAATCACTGAACTTTTTCGTTCTATCTCCGCCCCGTATGAATGCCATGAGCCTTAGATAATCGGATTCTTTAAAGTTACTGCTGTATACACTTTAGGTCATGCTTTCTTCTTGGTAGGTAGGATCCTTGCAGAGCAGCTTTATCAATGTGTCTCTCGCCGAGTACATTTAACAGCATCATTTGACAACCACCTTGTAAGAACCACCATCGAGACCAATAGTCGCCGTGTCCTGGGCATACGCAACACCCTTAGTCACCCGTCTCCCATTAACAGTAATCTCAGGTCTCCGGCTTTCCTTCACAAACGGCAGAACAAGAGTTCCCGATGTCCCCTCCGGAACTGAGAACTGCAAGGTATATTCATGAGACTTCTTCGTCCAATAAGCCTGGTACTTGCCGAGCTCAGTAACAAACCCAGCCTCTGCGAACTCCAGATCTCCAAATTGCGGAGCAAGACTCCACGACTCTCCCACGGGCGAAGTAACAGAGAGACCAACGATATAGTTCGTCAACGCAGACGTCGGACCAGACGACCAGCCGTGCGAGTGAGACACATACGAGAAGTCGTTGTAGTATCCATCACCCCAGCGATATCCGAACGTCCCATTTTGGAGATATCCTTCAACAACGGTACTCTCCGTGCCATTGGGGTTGTTCATATACCAGCCCCAGCTGCGTCGGATTAGATCCAGCGCGCGGTCAGCCCGGCGAACGGTGAAATGGCTTTGGATCTCGAAGGATGAGATAAAGGGGGAGATGTTTTCTGGTAGTTCGGGAGCTACGGCGCCAATGGGACACCAGTTCTTGAGCAGGTTCTGAGAGATGCTG